GCTGTATAGGTCTTCCAGTCTTCCTTAGCCTAGTAAGTTTGAAGTGTACCCTTACATGGATGGCTTGAGTTGCAGTAAGCATTGTTAGGGCTTCTACTAACTTCTTTCTAACCTCATTGGGAGGATCTCCTGGAGGTGTGGACATTCCCAAACTGTCATGAGCTTGTAGTTTCCAGTTGTTGACTTGTCTTTGGCTTGGATTTATTTTCTGGCTTTGGCCTTCATTGTATTGTTCTGATAGGAAACCCTACCAATTAAAAATGTATTTCTACAAGTTTTTTTAATATGCTAAAATATTTTAATAATGACATAAATATGTATAAATGATCATGGAGTAAAATCAGTAGCTTTTCATTCAGCTGATGTACATGTATATACACACTTTTTTCATGAGAGAATAATTTTGATCCTTTTCCTTTGGCACTTGTGCATACATATCCTCATATTTTCCATAGCACAATGTTATGATGTGACATATTTTACACTATATGGCCATTCACACATCCCGCTTAATGTCATAACTATATGAATATGTAATAAAAAATCATAAAATATCCTTGAAATTGAATGAACAATAAGTGAGATTAATATTCTTGTAAATTGGACATGTTGATGCCAAATTTTGTTTTTTATGAGATAAAAATGAGATTATAAATACCTGAACATTAATAGAAAAAGTGAAATACAGAATAACAAAGACTATTATAAGCACATGAAAGCAAACCATTTTGCTCTTGGACTAGAAAAACAAATTTTATTATTAATCATATTTTTGTTTATACTACATTTAAAATGCACTATTAAAGATAAGGTCAGCAATTTCTATTTTGCATGATTTAAAAATCGTCCTTTATGAAGAACATATAATTATATTCACATTAAAAACACATATAAAATGCATTTCTAATCATGGTCAATAGAGAACTTTATTGGTTCATTAATTTTACTGATAGTCGGTAATAAAGATAAGGTTTGGTCTGATTGATGTAGCTGAAAAGTAGTTGTTTACTATCTGATCTGAGTATTTGCCAAACATTTATAATTTTAAGAAAATAAATGCTGTTTAATTTGTACTTTGACTAACATCTACAATAATCTCTTAATGACGGTTGGATTTATGTGTTTTTATTGTCCTTATATTTTAAATGAATGCTGATGCTGTGAACAGATTCTAAAGTATGATACTGTCTCATATATAATTGAGAAATTACATGAGTTTGTATTACCATTTTTAAAATCTACAATTTATTGGAATATTTTATTTTTGTGGAATATACTGAAACTATCAACCTACACTTTCAATCTAACTAAATGGGTGTCCAGAATTTCTTGGATATATTAGAATATTTAATAAAAACCACTTTGACTCCATACTTTGACATGTTTTCCAAAGTGAAGCGCATTCTTAGATTATTCACTGGTTTTAAATTTACAGTAAAACCTATCTTAGTGAACACCTCTCTCTAATGGACACCCCTTCTCATCACATACTCTATTGACTTATATATAAATTACCCTCTCTCTAGTGAACATCCGTCTCTAGTAGACACCCTTGCTCCGCACATACTCTATTGACTTATATATAAATTACCCTCTCTCTAGTGAACACCCGTCTCTAGTAGACACCCTTGCTCCGCACATACTCTATTGACTTATATATGAATTACCCTCTCTCTAGTGAACACCTGTCTCTAGTAGACACCCTTGCTCCGCACATACTCTATTGACTTATATATGAATTACCCTCTCTCTAGTGAACATCCATCTCTAGTAGACACCCTTGCTCCACACATACTCTATTGACTTATATATGAATTACCCTCTCTCTAGTGAACATCAAATATTAAATATTCTGTGCAATTAAGTAAATTTATGAAGATTATTGGTGGTAGTGAATTAAACTAAACTGTATTATCATTGTTTGTATATGTACTATTTTATACCCACAAGTGTGGGTAGAAATAAAGAATAAAAGAAAAAACATATTCTAAGATTTGATAATGTCTCATATATAATTGAGAAATTGCATAAATTTGTATTACCATTTTTAAAATCTAGAATTAATGAAATAGAACTAGTGTTAAAATAAAAGAGATTAACTAGTAACAGGCTCTAGAACAATCGTTTGTTAGGGTAGACATGGCATCACTCTAGAATGACATCATATATATTTACTCCCAGTATGCTTTTTTGATAAGTGTATACCTGCTGTTGTATACATACATCAAAGAAAATAAGAAACATAATTCGTAGCTGTTTATATCGACCTAAGTAAACATCAAATGTTTTTGTTGATTGTCCATGTCTCACCTTAGATTTAAGGTAAAACCATGACAAATGATCCGTAATCATATAAATCAGAACCTGTGGAAAATAAAGTCATTTATTTCAAATAAATAAACATTTTTAAAACAAATATTTCACTATTTAAACCATGGAAATAAGTCTATCATTGTAACTTGCTCACTACAAATTTAACATGAAAGGAAAGAATATTTTGGCATGTATTGTTCTATTGATCACAGGTACATGTTATTATGTAGATGCACAATCAGGTAAATATGCTATTATTATCTTCATTTTTCTCAGCTTTTCTTTAATTCCTCATCAGAAGGTTTGTCAGGGTATATACAGGGTGTCAAAAAACAACGGCACTCCCCTCTACAGCAGAACGTCCTTAATGGTACATATTGTGTCATACCTCGTTTGAAAGAATTTAATTCTTGAGTTACTCATCAAATTTCATTTAATAAAACTTTATATTAAAAAGCTACATTGTTTCAAAGTTTGCTTCTTCAGTACTTTGTTTGCTACTTCAGTACTTTGTGTGCTACTCAATTATTGGTTAAGGGTCACATCAAGTCAAAAGGTGGAATATGAAAGAATTAGCCCATAGCTCAACTGCACTGAACATATGGATTCAGTTCTTTTTTTCTTTTTTTAACATTTTTTTCCTTCATAATCAAAAAATACACAAAATATCTACTACCAATCGCCATAGGCATTCTAGGTAGTTTAAATTACAATAGAGGATTAATTACAGTAATCATAGATGGTTTATTGGTAATGTGAGAGGTTGGGATTATTATTCCAGTAAAATTATGAGTAAAGAAATGGTCTTTAAGGGCAAAATCAACTCGAAGCCTATTTAGCAGTTTTTCGTTGGTTCTACTTAAGTTTAGTTTTGTAGTTGGTATAAAGTTTGAAATAGGGATAAATATCTGTTTAATAGAGCTTTTGAATCTAGAAATGGTTTGAATTTCACGAAAAGTCTTGCTTAGCTGGTTCCAACCATTTATAAGCTTTAAAACTGGTGCTTTGGAGAGTCTCATTGAAATATTTCTTGGGCAGGAAAAGGGTAAAGAGTGTCTTAAAATTCTAATTGCGATGTTGGTCAAAAAGACTATGGACATAATTAGGCACTTCCTTTCTTACAATTTTGAACATCAGTCTTAAATTTTTTTCGTGTCTTTTGTCAGTAAGCGATTTCCACTGTAAACATTTTAAGGTTTTTGAGGTGTTAGAGCCATGCAGTACCCCAGCACATATAACATCAGCTTGGTAGTGGATTTTATCAAGCTTTGACAAGGCCGCCAAGGATGACGATCCGTAAATGGAGCTACAATAGTCAAAATGAGACGCCAAATATGAATTATACATTATTTCAAGATGGTGCGACTGTATTTTGTTTGATATGAGCTTCAAAGGATTTAACAGTTTTTGAACTTTATTAGACAGATAGTTTATATGGTCATTAAAAGTCAAATTCTCATCTAAGATGAAACCCAGGTGCTTGTGTGATTGCTTTTGGGGGATCATTTCACCATCAAAGTAAAGCGGAGACATTTGTCGGTTTGAGCGAAAAACTAAATGAGAACTTTTAGATGCTTTAAATTTCAATTGCCAGGTTCTAGACCATACACACTTAAAAGATTTATGGATTCAGTTCTAAAAAACAGAGAATAGGAATTGATTGACAAACAGCCTTTTGAAAAAAGACACGATAAGGATGTAATTCTGAAAAATATGACTAAAGTGCTTAGAGGATTATGCTTTTGCTACACCTTAATTTGGTTCTTTATTTAAATCATATCCATCCAGATTAGCTGCTGTTTGAGCAGCAACTGGTGGTCATACCAACTTCTAAGAACCAGCTGTAAATCTGTAAAACTATATGATAATAAAGCTGAAATTTCTCTCTAGAATTGAATTGTTTTTAAAATGAGATATGATACACCATGTAACATAAAGTACTTTTTGCTGTAGAGGGCAGTGCCATTGTTTTTTGACACCCTGTACATGTGTTCCTTGGTGACATTAAATTATGAATTAACTTGCGCTGATTGCATTTTAAACACTGATTGGTTTTTGAAAATGATTTTGTGTTGTACTCACACTCACTGTTCTGCTGTTATATGTTGTAAATATTTTAAAATACTTCTTCACCTGTACACTTGAAACTCACTAATATAACCAATCAGTGGACTCTGATGATATAATTAATATTCACAGACATAAATTTAGCGATTTAACACATTTGTCAAATAAATATGTTCTCCCCTATTAGAATTAACATCCACATTATTTTGTGTAATCTTTTGCCTGCATGATATCAGAATTTTTCTTTAGCACATTACAACTCAGCTTCATGGAGAACTCCATAAGAAGTTTCAGATGAACAGTTTAACTAGATGCACTTTTATGCATATAAGTTGATACCTATTGCATTAAGGGGAGAACATACTTATTTGACACCCTGTATATAGGAATGGTCATTCTGATTAAGAATATATTCTTACACAATGCCTTATTAATTTACCTTGTAATTAAGTAATCTACTTGCCTAATTGGGACTCAAGTGCTTAGTTTGTTTCTATAAAAGCCCTTTAGGCATCCTTAATATTGTTCGCAATCTTGATGTCTAGTTATTTAATACCAACTGTTCATTTCTCATAGGCGATTTATTATCCTACTTGGGCTGCATTTTTGAACGATCACAAAAAAAAGAACAATATGCCCTTGTGGTGCAAATTACACGGTCACACATTTTCAACAATAACAGGTCATCCAAGCACACTGACATCGCAAATTATGATGTTTCAACCAAGAGTCAGCTAACCAAGTGTGTCAACAGCGTCGGCTCATTGCTAAGTGAACCATGGGAGTTTGATTGTCAATAAACCACGATTTTTGTTGAAAATACATGATCATGTAATTTGCTCTGCAGGGCTTATTCTTCTTTTAAATGATACTGGAGGAGAAAACTCATTAACATATTACGCAATTCACTAGCACCACGGTCATCCAAAAATAAAGCCTTGGTCATATTTTTAAATTATTTTAATAATACATCTAATTTTCAGAATGTGGAATCGATTTAATGATGATACTAGATTTTAGCTCAAGCATAGCAATTGAAGACATGTTGCAACTAGTACAAAGTATTGTACCAATGGTCACAAGGCTCAATGAGATTACGGGAATAGGCACAGACAACAGCCAATCTCAAATTGGAATTATTCAGTATGGTATACAAGTAGTCACATCTGTACGAATTGGTGAACAGACAACATATCAAGAAGTGGTTGATGCAGTGAACATGAATATAGATTATAGATTTGATCTTGGTACAAATACAAGGACGGATCTGGCTCTTCTTGAAGGTTTGCAACAACTTTTTAACTCTGGAAGAGTCGGGAGGAAGAAGGCTATCATCATTTGCACTGACGGGGCAACGTTTCCAGGACAATATTCTCAGACCACAAAACTATATGCTCAATATGCTTCTGGTAAGTACATTATATGTTGATTATTATGCATAGTATGTCCATGTATACCAGTTTGTTTCAGAAAGAATTGAAAGGTATTTATTAAGTTAAAATAGAACAGATAGAGTCAAATTAAGAGGAAGTTTGGAAAGAAGTTTGGAAAAAATGATACTATTAATAGGATATTATTGGCATGGATTTTGAAAGTATTGCCATTTTCATTCTACATGATATATCATCTGCCTTCAGATCTAAGAAGGTACATTCTGTAATGAATTTTGGATATTTTGTTAGTTGTAATTGCTATGAATGGCAGAATCAAATCTTACTACAAACCTTTTCAAAAATTGTTTTCAATTATATATGAACATTTACTTCATTTGCCCATTAAATCGTTAAAACTTATCATTTTGACAGCTCTTTTTTGATATATATATTATATTTCAGATAATTAAGTTATTGATCATGTTGCCTGCAATTTTATCACACCCCTTTATTTTTGATTCTGCCATTGCTTAACATTGCTTACATAATTTTGTTTTATCTCTATTTGGCTCACTGTTAACCCTTTCCCGACTTGAATATAAGAGGAAATGTTGGCCCTCTTGATGGATAAGAACAGTTTTTAGGGTTAACTGCAAATTACCTCCACCCTGAAGTAAATAAAAATTGTGTAGATCATACCTAAGATGGCACACTATGCATTGCAGATGTCTATAAAATCCCGATAATTGTGCACAAACTACCAAATTTATTCTTGGGAACACCAGAAGGCTCAACATCTTCTGCGCAAATGGAAGAAGAGGTATGTATATTCATCTTTACTCCTCTTGTATTGGATCTAAAACATTGATACTCTGTGAAACACTTTAGTTCCTTTAAGTAGTTTTTAGGGGACGAGTAGTAAACATGCAGTTTCTAGACAACTCATCTCAAGATAATTCATCCCAAGACAACCCATCCCAAGACAACTCTTCCCAAGACAACTCATCCCTAAGACAACTTGTATAATTGATAAATGATTTTGCTCTCTATATTATATACAAATGTACACTCCCCTCCATAAGTTTGGCAACCTTTTTTCCCCATTGAACTACGTGTTAAAGCCTCTTTACGTTTGAATTTTTATTTACTTAACCAGCGATGATATAACTTATAATATTGATGGAAACGTAACTTGACTTTATTTCCAATACCCCCAAATTTTCTCAATTTTTTTCCTCAATTACAATAGGTCAAAAATTGATGATAAATTTGATGAATTTTTGAAAATCGTCATTCCCATGTAATCCAATGGGAAATGGAGGGTTCGGGGCAAATCAGAAATCAGGATATCTTTTCAGTAAAAGATTCAGCAAAAATATTTTTGTATAGAAAATTGAATTGTCAAACTTTTATGAACACTAAGTTTATTTGATGAATATTAAAGTTACAGCGCTTCAAAGTCATTTTTGAAAATAATTTTTCGCCTCCTGTGTTATTTCAATTCGAGTGGTTTTTTGAAAAACAATTTTGACTTTAAAGCCTTATAACTTTGTTGAACCTGAAGAAACATATCAATTTTTTGTTAAATAAAGTTAGCAAATTCAATTGCCTGCCTAACTCGTATTTTTAGCAAGGACTCGGATGGATGGATATTCTGTCATATGACTTGCGGCAAACCTACCATTTCCCATTGGTTAACATGGGAATGTCGATTTTCAAAAATTCATCAAATTTATCATCGATTTTCGACCTATTGTAATTGAGGAAAAAAATTGAGAAAATTTGGAGGTATTGGAATTAAAGTCAAATTACGTTTCCATCAATAGTAGAAGTATTTTATCGCAGGTTAAGTAAATAAAAATTCAAAGGTAAAGAGGCTTTAACACGTAGTTCAATGGGGAAAAAAGATTGCCAAACTTATGGAGGGGAGTGTATATCCCCTTTTCATTTTTACTGCTACAAAGTGATATTTGATTTTACACTCAATTTCTATTATTGATTTTTAATATTTTGAAATGGCACTTAAAAGTTATGTTATGCACATGCTACTATATTTCTCTATTTTTGGCGAGTTTTGGAAAATTCGTGAAAAATATTACCAGCAAAATTTCAATTGTTGCAAAACATAATAGTCACAAAATTCCTGGGAATTTAGTTTCACTCAATGTTGATAATACGTTCGTCCAGTGCTGGGGTATAAAAGGTAGGAAAGTAGTGTTTTACTAGTATTAATTTATTTAGAGTATTAAAAACATTTAATCATAGAAACTAGAAAAAGAAGATTAAAATGTTGACAATTAATTGCCGTGAAATTTCAAAATCGCAATTATTTCAATTAATCTTTCAAATGTTGAAATTTTTTAAAACATCTGCATAATTTCGGGAGCTCAAATCTAGCCTTAGATTTCATGTTATTTGAACAAAAATAGTTTTTTCTGTACAAAGCTAATCATTTTTAATATTTTGGTTTTTAATTGAGAGCATGGACAGAATCTATTCCTCTAAAAATTAATTTGTTTTTGAACAACTTAGTAACTAACTAGCCAAAAAGAGTTTCTGTACAAAGCTATTCCTTTCCAAACATAATGTGGTTACAATTCAATGTGTGAGCTCAGGGTCGTTGGTACTTTATTCATTATGTTGGTTAAAATTTGGAGGCATGGATAAAATCAATTCCTTTAAAATATATTAAATTTGTTCTTGGATTGTTAAAATGGTGTCATACAAGTTTGATTTACCAGCTGCCATATTATGTCCAAGACTATCACTGCCACATGAGTTAAGTTTGTGCATACAGTTTATTTTGCATTGAGTCTTGCCTTTCAAAAATCTGTTTTTTTTTCAATTTCGGATTATTTTAGATGTATGCAATCATTTTATTTTAGATATATTTCCTGTCTAATATGACGACTTCCCGAGTGTACAGACCAACAGATTTCAGTCAGGTGACTAACATTCTAACCAAAACCTTGGAAGACATTTTCTTTAGAACAGACTCAAATCGCCAGCTTGGTGTCACAGACTGTGTAATACGTATGTATCTAAACTCTCTACTTGTATAAAAGATATCAATATTACAATATTTTATGGGATGTTTTATAATGACTGCCCCTTAAGCGCCTATTGTTGAAAACATATCCCCGCATAAATAAAATTGATGTAAAACAGAAAAATACAAATAGGTTGTTGTAATCTATTCACTTGATCAATTGATCACTTGATTAATTAATAACTGATTACAACCAACATTTAAACACCATGACACATAGAATTACAAATTATTTTGTGACACAGCAAAATCAGGTATATTTTTCACTTTTCAATTCGCATGATGAACTACCATACCCATACCAACTGTCTAATATACCATTTTATGTCATTTCTGAATAGTTGATGGCTTGAGCATTCAGAAATATCAATCTGCTCAGTACTTGATTAATTTTCCTTTGCCAAAAGCAGCCACCATGGAGCCTTCGCCTCGAGTTAATAGTATTTCAACTGTCATTTGGTGATCTGCATTTCTATCGCTTAATTGGAAGTTGATCTCATTTATCTTGGTGTTTATCTTCTACTTTTCTGCTTGTTCATGCATTAATATGATTTTTTGTGCTACACACAGAGCTATGGATTCAAGCGTAAACAACTTAATATACATAGTATAGGTAATATATGTATTTATATTTGACATGTATATTCTTCATCCAGCACCTACAGGATGTGTATGTGGAAATGATGGATATGAGTTTGTTTCTGATAACTGCTACAGATGTGACCCTCCACGTCCAGTAAGTTGATATTACATTTAAGTGATCTAGTTTCTATAGTTGGGAGGGTGGTCAAATTGAAAATTCAGAGAGTTAGATAATAAATAGTGTGTACTAATAGGAGGTAGAATAGACTTAAGTGGGATACCACTAATTAGTAAACACGTGTAAATGTCATTACACCACTTTTGTTGTTCAATAATAAATTGACAGTTTCTTTCTTTTGATATTGCTTATGCCTCTATAGTACCAAACCAAAAAATTAAGTATCTTCGTCAAGGTCCCATTTATGAGCTCCTATTCTTACTATGGAAAACGGATTCTACCAATACAACCCCATAAACCACATGAAATTACTTATTGAGACTTGATTTAAGTTGAGTTCTTCTGAGATAACGAGGATTTTCCTATTTACCCCTTGATGATATCCCAATATATAGTATACAACTAATATATCCCCATGTGAAGTCAATCATTATAATTTTAGAAAAACTCTAATTGACTGGGTCTGGACAAGTAGAATATCGATAGGAAGTATTAGTACTATGAATTCCAAGAAGTAAGAAATGGGGTTCTTAAACAGAACATCGGGCTTGATTTTTAGACTTTTTTGATGGCTCTACAAAGTTGTTTTGTTCAGAAACACAGTGGGTGGTTATATTGGAGTTATACAGGTTCATTGTAATGCAGTATCCCAAAATGAGTGTATTTTCCAGGCTGGTTGTTTCAAGATTCATTATGGTTCCTACAGTTGGGAATATGCTGAATTAATCTGCCAGTCTGAAGGAGCTCATCTTGCATCATGGAATGATGACAATTGTTTGGACGATATCAAGTCATATATAGGATCGAAGGGTAAAGTAATATTTCATGTTGTTAATTAAGGGTTCTTAAATTAGCCCCATTATTTCAAATCTAATGGGCTAAATCGATTTTACATTCTAGATTAATAGTACCCAAACGCAAGTTTTTGATAATAACTTTGACCCGTGATTTAAACACTCTACCCTATACTATTTATTATCAAATTTAGCGCACATAAACTAGAGGCAATTTCCAACATTAGAATTTTTATTGAGCCATTTGTTTAATAATGGTTAAATGTCAGTAATTTCAAAAAGCTAATCGTGGCCAATGTTTTACCAAATTGCTACATTGTTTCAATATGCCGTCAAAACTGTAGTACATTTTAACAGTTATGTGATTCAACCATGACAACAACCGGACAACTATATATTTAGGGCAAGTATGTTTCCAAGATAAAACATTGATGGACCTGTCTTATAAACAGACTACCCATAGACTATTCAAAAATACCATAAAGACCTACTCTTGACGAAGTGTTATTGTTCAAATAAGTGATAAGTAAATAGAAATTTAAAATATTTTTAAAATCAGCAATACTTAATTTTGATTTAAGACGTCAAATTGGTTAAAGCCCATTAATAGCACCCTTGGTTCAGTTGCTTGTGTTTTTATTTTTATTGAAGTAAAATAAAAATAAAATATTTCAATGTTGGAGCCTCTAGTTTATGTGGGTCAAAGTTATTATCAAAAACTTGTTTGGGTACTACTAATGTAGAATTAATGTGTTTTAAATGCAAAAATGCAATGATATTGATTTAGTGGAAAATCTAAAAAAAGGCATTTATCTTGGAAAATGGTGGCTGTTAAACACTATTTTTTAAAGATTAGCATGGTACACTGTCTTATGATACTACCGAACTATAACTTGCAGTAATCTATTTAAGGGAGTTTACAAGACATTTAGAATTTATGTGTGATTTTATTCGCCCTTCAAGCCAATATTGAGTGTAATTTCAAGAGTATTCACACATAACTTTTTGCAGCGCTGTGAAGCCAATTATATATTTAAAAAACATTGCTGAAACATCATAAAATAGATCAACAAAGTGTGTCAGGAATGTGACAATTATCTTTCTGGTGAGTATGGAGGAAAGATTTGACAGCACAACATTTTTAAAAGAGAGTGAGTAAATTGATCCCCTTATTTATTTTTCTCCTTTTTAGGCTATGTTGATAATCAATATTTCTGGACTTGTGCTTCCGATCCTGCATATTTCTTCTCGTGTGACCGTGAGTATCTTGTATTTGATTAGTTGGTCACTTTGTTCTTCGGGTGGTTAAATTTGTAAATGGGGACTATATCTCTTATCTATAGAGACTATATACATTTTAGTTATTTTACTGTTCCTACTGGTTTTTCAACTCGGTTACAATATTCAACAGACATACAATGTTTTGTAAGACGATACTAAAGGCAGTATTATTGTGCCCTATTTTTTAGTATCAATCATTCAAAGCTCGTTTGTGATTTTTTCCTTGAAATATACACAAATGAATAAAAAGTTTAGAACATAACCTATACATACTGTTTTTGTATATGATTATTGAATAATTATTGTTTTATCATATATATAGTTTCTTCTGTTTCACTAACAGCTACTTGCCTTGGCTATGTTCCTGGACCAGTGGAAGTCGGCTCAAGCTCGAGTGCTTTCAGCAGCAGTGATGATAGTTCTAGCAGTGATGATAGTTCTAGCAGTGGATGTAATACTGATAGCAGCAGTAGCAGTAGCGATAGCAGTAGTGAAGAAAGTGATGGTTGTGGTCCCTTTTGCTACACATTGAAGTATGATGCGGCATCATTGCTCACATCACCACAAAGAAAGAAATGTAGTTATGCAAAGATGTTTATTTGTCAAAGGGAGTGTTTATAATGTGGTAAGTACTTGTATAAGAAAACTCGAATAAAAAGCATTCTTTGAATTCATCTCGTACATTTAGTGTCCTGCTCTTCGCTACATACTGTATACCACAGCTGTAATAAATCGGATAAATAAGTCAACTGTATGCTCTAGGATTGTTTAAAATATTCTTTCTGATGGGGTATTCAGTACATGTAGATATCACAGTATGTCATACATATAATTCATATTGATCATGGTTAATATCTGCTTTTCAGGATAAAAGAGGCCACACTGAGGAATATGTGGTGGTGAAGGAAATTGAAATTTAAGGGGAAATGTGACAATATATTTTTTAATTTGGAAAATAAAAAGCGATTCCTAAAAAAAAAATATGACTTGTGTTTACATTTGGAAATGACAAGGATCAACACCAGGAGCATCAGATGCATGGACATGAAAAAAAACTTGTATTAAACAGGAGTATGTTTAACATTCTTTTTAAAGTAACTTGATCTTTAACTGTAACTTTTGATATCAAATGAATAAAGATATTGAGATTTGAAAAATAGTAACTTTTGATATCAAATGAATAAAGATATTGAGATTTAAAATAATGTTTTCTTAAGCTGTGTACTTATTAGGAGTGTTCTCAAAAGTTACTAAATAAATAAATGTAATACATGGAATAGTCTATTAGGTTATAAATCCATGCATCTTCGTATAATAAAAGTCAAACTCTTGTACTATTACTGTAAGGTATTGAGCTAAGGTTCTGAGAGTAGCCAAAATGGCATTACGGACCAGTTGCTATATTGTTTTCATATACCTACTGAAGAAATCATCTGGTCTGTATCAAAAGGGACCGTGGAAAATGACCAATGAACCAGTCTCACGGTCCACATCCTGCTCCGTATGATGTGGTCCGTTCGTGTGCTTGAATACGATCCCTTCGTGAGAAAAAGAGGCCAAAATTGACAAAACGTCAGGATTAGGTAGGAAACGGAGCGGATTTTGATATTTTGTGAATGGAACTATAGACAATATAATTACCCATGATTCCATGAAGAAAGCAAGAAAAAAATAGGAAGGCTTCATAGGTGAAAATAGTTCGAACATAGACTTTTCACGACAGAATACACTTCAGTTGCAACCATTCTTTAATATTAACGTATACACATCTAATTTCGTGCAATTTATAAAGTACATGTACATACATTAATGCGTGCGACTGATAAACAAATATAATGTTATACATCACAAAAGTACATGAAAATGTGGTTTAAAACTCGAATAGAAGGATCCGACCCTATCACAGCTAGAATCCGACCAAGTCGTGTGAGGATAATTTGGGGACTCCGACCATGTCCTGTTAATAGTTCCATCTTTTCGTGTTCTTTCCAAATACAGGGTTAATCAAGTGCACGACTAATTAATGGACCAGTGCTAAGATTGATATCTGAATGGAATAGATTATCTCCAGAAGAGAGGTCCATTCCCACCATCTCTATGTTCCAAAAGTAAAATCAAAAATAAATCTTCAAAGTTTAATGACTTCAATACAACTTCTAAACTCAATCTCTCTCGAAAACAAGAAATTTCCTTAAACAGAATTAGATGCGAACTCTATTTTGAATCACAAAAGTTTGCTCATAATTTCCCTATCACAACTAATATATGTGTCTGTGGTAAGAGTGTAACCCTAAACACTTGAGTCTGCAATGTAAGCACCATTCAACCCAAAGAAAAAACCTTGAAGAAACCCTTGAGCAGCAAAACCTTGAGACCCATCTTGGTGGACAAGACAAAATTGAATTTTTAATTTTCAAAAATTCATTTTCAATTGAACGGGATTCTCAATTAAAAGGAAGGTTCGTTGATTTTATTCTTAGCTTAACCTAACCTATTTTATTCTGTCTTACTTTCCACCATTAAGTGTAGGCAACCAGTTAGCACATTTGTATGTATAACTCACTCAATTTATTTAATTAACTTGATTTATGTTCATTCCAAAATGCTAGCCTGCAATGCACATTGCGCTAGGTGTAACTTTTTTACTTGTAATATATTTGAAATGAATGTATTATGAACTGAAAAAATCTTTTTGTGTGAAAAAATTCGACCAATTCGTGTTTTACAAAAAATATATTCAAATTGACAATGCATGCATATATACGATAATTTTATAATATAATTTATTTTTGTATATGCGATCCGTTTCAACATGAACTGGTCTGTTTGAACGACTGGATAATTCATGAGAATAAGTGGGCTTTTGGGGTGTGGATGTCGATGGTAGTTCATTTTTATTTTCGTCTAAATAAGTGTCTAATTGAAAGCTTGAATCTGGTACCAGCTCATCCGTTTCATTCTGTATAGGCACTTTTAAAGACATCTAGAAAAGATAAACAACCATAATATATTGATAACATAAACAGCTATTGAGCTTTAATACACTGACTCTAGTGTAATAGATATATTAACTTAGTATTTCTAGCCCCATGGATTTAGTATGGTAACTTTAAAATATGGCATTTCATGGTAATTACTGGTTCAAAACACAACAATATAGAGCTGAAAACATGGTAGGGTCGGAAATGAAACACGGTAGGATCGGAAGAGAAACGCGCGTGGGTCGGATCCATTCTAAAAAATTTAACCTGCAGAGTCGGATCCTCTTCTTATTTGGCGCGATTTCATCGATCAATATCTTCAAAGGCTTCATTTGATTAAAAATATACCACAATATGGTATATTTGACACGTAAATGACGATAAGGAAGCAGAAACTCACTCTCCTCTCTCCGCATGTATACCATCACCACAAACAAATCCAATGTTTTTCAGCATGCAAATACTTAGACAACTTTTTTTCAGTTTACTATTCATATATTTATCAATTTAAATCGTACAGTATAAATGTAAAATCAAAGAATACTTTAATAATGCAACTCATCTCAGAATTTCCTCCCTGAAGAGGCGGTATGGTCGGATCTTGTGCACACGAACGGACCATATCATACGGAGCGGGATGTGGATCCTGCAGTCCTTGGCTTAAGCCCTGCTACTATATGAACCAACTTGGATAAGCATTTATGGGTTTTGGTAAAAGGGCTTTGGGCGTGGGGTCGATTGGGCTATAAAATCATAAGAATTTAAAAAGAACAATAGACTGATATTGTAATAAATGACCAGTTCTGATACAAATGATACAGTGTTGGAAGAGTTCAGTCGAGGATGAAGATCATCTACCTTCAGTTTAGTTGAAATTTGTTAAGCCAATGTAAAAAATGATGTATATCCTTAGTATTATTATTTACTTCACCTAGTAAAACCAAATAAAACATTCATTATTTAAAAATTAATGGTAAAAATTGATGATTTAGATACTGGACTTTAAAATAGGTGATATAGATAAATATTGTTTTACTACGCTCACTATTTACATATATAAAACATTCAATAGTGAAATGAATTTATGATTTGCGCATCATGTTTTTAAACAGAAAAACAACCCCAACATGCCCAAGGATATCAAACGCATTAAAAGAGATATACAGGTACAGGTAGATGTACATATGTCTGTAAATATGTACATTTCTGTACATCTTTGGTGAACAGAATCATTTTCCCTTTCCTCATTGAGAACTTTATAGTTTCATTCCTTTATGATTTATTGTTCATGTAAAATAATTGACTCATTTTATGCTTTTAATCTGAATAACTGCAATATTCGAATTTTAGGGAGATACTTATCAGCTTATTTAATATGACTCTCAATCCGTCTTTAATAGTCAAGTAAAATTTAGTCTTATCATATTAAATGTGTAGATTACAGGCAGATACAGGATTGTGATGAAGTCCAAACATTAGTGTGGATCATAAAAGGAAATATTTAAAATTGTTATATTACATTCAAAAAAAGTTAAGGACCAGTATTTTTCCACTTAGGTTTACATGTTTAACCCCATGCATGTTTGGACTTTATTTTCTAAGCTGAAACAAAAGAAAAACTAATAATGTAAACAAGTATGTACCTCGACTCTATTCTCCATATTTCAAAAAATATTCAATTTAATTTCTCCATTACAACATGTACAATAGGTCAAAAATTGATGATAAATAATTGATGAATTTTAAAAATGGTAGAACCAGTGTAAACCAATAAGAAATGGTTGGCTAGGGGCAAATCAAATTGCTGTATATCTATTCAGAAAAAAATATTATTTTATTTTGACCCCCTGTGTTATTTCAATGAGAGGTTTATTGAAATTTATTTTGACTTTGGAGACTCATACATCTGTAACTTTGTAAAACTCGGGGAAACAAATCAATTTTTGTTGTAGACAACTTCGAAAATTCAATTGTCTATTTAAATTCCATTTTTGAGAGCAGTTGGATTGATAGATATTTTTTCATATGACTTTTAGCAACCCAATCATTTCCCATTGGTTCACATGGTTTCTACTATTCATCAAATTTGACATCAATTTCTGGTCTATTGTATCACAGAGAGTAAATTGAAATATAGACAATAGAGTCAATGTACATTTACATTATCAGTTTTTCTTTCGAGTCGGACTTAGAAAATAGACTTAAACATACATGAGATTTAACATTAAAACATGAGGAACAAGGCTTGTCCCTAACTTTTTTGAGTGGTATAAATTCACTAAACAAAATCTAATTGAAGCATCAAAATTATTTAGCACTGATTAAAGAATGTCACATAATTAGAAATTAGCACACAATTTTGAGATATAGAATATATAACTTGCTTTTCTCAACTACATGTAGTGCAGAATATGTTTTTACCATTTTTATGTTGAACAATATACAGGGTGGGCCAAAAAACAATACCCAACTTTAAATCAGAATGAAAATAGCTATGTTCAATATGATACATCGATTTATATATCATTTTAAAGGTAATCCATTTTCGAACAATTTGGTATATAACACTATGTCATGAAATCAATATTAAAGTTTTATTATGCTTATTTGGGAGGCCGGGTCGGTATATAAGGTATCCAGATTTTAGGGAGAAAATAGTAAATCTGCGGAAAATGTTAATTTTTTATTTATAGAATATCATTTTGTTAGGTGAATACATGCTTGTATATTTGCATATTGTGTGACTAAACTTTATTTTATTTTCCAACAAGACATTGTCTCGTACCATAGATCAAAGGAGACATTGGCATTTCTTTGCAAACAAGGTGTCAATTTGATTGATCTCGATGCTTGGCCACCCAACAGCTAGCCCCGATGCTAATGTGTTTGATTACCATACATGGAGCCATCTCGAGGAAATGGTACAATCAAAAGCATCCAATAAACAGCATTGATGAGCTGAAACAGAATCCTAAAATGCTGGAATGAATTGTAACAGAAATCACTCAATAAGGCTATTGATAGATTGCGCTACCACTTTATGCTTAGTGTTGATGCAGATGGGAGGGGTGGGGGTATATTGAGCAATTGTTAAGATAAATAAAGTGTAAAATGTTATTAAACAACACTGAAATTCATAAACAATAAATTTAGTCACACAATGATGCAAATATCAATATCCAAGCATGTATTCATCTAACAAAAGAATGATATCCTATAAATAAAAAATTAACATAATTCCGCAGATTTACTATTTTCACCCTTAAATCTGGAGACCTTAAATAGCAACCCAGCCTCCCAGATAAGTAAAATAAAACTTTACTATTGATTTCATGACATAGTGTTATATACCAAATTGTTTGAAATTGTATAACCTTTAAAATGATATGTAAGTCAATGTACCATATTGAATGTAACTATTTTTATCCTGATTTGAATTTGGGTATTGGTTTTTTGGCCCACCCTGTAGATAGCCACTATTAAAGTTGTTTTATGGTTATTGTACTGACCAATGATTTGTAATCATATTAATCAACCTGGTATAAACATTTTTATTTGTATCTAATAAATAAAATATAAAGTAAAAATCACTATTTAAACCATGGAAATGATTCTAACTAATTTGCTCGCTACAATTTCAAGATGAAAGGAAGGAATAGTTTGGCATGTATTATTCTATTGATCACAGGAACATGTTATTTTGTAGACGCACAGTCAGGTAAATATGTTACTACCGTTACTACTATCATACAGCTTTCTTTCACTGAGCTACTTAGCCAGTAGCTGGTTTTATGGTCATGCACTGAATGGATTTGTAACCTAAGGTGTCATCAGTATCTGTAGAGAAACTCCACCAACTGGCACCAAAATTGAAGGCACTGAATTTCAGAATTCTCTCATTTGGCATATTCTAATGAGTCAAATGACACACTGTTTGGCATACATCAATATACTTTCTATACATACTATTTACATTAAAATTACTTGAGCGCTGCATGGTATATTCAATATTTTTAACTTTTAGAATGTGGACTCGATTTGATGTTGATACTAGATTTTAGCTCAAGCATAATTATTGAAGACAGATTCCAAATTGTACAAAGTATTGTACCAATGGTCACAAGGCTCAACGAGATTACAGGAATAGGCCAAGCTAACAGTCAATCTCTACTTGGAATTATTTTGTATGGTAAACCGAATGTCACTAATGTACAGACTGGTGTACAGATTGGTGTACAGACAACGTATCAAGAAGTGGTTGATGCAGTGAACATGAATATAGATTATAGATTTGATCTTGGTAAAAATACAAGGACGGATCTGGCTCTTCTCGAGGCTTTGAAACAGCTTCTTACCTTAGGAAGACCAAACAGAAAGAAGTGCATCATAATTTGCACCGATGGGGCGACATTTCCTGCTATACACTCTGCTACCACAAAACAATATGCACAGCTTGCTGCTGGTAAGTGAATTATATGTTGATTATTAAGCATAGTGTGTACAATTTTCATATCAAGATGTTTATTTAGAATTTATTTTGTAGAGAACAGAAAGCTTTTAAACTACATGTGATGGGTTTAGCAAACTTCTCAGTCTGAGATAAAGTTTCTAAAATTCCATGTTTTGGGCTATTTTTTAATCATGTGTTACTTATTCAATATTAATATGCATGTAGGCCAACATGTAATATGTTTACATGTACTAAGGTAACTCAATGTATTATGTGATAATTAATTAACAAACTAATCTGATTTTCAAATTGATGTTCTCTAGGACATTTACTGACATATGCATCAACATATTCTTTCTTGCCATGTCATGGACTATACAAAAATGTGATTTTTTTTATCGAAGAACGGAAGTATTCATAATTTACTGGACCTAACGTAACTTTGGTTTAAGGAATCAAGTTGCTTTATGTATCAATGTTTTGATTTCACAGATTTTGGGGGCTTTTTATGACTTTTTTCTAAGTAAAGGGATAAAAGTCTTGAAATCCCAGATAAAATTCCAGGCAGTGAGAAGTATGACTAGAAGAACGGATAGAAAAGAGTTTAGTTTGAAAATTATTCTAAGTGAGACATATCAAAACTATTAATCACAGGGTGCGTACCAAATTAAGCGTGACTGATGAACGCGCAGGGTAATGTACAACATGAGGGTGATGAAAGGAGAGCAGACTTATATTTTCATCGTTTCAGAATGATCTGGTCTAGTTTCTATATATTTTTATATTTGAATATTTTGCATGGGCTTTCAATTAGAAGGGTATGCAACTCTGTGTAATAACATGAGACCTTTAAAATGAGCAATGCCATGCTTCCCTTTTTGTAATATTTCAAAAAGTATTAGATAAATGTATATGTTTTAGTATTATTTTGAATAAAAATCAATTTTCAATATATATTCAATCTCATGTAAAAGTGAACAAAAAATACCAATAAGAATAAGAGGTATCAAGATGTTCTCTTCGAGTATTGCATTGTGGGTAATTATTCAAGAACATATTCCAATAAAATATAATTTGTGAGAGAATGTTCACTTTCTGTATTGTCATAATTACGATGAATTCCTTTTTTTTTTTTATTAATTATCAACATGTGTACGTAGATAATCATGTTTTTATTTCGAGGTCTCCTCTGCCGAAGGCAGTAGGAGCGTAGACCTCGAACCATTGATCACGTCACAGATCCGGAGCCAGATCTAGCCCCTATTGGTAGTAAGGGAACATGGGGCAAAGCGGCCCAAAAAATTTAATTTTAAGTTGTTCTGTACGGGGTATTTTCGTATCTGTCAATCATCGCGCACTTTGATGTTCCACTTTATTAATGGTTTGTGGTTTACATTTTTCGAGTGTTTTATACTTTCCTAGGACTATCTTCTGTGATTTTTCAATGGTCAAAAATATTGTCGAGAGTGGGGCAAAACGGCCCATGGGTGTGGCAAAACGGCCCACCCTCTGTTACATGGGTTTTGAAACTAAAATTAATCAATTACAAGACTCGTCCACAAACATCTTATCTCAGACGTTCAAACCTTTGACAGATAAAGTATTCTTAACCCCTACCATAATTCTAGTCATTCGATATGTGTCGGAAGGAAATTAGGCACAAGCCTGATGTTAAAATTGTTACATTTGAAAACCAATTGTTCTTGCACAATAAAATCGAATCGAAATTTTTACAAATAAAGAATAAATGTGCACACTCTATTTAAAATGTTAAATCAAAACGATATTCTATTGTTGCCGGATTTTTTAGAGATTCTCGTGAGAGGGGTAATTTCCAAAAAGAGGGTGGAAAGTAGAGTTACCTCTTACGTAAAGCGAGACGCTGCTTGGTTAAAAATGGACGCTCGAGAAGGTGGCAGATATTTCAAAATTCGATTTTGTGACTTTTGAAGAACCATCTTTTTATAGTTCAAAAGATATTTCGATGGGTCACTTTGCCCCAGAGGGCCGTTTTGCCCCATGTTCCCCTAGGCTCAAAGGATAAATATTTGTATATTTATTGAGCCTAGACACAGAGGAGCTTATCTGGCAGAGGTCCGTGGATCACGTTTGCACCTGTAATTATTCACTTCTTCACCTCTTTAAAATGTGATTTCAATCAGGTGATCAAATTTTCGGACTTTGACCTCAAATTCAAATATTAATATTTATAAGAAAAAATACTGACTCATTATTATATTTCTAAAAGTCTTTCAAATAAAGTGAAATGAAGCCAAAATCAGCTAAAATTATGCAATATCGTAAAATGGCGTTACTGGAATATGATGCAATCACCTGTGACGTCAGACACGTATTGTCACATCAACAACTAAACAAACAATTAATATAGACGTCACTGATTGGTTTAAAGATTCCTCGCATCATTTGTGACGTCATAAACATGTTACCCAACCAACAACTAAACAAATAACAAATAGGCATATAGGTTTGTTCAGTGCCACGCTCTTGAATCAGTTATAAACAGGATAGTCAACAGATATATGATAGGGTCAGGATTTTTTTGACCTGGAGACCTCGACTCGAGGAGTTTGCTGCATTTTCTTGTTTTTTGAGTTATTTCTTTAAATCATCCATAAAAAGTTCAAATAAGATATTCTTGGAATGTGTAGTAGTTCTCCAATTTTGAAAACTCAAAGGCAATGCTTATGGAACATGGGAAGTTGCCTACCCTTCTAGTTGAAAGCCCATGATATTTGTAATAACATATCCTAGACAGTGCACTTCTTGACAGAGGATTTCATAGTTAAACCTACAAAAATTCAGAATGTAGTATACGATATACTGTCTAGGATATTGTTACAGACATTCCCGTTGATTTTAACTGGTTAAACATTGCTGCACACTTGCCATATATATAAAACCTATTACTGACTTGGTATGAACTTACATAATAATATACATATTATATAATTGTCCTATTATTTTTATTATTTCATTGTTATCGTGGAAATACTACTACTTTGAAACAAGATAAGAGTCTAGTCTGTGTCATGCCAAGGCCACACTTCACTTATATGGCAGATGTATTGCACACAATTGTTTCAGTAATTATTAATTAATGCAAGTTGGGCATTAACAAATAAAAGCCCAAAACATGACTGATGTCATGTAGGCCCTATAATCTTGTTTATCTCTGAAATGCGGATGTTCACCTTGCAACAAGGTTTAAACCATTTATAAGGCAACTAGATATATATTATGGAAATACAAGCCACAATATTTTAATCATATAGAATAGATATTATAGGTGAACATTAAAAGTTCTGAATGTATCCTCTTCTGAGCTGCAGTGTGAACCTACTTTACCCAACAAGTAGTTCCCTACAGTGAACGTAGAACTAATTGGCATGGTCGAAGATCACCCAAACCAACCTAAAAAGCAGGTTCAAATAGTTGGTATTTAGATAAAGCGAACCCAACAATAGGTTTAGTAAGGTAGTATTTACCCAAAGCAATGCTAGATTAACCTAAAACGAACCTTATACCTAATTGGCATAAAGTGGAGATCACCTAAAGTGAGCCTTCCAATTGGATTTAACATGGAAGAGCTACGTTAAGCTAACCTGATATATTTACCTAATCAAACCTCGAATATTTACCTCGAAGTTAACCTACTGAAAGGGGTGATCATGTGTTTAATAAAATTATATATGATGCTGACCCATGATTTTGCCAAAAAAGTGAAGATTTTGCTTATAGCTGGTAAAATCGTGAATAAAGAAAAATAGTACCTTTTAGGCTTCATTACTTCGTAAGAAAAAAAGATCTGTTTCCAAAACTAGTCCAAACAGTTTCTCTGTGGTGCAAAAAGTGATTTAAAAAAGTATTTCAAAAAATGATTTTCAGACTATGGTATCCCTGTAATTGTGTGCACAATACCAAATGCTTTTCTGGGAACACCAGAAGGCTCAACAACTTTGAATCAAATGGAAGAAGAGGTATGTAATAATTCAAGATCAGATAACCAAAAAATACTAACTTGGGCAAGGCTATTGCAGGTAGTGCCTTCCCAATATACTCATGGTCAATTGATCTCTATAATTGATTTCATTGGTTCCTTCTCCTTCTTGTTTGCCTCTTAATGATGTTTGACAGCATCTCTTTTATTTGTCAATTCGTGATTATTTTTAAAAGTCACCTATGCCATCTTCTTTATTTCAGATAGCTCACCTGTCTAGGTTCATGCCCTCTCGAGTGTACAGACCCCAAGACACCAGTCAGTTAATTTCTACTCTAATTAGCATCCTGGACAACATTTTCTTTAACAACGACCCCAATCGCCAGCTTGGTGTCACAGACTGTGTAATACGTATGTATCAAATGTTCTTTACTTATATTTGCTGCCACTTGTAGACATTAAATATGTATGCCCATGTGCCAACAGGAAGGTACAAAAATGGTTACAGAATACAAGAAAAGGAAAACATTCAAGTACTGAAGTATACCGGTTCCAAGATCCACCCAAAATCATAATCCAATTTGAAACCGCAAAGAACAACAATTAAATTATATATACATGTTGATGCAACTCATGATATGAATTGTGTACAAAATAATATCAAAATGGGTTGATGGTAGGATGTTAAGGTAGCTGTAGTAGACTCGTAACGTTAACATACAAGGTGATCCAGAAGTAACATCAAATGTGTTGCCATTTCAATACTACTTGACTCATCATCTTGAAATTTGGTACAAATATTCTCCCAACATTACTGAGATGACTTCTCAAAGTGAAGACAAGATGAAAGTTTACATTAAAACAAAACAACCCTCTATGTATGTATGTATATTTTTTTAAGTAACTTGTTATTTTAGCCTTTCCTCATCATTTTTCAATTGCTATTTTTTTCTTGAGTACTATGATATCAGTTCCATAGTTTTATAAGAGTGCAGTAAAAACTTGCTTAGTTTGATCAAAGTTTAATATTTTTAAATATATGTCCCTTGATGTTATGGTCTCTGATTGTGATATCGGTACTTGAATGGTGGGGATGGGGAATTAGACACTTTATTTTCACGTTTGATTGTGATTTTGGGATGATTGGGGTTTGATTTCCTGATGATTGGTGAACATTTAGATGTTTTATTTTTCTTGCTGTGATTTTGCTGTGTTTAGTGTTTTCCCGCTGGCAGGTGCCCTTACATAATTGTACTAAAGAGTAACTGCAAAACAAAGCTATGTATTGCATAATTTAAATTCGATGCTATTCTAAGAGTACAATGAAAACTCATTTTGTTTGATTAGATATGTTTAGAGCACTGAACAGACCAAACTAGGCGCTCTGTCCTAACTTTGAGGTAGTGAGCCCAAGATTTGTGAGCTCCTTGTCTTAATTCATTTAATATTTGGATATTACAGATAGCTTGTGCTCAAAAATAATTACAAAAACATATAGACTAGGTATTGTATATTTGATTTTAGCACCTACAGGATGTGTATGTGGAAATGATGGATATGAGTTTGTTTCTGATAACTGCTACAGATGTAACCCTCCACGTCCAGTAAGTTGATGATACGCTTTGTGATATAGGTTTTAAACGGAGAGATGCAAACGTTGATGGAGAAATGAAAGGGTTCGCCCAATTAAATATAGAATTGAAAATTGGAGATGAACTGCAGTGGTATAATGATACAGTATTAGATGGTATGCTGCTCAAACGTGTAGCACACACACTGACCAGCATGGTATTTTACAAATTGACTACAAAGATGGTGAACTTTTTGAACACGCGTTTCACTAAACCAGTCATCAAAACTTTCTGAAAATTTTACACATCGTCAATTTAATGGTCATTGGATGGTAACGTTATAATTTGAGTTATCTATTTATACTTTTCGCTATATTATTTTAGAAAACACACCAGACACTTCTTTCGTTCTTGGTATTATATGTTTGGAATGAAATGAAACATCCATCCGAACCTCATTGGCACAAAACGACATAAACACAACGTGAATAGGTCTCTCAATATTGTAATTGTACAAAGGAAAGTTAGGTTGTTGGTTGATTTTAAAAAAGTATCTTGTTAATGAAATGAAAGGTTTATCATAATTTTTATCTATTATCACAGGCTGGTATCGAAAAATTTGTCCGCTGTGACGGAGCGTGCTATTTTGCATAGAAACACTAAGAAACCCACACAATTTATTTTTACTCATATGTTTCGCTATACCAAAGAAAATTTCTTACTCCATGCAATGAGTATATCATTTGCGGGTAATTTTAACTTTTGTTTGAAGTCCAACAACGCTAAGAGTAAAAGCTATTGAAAACGGCGCCAGGGTATCATACTCCAAAATGTACCATTTGTTTTATTTCTTTTTAATGGTACAATATAGTGACACGATAATATTTACATATGTTTTCAGCATAACTCTGAAGGTATTAATGATATCTTGATGTATTGGGTATTTTTAATATTTTTTATAAAAAATAATGTTTACATTTTTTGTCAGCTGTGACGGAGCAGTTTTAACTGTGAACTACGTTAAGAATTTAAGATTCAAATTATATCTTTTAAAAGTACCCTTAGAAGAGAGAACGTCACAAATCACTTTCCTAAATAATGACAAGCAGCCTCTTGGAGATATGGGGTAATGTAAATCTGAGATATAAAAACGACCACTCTTAGTATTTTTCGGAGGTTTGTACTGAAATCAAAATGAATCAACATGATGTAAACTCAACATAATATTTCTAATACGTTTTCGCCTAGACGTCTTGAAATGTCACGTGTAGTGTAAATAGGGCTAATATGAATTTACTTCTTCGAAATAGCGCACAGACATCATGCATGCCGACAGATGTATAACCTTTGACCACATAATATTATATTACTGTATATAAGATGATCCCAATACAGATTTAATTTGCAATTATTTGAAATTCATGAAATTCATCGTTTTGCATAAAAAATATGATATATAAAAAAGTCTTTGTAAACGTGCTGCACTGTAAAACCTGTATCAATGAATATCTTTCTCTAGTGAACACCTCTTCTTATCAAATATTCCTCTGACTTCTGTATAAAATTGCCTCTATGGAGTGAACATCTATACCAACTGGGAACACATTTTTGGGCTCCATATGTGTTCACTGTACACATATTTTACTGTAGTTGCATCAGATAGCCATAACTCTTAGTCAAATAAAGAACGATCTTAAAATCAAATTTTGCATTTTCGTATTTCAAGATACATTCAACTTACCTTTTGGAACGACTAAAGAGGGTAGAACAATCCACAGTCCATACCATTATATGTATTTAGCTTCATCTTCAGCAAATCATTTTAAATTTACTTCAAATAATTAAGTTACCGTAAAAAATGACCATGTCAGGCCGATGGATCCACAGAGGGCACTACGAAAGGCAAATACCCTTTACTGAAATGGAAGTTGACTATCATTTTCATGAGTTACCATGCATAAGTTGGATTGCAGTACAAACTGAGAAAAGAAGCTTAAAGAGTGGTCGTATATACATCTCAGAATTTGAATTGTGTACTTTTATTACGTTTCATTTTTCAGAATACTTTACGAAAGAGATTTGACGCGCTCGCTCCTCTAAAGTTTAGTTGTAAAGAAATATATTATGAATCTAAATTCTTAACCCATTTCAGATTTGAAACTGCTCCGTCACAGCGGACAAAAAAATTAATTATTATTTTTTATCAAAAAAATTAAAAATACCCAATACATAAAGATCTCATTAATACCTTCAGAGTTATGCTGAAAACATATGTAAATATTATCGTGTCGCTATATTGTACCATTAAAAAGAAATAAAAGAAATGGTACATTTTGGAGTATGATACTCCGACGCCGTTTTCAATAGCTTTTACTCATAACGTTGTTGGACTTCAAACAGAATTTAAAGTTACCTGCAAATGATATATCCATTGCATGGAGTCAGTAATTTTCTTTGATATAGCAAAACATATGAGTAAAAAAATAAATTGTGTGGATTTCCTAGTGATTCTATGCAAAATAGCACGCTCCGTCACAGCGGACAAATTTTTCGATACCAGCCTGTTATTATGGGGTGTTTTGTTTTAAGTTTTTGCATACTTTTTGTGAAATCAACCAAAATTTCCTTTGTATAACCATAATATTGAGAGGTCTAAGAAAATGTTGTATAAGCTATTTTGTTCCAACAAGGTTCGGAAAGACATTTTATTTTATTCTCAAGAATTGGTAGAAATGATCAAAAAAAACAATTGCACTAAAAAAATGATAACAAAAACATTTATGTAATTATATATATATATAAATAATTTTTGCATCAAACTGTTGCCAATCAGTCAACATTACATAAAGGACCATGTTTTTTACAGAATGTCTTCAAATTGGTTTAAGATAAAAACATTTTTGAATTCAGTTCACCATATCGATACCTAACCATTTTTAGTTTCCTGCTTATTCTTCACAGTTCTAACATGAATAGCTTCATGAATGCATATTTCAATTAAATTTTGTCATGTAGCATTTTGGCTCTTCTATGGGATTTATGTTGTGATTCATTGTAATGCAGTATCACGAAAGGAACACATTTTCCAGGCTGGTTGTTTCAAGATTCATTATGGTTCCTACAGTTGGGAATATGCTGAATTAATCTGCCAGTCTGAAGGAGCTCATCTTGCATCATGGAATGATGACAATTGTTTGGACGATATCAAGTCATATATAGGATCGAAGGGTAAATACAAATTTTAGTATTATTAATGGTTCTTAGATTGGTCCTCTGTATTGAATATTTATTTCATCATTTATAAGCTAGATTAATATTTACCATATTTAAGTAACAAAACTTTTTTCTCATAAATATATGTGAAAACGATCATTCAGAAATGTAAATTGGTGTCCCAGCAAACGAAATTTGAGGGCATATACATGTATAGACAATGGCTCTATCCTCTCGTCTGTCCTTACAAATAAAATTTGGCATACAATTATTTGAAGGATTTTTTCATATTTTAATTTATATGTAAATAGTATTAAGCATGGTCAACTATCTTTGACTGGTAGGCAGCAATTTTGAAAATTGATGACCACCTATATACAGGGTGTCTCAAAAAATGTACCCAAAAGTATATCAAGAGCACAGATAAACCAATCAATATTTTCAGACATTTTTTGCATGGTCATGTAGCCAAAACATGAAAGTTTTCTCCTTAATACACCATTTTTATTCCAGTCTTGTCTTTTTGATGCTTTTACCCTTTACCTTTTACACCGCATAAACGATGTAACCTCAAATTTCGATGACAGACTGTATCCTTACTGCTACATTGTTCATCACATTTGATAATAATTCCGGTGGAATGTTTTGGATTTCTCTTTGGATGTTGCCCTTAAGTTGTTCTAGGTATTTTTGCTTGGAATGAGCATTAAAACACTCCTTCAAATAGCCACAGAGAAAGATGTTTGAGGATGACGATGGCAGAACAAACACAGATAATCAGGTCCATTATCGGCAAATGATTCAGGAGTTACCTTCCAGAGTTAGGCAGGCCAGCCTGGAGACCAAATGATATCCAAATGAAAACGCAGTGGTCTCAAATCGATACACACAACAAAGGCTACACTAGAATCCCAACCAATGCTGTTTCTTGAACCTCTGACCTCTCTGTATAAGGGGGCTATAAGACATTGTGAGGGCCTCCCTATTCACCACATTTGACGGCCCATACTTTTTTCTCTGGGGCTATTTGAAGGACCATTTTTATGCTTATCCCAAGCTAAGAAACCTAGAACAACTTAAGGCCAGCATCCAAACAGAAATCAAAGCATTCCACCAGAAATACCAAATGTGATGAACAATGAAGTAGTAAGGATGCAGACTGTCATCGAAATATAAGTTTACATTGAATATGTGGTGTAAAAGGTAACGGGTTAAAGTATCAAAAAGGCAAAACTGAATTAAAAACTGTGTATAGGGGAAAACTTTCATCTTTTATCTACAAGATCATGCAAAAAATGTCTGAAAATACTGATTGGTTTGTCTATGCTGTTGATATACTTTTTGGCACATTTTTTGAGACACCCTATATGTGTTATTCTACCTTTTGCTATAACACAAAAAGAAGTGGAGCAATTTTGTTGATTTTTTATTTATATAAGCTTGTTACCGTCATTAACAGAAGATGTCAAGATAATCATTAAAATTAATTAATGTTTTAACTTCTATTTACAAAAACTATAAATAAAGTAATTAAAATGATATTAATGTGATTAAATATTAGTGGATGTCCTAATTGAAGAGTCCAATCACAATGTAGATTATGATCCTTGATGTTATTTATGAATAAAGACTATTGCCAATCGAACTCAATTTAGTAAACTACATCTGAGCGATCTTAAACTAGAAAATTGAAGCTGGTAGACATAAAAACATCAAACTCAGAATCAGACACTGTACACAATGCAACAAACAGGAAAATCTGCTTGAAGATGACATTTTATATTAAAATGTGCAAAATGTCCATATGCAGCATGGCAGGTGATTTTAGATGGTCATATCTTTCACCATGAGTACTTTCTGGGCATAAATACAGTGGTTTTTATTAAAACAATATGTTTTCTTTCAAGTGAAGTCCCCATGATGATAAAAATATCAATCGAACAATTCAAAAAATTATAAATATGGACCCCACGTCAACAATTCTTTCAAAATGTTGAACTTATTTGCTCAAAAGAGGATCTTCTTTTTCTGATTTTTATTGCATCAAAACATTATTCAACAAGGGGTCTAAAACATCTTCAAAAGAAGAATGGTATTGAAAGTCTTGTTTTGAAGGTATCAATTTTAGATGTCCAAAACCATGCTGAAAACAATAGATAGCATGAGTTTGCCCTATTGGAAAATAACATGGAAATGTGGCTTTAAACGTTATCGCATTTCAATACCCATCCCCATGGCATTGGGGCATTTCTAAAACAGCGTTCATTTTATGGCTGATTGATGGGATTTGCTATGCCTTGACATCGTTTGGATTTGCTATGCCTTGACGTTGTTATCTCATTCTCTAGGTTATGTTGATAATCAATACTTCTGGACATGTGCATCTGAACCTGCATATTTCTTCTCATGTGACCGTGAGTATCTTGTATTTGATTGGTAGATTACTTCCTATGTGACCTTGAGTATCTGGTACTTGATTGGTAGATGTCTTCTCATTTGAGACCATCACGCCTTACCATTGACAAGATACAAAATATAACGTGGTACACTTTAGCTGTACGTTGTCATGTTAGAAGCAAACAATTTGATGTAGGGTTTAAAAGATCTATCTAAGGAATATAAAGTAGTATTTCATGTTCAATTTCCATTCATTTTTGATTTCTTCCTTGAATATACACACAAATGAATAACAAGTTCAGAACATCAACTGTACTTCTCATATTTTCTGTTTTATACATCAGCTACTTGCCTTGGCTATGTTCCTGGACCAGTGGAAGTCGGCTCAAGCTCGAGTGCTTTCAGCAGCAGTGATGATACTTCTAGCAGTGATGATAGTTCTAGCAGTGGATGTAATACTGATAGCAGCAGTAGCAGTAGCGATAGCAGTAGTGAAGAAAGTGATGGTTGTGGTCCCTTTTGCTACACATTGAAGTATGATGCGGTATCATTGCTCACATCACCACAAAGAAAGAAATGTAGTTATGCAAAGATGTTTATTTGTCAAAAGGAGTGTTTATAATGTGGTAGGTTATAAGAAAACTCTATATAAAAATTCTTTGAACTCATATACTTTTAGCATATAAGTATAGGTATTCATCACTGCATGTGAAATTCGAAAAACACTGTTTAATTATTATGTGGTGCTGGGTGTGGGGAGTTTACGTTACTATAGAAACCACAAAACGCCAATTTTCCAGAATTAAAAACTGAAACTTTGGGTCATTATGTATGGGTAATGCACATTCTTTGAAAATTTCATGGGAATTATTTGGGAAATGTTTAAATGGCTGATACAGTCACATTTCTTTTGGACCAACCCTCGTAGATCAAATCAGAAAGTTGAATACTATCAATTAGAATGATTGATATTTGAATTCATATGCATTATGAAATTGTGTTCAGGTATTCACTACATAATATACCTCAGTTGTATATAAACAACAAAGATTTAAATATGTAATTAGCACTTTCGTTCATATAACACAAGAAGTACATAGAATTTATTTACCATTTTTATATTTGTTTTTCAGGATATAAGATACCTAGACTGATAAAGCCAGGCTGATATATCCATGTGACATCATATGTTTGGGAACATTTTCGTGGTACAAACAGACTATGGAATCACAAGAGACAATATCTTATTACAATGTAAAAATAGCGGTTGGGCCACTAAAAATTATTTAAAGGATAAATCTACTACTAGTCTACTACAATGTGTGTTTTTATAACTCTGTGTGGTATTTTCGGTTCGAAATCAACTACCCTGTCCCATTAATTATTCAGAAAAGTGAGACATAGCTGGTATTCGACTCCCTGATTAACCTACTATTTTATGGACAACTCATTTAAATATGATAGCACCTGCCACTGTTCTATTCATATTTTATTTAATGAGTTAACATAGTAAGTTGATCAAGTAGCCGTTGCATTCTTGAAAGTTGCGTTTTTGGACAACCCGCGGGCTAGTGCATTGAATAATATATAATAAGTATTTCCCCTAGGTATTACGAAAAAGAACAATGAGGCCATGCGTTGCAAATTACATACTCACAGGTTTTCAACAAAAGCAATTTATCCAAGCGCACTTGTACGCTATTTACGATGTGTCAAACTTCAGGCCTCCTAGACTCCCATCATCGTGAACATCAGTTCTGACGTCGCGAACTACGTTCTTTGCATTCGAACCACGATTCTCACATCACGAACGTAAAATCTTTAGTCGCGCACCACTATTTCTTCGCTCCCGAACATAATTCTCCACTCGCGCGCAGAAATCCGTGCGCGCGAACCACTTGTACCACTTGAGTGTCAATGTCCTGTTTAAGTACACCATTGACCAATGACTAAGCATCAGGATACCATGACATATGTCACCATGTTATGTCAATGCACCCTTGCTATATTTAGTATAGTTCACTGCCATAAAAGTGTTTTCTATGACCTACATCATGAAGCTCCAAGTGTTCTGGGCTCCCCAATAAACAGATAAAGAAGTTTAACTTTGTATTCTGATTTGCCAAGTATTCCGAATTTCCTCATATTTATAATTTTATCAAGTACACTCGCCATGTTGATTTTCAATTTGCCATTCAATTTCAAGTTTCTTCGAGAGATGGCTGATTAGCTAAAGAAATACCCTGCGCGCAGAGTCTAGTTGTAAACTAGCTAAAGATGAAGCTCTCTTTTTAGAAGCGAAGTCGAACGAATGCCAAGGGTATTAAAGAAACCCATCATATTGATAAATGTATATGAATTCATCGTGCACAAGATTAATCGTAAACCTGACGCTTATTACTCGATACAGTTTTTTATTCAGACGGGTTCGTTAACATTAGGTAACTTTGATAAATCCTAGCACCTCTAGTTAATAAGTTATCGATGAGTATGAATGAAAAATTGAAGATAACAAACGCTCTTATCTACACTTTGGCAAACAAATATAACGTTTTTTGAGACTATATCAACGTATAAGCAGATTTATGGGTCAAGTTGTCCCCGGGAAGTTACAAATATAACGTTTTGCGATACTATAGACAGACGTATAAGCAGATTTATGGGTCAAGTTGTCACACCTTTTTGATAGTCTATACGTTGTGAAAAATACAACATAATAAATCGAGGTAAGTACTTTATATGAAAATCTAATTTAAATCTGTTGTGTAAACTGTTTCTAAAAAAGACGTCTTCAATTTGAATGGCTTAAACCACACTGATAATCAATATGCATCGGGCTGGTGAGGACCGGGGTGGTGCCAACCTGTTATTTTTGAATTACAATGACAATTCACATTCACTCATGAATATCAATATCGGTGAATTTCCTTGTGACTAAAAATCAGTATGGTTTTGCTCTTTCTTATTCCAGACCACGTTTCTGACCGACCAACATAAATATGGCTATTATAGATGCGATATTCGGTGACAGTACGTTGAAAGTTCGCCTATGGATTCGAGCTATAATGTACATTGTGTCGGCGTTGATTGGAATTGCGATCGCTATCTCGATGGGCGTTGCACGTGGTGCGTTCCGTGGTAACTGTATCCTGTACGGTTCTTGTAACCCACGAGGACGCTTGTTACTTTACATTTTCGGATCGCCGTCCCATTGTAACTTCATCATCGGAATGAACGCAGTACTGACTGTAATCATACCAGTAGGATTAGCAATCGTATTTATTCTAATCACTCTGAAAAAATTAGAGATCGATTTGACTCAATTTGTGATGAGTTTGGGAGTGTTTGTGTACTCCGTCATTGCCTCATTGCTGTGTATTGTCTCTGCTGGAATGGCTACAGCAGGATATAATGCCTGGTGCTCAACAGTGGTGACAACCATGAAATTTATACAGCCAGGTATACTGACAACATGTGACCTTTTGTTATATTTTTGTTGCTACATCATGTCAGGTTTACCCCCATTCCTCTGTTCTGTTTGTTGTGGTTTTGGCCTGCATAAAGGGGGACAACTTTTCCATACACCCCTTTCAAATAAACCCCCATGGCCTATTCGCGGCAAATTCGGTTGTAAATTTTCAAATATTTTATACACACCCCGGAGTAGCTTGACAACGGTAAAGTCAGATCGTTGTCACAAATGGCGGACATAACTGTCCCTTTAACCCTTCAACCACTTGGTCTTCGTTTCATTGGACTTTATCGTCGCTAATTCTGTGCATGTATTAAGCTCTTGTGATGATGTATCACATGAAATCCCAATTTCGATCAAATATGATGATGTATCAAATGAAATCCCAATTTCGATCAAATTGGGTCGTGAATCGCCACAATATAACGCCTTCGATATCGTCAATGACAACGGAATCTGAATTTACCATATACCGTTGTCTTGTAATGTATCTCAAATTCAGATTCCGTTGTCATTGACTATATCGAAGACGCTTCATTGTGGCGATTCACAATCAATTTGATCGAAATTGGGATTTCATATGATACATCATCACAAGAGCTTAATACACAGAATTAATAGCACAGAATTAGCGACAACAAGTTCTGAAACGAGGACCCAGTGATTGAAGAGTTGAAGCAACGGTTATGTCTGCTATTTGTGACAACGTTATCTGACTTTTCCCGTTGTCAAGCTATTCCGGGGTGTATTACATACCTAGCGAAGCATTTGTATGGAAGTCAATGGGAAAGTTAGCGAGCTATATCCACCGATATTGCCCGATTACCCCGATATAGCCCGCTTACCTCGTTTTGATATTAGATTTCTTTAATAACCATGATAATATCATGACGTCACGTCATTGATACAAAGTAACCATGGGAACAAAGGCATGTAATACATCAGTTATGTCACTATGACGTGAAATATGCCTTCGTTCTTGCCCAAATATAGAGCCTCCCAAGGTCGGCCTATATTGGGAGAACTCAGGCATATTTCACGTCATAGTGACATAACCTCTAAGTATATCATGTATATAAAAGATTTGAAAATTTACAACCAAAATTTGCCGCGAATAAGGGGTTTATTTGAAAGGGGTGCATGGAGAAGTTGTTCCCCTTTATGTAGGCCAAAACAACAAAGGAACAAACAGAACAGAGGATTAGGGTAAACCTGACATAATGTAGCAACAGAAATATGACAAAGGGTCACATGTTGGTCAATGTTCATGATATTATTTCGTTAGTTTGGAGGCCATGTGTCAACTTTACTATCGATAATATCCCTAAAAATAAACGCCAACTGGCTTGGGAATATACTTTCCTTCTTAATAAACGCCTGCCCCTTGGAATCTTTTTCCGTCTTAATAAACATGTTTAAGCCCCATTGGCGTTTATTTAGAGTTCTTTTAAATAACGCCCTGTGCAAAATAAACGCCTATCTATAAACATCCAGTTGGCCTATCCGCTACAAACTCGTATAGTCTTTTGTAGTGTAAATTTATCTGTATTATGATTACGCTTGTCTGTATCCCTACAATAGAAACTGGTCACCTTCAGAGAGTGGTCTTTTGGCTTTTCATCCAATTTTTAGTCGTGCAGTATGAAATATACAAAAACTGACATTTGTTACCAAATATGGTATACGTGTATTCCACTCCCTCTTGTTTCAGGGTATCACTGGACGTGTGAGCAAGTGCCGCTTATATTCGCAGACGACCCGAAGTCTGAAATTATGTACCATGGGCCCATGAAGGCAGTGATAGGTCTCTCATGGGCTAATGTCGTGGTTTGGATAGGAATATGTGTAGGATCAGCCTTGGCATTTTACGCAAGCCTGCGCATGCGTAATAGCGGAAATGGGAACTCGGATACTCAAACAGATTCAAGAGTCGTATAATAAATGGGAAGGTAGTGGGTTCGACTCACACCAAAGTGGAGCGACTTTTTCATATATCCGCCTTTAGCATAGGATTTGATCCTTTGTTTCAAAATAACTGTTCAGATATCATTAGGAGACTGATGATAGTCCAAAGGAAGCACATGTATATATCATGGGGAATTGATTAGCATTGACAGACTTATGAACAAAATCTGGGTATTTTCATCAAATGTAACATGTACTTTAAGAAATGATTTTTTGTATTAGTAGAATGGTGGTTTTTGTCATCACACAAGAAACGAGTGCATAAAATTGCATGAATTGAAGGCCATAGGTCCCGAGGGTAGATATATTATGTTGACCAAGAGATAATATTCTGAACCCTTGGGGGTTCACTGTGTACAAAATTTGGCAGGGTCCTAGGCTGAACCCTCAGATATCAATATATTCCCATACCAAAATCTCAAATTTGGATGTGTTCCCATACCAACTGAAATAATGCCCAAAAGCCATACCAAATGCCCAAATATGAAACCAATGAATGGGTTACCAAATGTCAAAATATAGGACCAGTGCCATACCAATGCCATGACTGGTCCAAAGTAGAATATTTCCTGGGAAAAAAGCTATTTATTTAAACTGAAGAAGGTCCCAAGAAGAAGGCGATCTTTGAGGAAAACGAATCAAAACAACCTCATATTAGGATATGTGTAACTACTAGACCAATTCCATACCATAATTGTGAGATAACATTTTTCCATGACCATTCTCATACTAGAAAGTTGAAAAATCTGACCATTCATCCCTCAAAAGTCATAATGAGGGGGCATTCTCATACCACATCCTAAAATTTGGGTCCATTGCCATACCAAATGTCAAAAAGGTACCCCATGTGGGCCGAGGATCCCCGTCAAGGTTTATATACAGTGAACCCCAGTGAACCCCCCGGGTTCTGAACCAACTATAGGATGTCCTATTCATCCCAAACCAACCTTGATAATGTGGTTCATATTGTTCAGTAATTATGAATTATTCTAGTATATTCAAGTCCAGCTTTTTTTTTATTTCAGGTTTATCAAGTACAGTTATACAATATTTTTACATTTATATAGTACACAATAATTTCACATGACTTTTCTTATATATAGCCCAAGTCCAGCTTTGTTTTCTTGGCCGTGGCCGGATTTTCCTGTCTTCAGATATTTATCCACATTCATTTTCTCCAATCTTTGATCATGAACAAGGATAGGCTTATTTATCCATTACTTGGACGTGTTACGGGTACATAAAGCCGGTCTTGGCCAATATAATATATCTTCCCTCGGGACCTACGGCCCTCGGGCAGATATACTATATTGGCCTCGGGATAATCCCAATATCCCGAACCTCATATAGGATAATCTCTATGTATTTAATGTTAGTCTCAGCTTCTTTAACAATCAAACAGATTGCGATTGTCTCACCCGCCCATCCGCCCATCAGGACGTCACAAATTCAGAGAGTAGATATTGAGCCAGGGGACTTGACTATAAACCCTAATAATCGACTAAGTATGGAATAAATCAGTTATTATATGCTCGATTTTTAATACAGGGTGTATACTTCGGTAAATATGTATATCAACCCTCGATCCCTACGGTCCCTCGGGTTGATATATTGTATATACTGTACCCTGTATCAAAAACCTCCCATTAAATAACCTCCATAGGCCTAATATATAGGGGTTATGCACTGGGAGGTTTTGGATACAGGGAATATCCCGAGGGATATACAATATATCTTACCGAGGGACCGAAGGGACCGAGGGAAGATGTATTGTATATCCCAAGGGATATTCCATGTATCCAAACCGACCGTGCATAACTGGTGTATCTCATACTTGAGTGGGTTTAGGGTAGATACAACCTTTTCCACCTTTTTCAAATGACAAGATATTTATATTTAACATTTCGTACTATTCTTTTGTTCAATACAATGAAATTGTAACATTTAAACTTAAAAAAATTAAATTTTAAACTTAAAAAATTAAAACTTTTGATATTTAAACTTTTTTAAACTTTTGAAAAATTCCCGGGAGCGGGATGGATATATTATATCTGCCCGCATTTGGCCTGGAGCGGGACATATACAATATATCCTGCCCGCTCCTCAGATACGATATATATTCCCGGGTGATATCTACCCCAAACCCACTCAAGTATGAGATACACATGAGTACCGTATATGTCCCGCTCCAGGCCAAATGCGGGCAGATATAATATATCCATCTCGCTCCCGGGAATTTTTCAAAAGTTTAAAAAAGTTTAAATATCAAAAGTTTTAATTTTTAATTCTAAAATTTAATTTAAATGTTACAATTTCATTGTAGTGAACAAAAAGAATATTACGAAAATGTTAAATATAAATATCTTGTCATTTGAAAAAGGTGAAAAAGGTTATATCTACCCTAAACCCACTCAAGTATGAGATACACCAGTTATGCACGGTCGGTTTGGATACATGGAATATCCCTTGGGATATACAATACATCTTCCCTCGGTCACTTCGGTCCCTCGGGAAGATATATTGTATATCCCTCGGGATATTCCCTGTATCCAAAACCTCCCAGTGCATAACCCCTATATATCTGCCCGCTCCAGCTGTACCTGCTGATGAAAATATAAGTTTACAAACCTGCTTCATATACCCGAAACACGTTCAAGAAAGGGATAAAAATGATCTTATGACAAGTGGTTTCAGATACATAAAAGCGGGATATAGAAATGATATCGTGTGTAAGCGAGACATTCCCGCTGTGTACACTACCCTCCATAAGTTTGGCAACCTTTTTTCTCCATTGAACTACGTGTTAAAGCCTCTTTACGTTTGAATTTTTATTTACTTAACCGGCGATATATTAACGTATAATATTGATGGAAACGTAACTTGACTTTATTTCCAATAGCTCCAAATTTTCTCAATTTTTTTCCTCAATTACAATAGGTCGAAAATTGATGATAGATTTGATGAATTTTTGAAAATCGTCATTCCCATGTAATCCAATGGGAAATGGAGGGTTCGGGGCAAATCAGAAATCAGGATATCTTTTCAGTAAAAGATTCAGCAAAAAATATTTTTATATAGAAAATTGAATTGTCTAACCTTTTTGAACACTAAGTGTTTAGTTTATTTGATGAATATTAAAGTTACAGCGCTTCAAAGTCATTTTTGAAAATAATTTTTCGCCTCCTGTGTTATTTCAATGGGAGAGGTTTTTTGAAAAACAATTTTGACTTTAAAGCCCTATAACTTTGTTGAACCTGAAGAAACATATCAATTTTTTGTTAAATAAAGTTAGCAAATTCAATTACCTGCCTAAATTGTATTTTTTGCAAGGATTCGGATGGATGGATATTCTGTCATATGACTTGCGGCAAACCTACTATTTCCCATTGGATTACATGGGAATGTCGATTTTCAAAAATTCATCAAATTTATCATCAATTTTCGACCTATTGTAATTGAGGAAAAAAATTGAGAAAATTTGGAGGTATTGGAATTAAAGTCAAATTAAGTTTCCATCAATAGTATAAGTATTTTCATCGCAGGTTAAGTAAATAAAAATTCAAAGGTAAAGAGGCTTTAACACGTAGTTCAATGGGGGAAAAAAGGTTGCCAAACTTATGGAGGGGAGTGTATCTCCCGCTCTATCATTCCCGGGACAACGTTTCTGTTCAGCATGGATGCAGCCGACGATTGAATTTTTTCTTGACCAAAATGTTGATGGATTTCTCGAAAATAATGAAAATGAGAAAACTTTAAGGAAAACAAATAACTTGCAATTTGGTATATCTTAACTATGGCACGGAGTTTTACACTAAACCATATACTAGTATGTAATTAAAAATCTATTTAGAAAGCTGCTTTATTTTATAAATAGTATGTGTATATAACACAAGTTCTTCAAAGATTCGAAATAAAGTTTAAATAGCAAAAGCAAAATAGACTTGTATATTATTAAGAGAATGATTTCTAGATGCGATCATGGTAGAATTATATTCATATACCCTGAGAAGAAACTATAGGAATAAAAAAAACTATATACGAGGGTGATTCATAAAATAAGGTGCACTTTGATCTCATTCTCATTTCAAAACTAGACATTCAATTAATGTTAGATGATTGTTCATGGAAGATGTAACATTTATATGGCATTTGTTAACTATACCTTCTTATTCCATGTATTTAGTTAATTATGCTTTCTATGGCAACCGGCGCGGAAGATTGTATTTTCCATACATGCACATTAATCACATCGGAGACATATTTTTATCCCATACTTAGACGTGTTACGGGTAAAGCCGGTTTGTAAGAACTTATATTTTCATCAGCGGGCAGATATAGCTTTACGTCCCGCTCCGAGCGGGCAGATATAGTATATCCCAATATCGCGATCTGTTTGATGCTTTAAAGAAGGGAAGGAGCAGTATGCCCCGTTAATAATCAAAGATTTGAACAGGAAAATCCGGCTACGGACAAGAATACAAAACTGGACATGAATATTTTAAAATTATTCCATGGTTGGTTGCAAAGTTTCTGAACTTTGGCCAATTGAACAATGTGATTGGTATGAGATAAACAGATCATCCTATAGTCGGTTCAGTATATTGGGATTATCCCTTGGCTAATATGATATATCTACCCTCCGGACCTACGGCCCTCGGGCAGATATATTATATTGATAATCCCAATATCCTGAACATCATTTAGGATAATCTCTATATATTATATAAAACTATATTGAGTTACTTCTAGTTGTGTTCTATTTTTTCTCTAGTAACTGTGTGTTATTATGAAGTCATAAGGTGCACCAAATGACACGACTGGCCCAGAAAATCAGCCATTTTAGGTTAAAATGAAGCCGACTGAAAATAAAACAAATATGACCTGATATAACACGTGTATCAAGCTCAAATACAGAGAGGGGCAATCTGGCAATACTTAAGTGTTTAAGTATTATAAAATTAAGTGTTTGCGAGAATGCCCCATATAGCCCTGACAAGGCTCAGTGTGATTTCTTCTTGTTTCCAAAATTACAAGAGGGTTTGAAAGGGAGACACTTCAAGAATGCTGAAAAGGTAAAAGCTGTTGATAAAGCTAAATAAAACATTGAAATTGAAATATTTAAATAAAAGGTCGCTAAACTAGCACACGTCACTTCTACCCTTTGCATTTATTCGACTTCACTTCTTAAAACAGAGCTTTCATTCTAAAAAAGATTTCCTTCAAAATTGAGCCAGAAGCTTCGAATAAAATAAAGCTTTTTTCTTCTATCGGATGGTTCTATTTTATTGGTTATGGGGGAGGGGTGCGCGGGGTGCTATCGCACCCATCGCGCCCCTCCTGGCTACGCCAATGGCTTATAACTAGACTCTGCTCGCAGTCTCATCTGGGGAGTTTTTGACTCACTGTTGATAATAGCATTCCTCAATATTTATAATAATTAAGCAATAATTGGATTTATGAAATTATAAACAGTTTGTTGAGGGGAGTAGTACATATGAAAGTATAGAAAAAATGAAGTAAGAATGATCCATTCTCTGGACAAAGATCACATGACTGATGTCAAGGCCACGGTGTAACTGGGACTTCATTATTCCACTGAATTTCAAAGAAGTATGACTACTGAAAACAACCCACAACCCACCCTTGAACCACTGAAGAAAATTAGGGTAAAATAGATGGCAATTGAACATAGTAAGGTAAGCAAGACAATAAGATATCTTTAGGACGTATGTCCCACCTTTTAATTTAATAAGAATCAATAGATGATTAGCCTAACTAAGCTAATTAAGGGATGTTTCTAAGTATGTTATGAACATATCCCTTTAATTGGGCTAATTAAATTATCATTTAATTGTACTAATTAGGCTCCCCGACGGCAAACTGTTAGAATCAGAATAAATAAAATAAATATTACAAACTTTCGAAATAATTAAGTTCCAATTTGTGCACCTTACTTTATGAACCACCCTCGTATGTCGTTGAACGCCGTCAATTCTTGACTATTCAGAGTAATTTTTGATGGTTGGTTATCCGATTGATTCTGAAGACTGTATAACTTGATGCGATCGCACCCCCTGGCTACGCCGCCCTCGATACCTTCGTAGCCTACAATTCTTCCAATTATTTTAGAAACTGAACCATCATGTCTGGATGAGTGGATGCAGGTGCCATAATAATGATGAATTTTGTTAGTGAAATGACAATATTTTCAACAACTTGAATTGTCGTGCTTTCTAGATTTCAAATGTGTTCAAAACGTCAGTGAGTAAGCTACAGTAGTACCACAGGCTGAGTTGTTAATGTGTCACAGGCTGGTATCGAAAGATTTGTCCGCTGTGACGGAGCATGCTATTTTTCATAAAAACACTGAGAATGCTTCACGATTCATTTTTTAAATTATATGTTTCGCTATATCAAATAAAATTACTTACTCCATGCAATGGATATATCATTTGCGGGTAACCGTCACTTCTGTTTGAAGTCCAATAACGCTAGGAGTAAAAGCTATTGAAAACGGCGCCAGACTATCAAACTCTAAAATGTACCATTTCTTTTTTAACTTTTTAATGGCATGATATTGTGACACGATAATATTAACATATGTTTTCAGCATAACTCTGAATGTATTAATGGGATATTAATGCATTGGGTCTTTTTAATTTTTTTTATAAAATATAATGTTAATATTCTTTGTCCGCTGTGACGGAGCATTTTCACAGTTCACATTTGCAACTGCTCCGTCACAGCGGACAGAAAAATTAAAAATTATTTTTTATAAAAGATTTAAAAATACCAAATACATTAACATCTCATCTATACCTTCTTAGTTATGCTGAAACCATGTGTAAATATTATCGTGCCATTAGAAAGTTAAACAAGAAATGGTACATTTTGAAGTATGATACTCCGGCGCCATTTTCAATAGCTTTTCTTCCCAGCGTAATTGAACTTCAAACAGAAGTGAAAGTTACCCGCAAATGATATATCCATTGCATGGCGTAAGTAATTATCTTTGATTATAACGAAACATATGAGTTAAAAAATAAATCGTGAAGCATTCTTAGTGTTTTTATGAAAAATAGCATGCTCCGTCACAGCGGACAAATCTTTCGATACCAGCCTGTGACACATTACCAACTCAGTACACTAGGGGACTTTTTAGACATTTTTAACATATTCCTGGGCCACAGTTCCTATGAGTCTGTGTTGAGTACCCCCATAAATGTGGGGTTATTTAATTTTCTATGGTATAACGAAACATAAATCGTGAAATATTCTTAGTGTTCTTATGAAAAATAGCATGCTCCGTCACAGCAGACAAATATTTCGATACCAGCCCGTGAGTACCTGAGATTAACATAAAATTTTATGACGGTCAAGTTAGTCTCAGCACGGGCTTTCAACTAGAAATTGAAAGCCCATGGTCAGCTATAACAAACTTGGCGCCAACGTCACTTCTCTGGTTGTTCTCGCTGGTGTGTTTAGAGTGGGGTGTAACATTAATAAATGTAACGTATTATCAAGTAAGCACCCGTAAGAGTGTATTCGTAGCAAACGGGCTGATCTTGGATTCCCAGGCTTGGATTGTTCAAGGGTGGGTAAAATTACGAACTGACTCTATCATTAAATTTTCATTGTTCGGGAAATATCTGCATAATTTTCTGAAAGAGAACTAAAATTCCCGATATAGCGAACGCAGCGGATTAATCTAATTACTATTCTACTTTATATAATTATTTCTGCATGCTTTACAAGTCTACAGATTGATAATATAAAATCAAAACAATTGTATCGTATCGAGAAAATTGAGTAATAGTCAATAAATCATATGATATTTGTATATAAGTTACGGATTATATTTCATCTGGCTCAAGATATGAAATTAAGTGCTCTTCGGCTCAATCAAAACAGATAAGTCCTTTTGTCGAGCGCGAGTGATTGAGACGGTTACAGATTAGAATTTGAGTTAAGTTGGATGCATTCAACATTTTAGGACTCTGTCTCTGATAATGTGAGTATATGATTAATAAAATTAAGGTGAAGAACGGGGCTGTGGCATTTTTAATCTTTGATTCGACCTTTTCCAATTTTCAATGCTCAACTTCTCAATCTCAAGTCATAAATTATCTATGGTAGACTACTTTGGACGGCCCTGCATCCACTCACTATAATCCTCTCTTTTTTAACATCAAAATCAAACAAAGTTCAATTTCCCATGTTGCATAGGGTATTCCAGTTTTTTCTTGGATAAGATGGAGTTTTGCTCACTTGGTCACTTGGATGAAATCCCGGGGATGAAATGACATTGACATTTTCAGATTATTCAACTAGTAATTGAAAGCCCATGATGGTAGCGAATGGGTGTCAGAAAATACGGCAGGGAGAGGTCTAAATGTCAACGGATTTGGCCGATGTTTTTGTGCACAAATCCATCTCAATCCGGAAACAGTGGAATAGTGAAATACCCTAATGGAGCAACTTGCTATACAGGGGGTCCATTTTTGGAAACATTGTAACTTATGATTTGGTTTGAAGTCATTGTTTGTCAAAAAGAAGACAATGGTTTTCTCTGAATCGAAGTTACGATTACACATAAAATTATGTGCTAATCACAGGTATGGTTGTTGCTAATTGAACCACTGATACATTGTATGATATTATTCATTCATATGATATAACATTTCTCGTTCATTTATTTCAGGTAATTTGGTTGGGGGTCTTCTCAAGACAATTCAATATCTACAGAAACAAGGACTTGAGTTGATTCATATCCCGGGATTCATATTGAAGCATCGATGTCTTTGTGCTTTTTGCTGCGCTGATGATCAAAATGGAAGCTTATTGTGGACCAAATGCATTCCCATTGATTGGGGAACCATACATACAGAATGAATGTATTAACAACTTACTATGCTTAATTCCTCATCTGATCTTCATTTTAATCGAGATCCCATCTCTGCTTGTGAACTATTTAAGTAATAAACAACGATACTCACTCGACAAAACATGGGTCCATTTTACGGGCCACAATGTCAGATGGGTGTTGATCCTTATTTTACTGATAATCACCATATTAGAGATAGGAGAAGGAGTCATATCAGACACATACAATGTCGGATTTCATATACATTTATATGTGACTGCGGTTATTGCATTCATAGCCACAATTCTCACCTTAGTGTTTTATCATTATGCTGAAACGCACAATCTCCCGAAGATGCTCTTCATGTTATTGATATATTGGATTTTATGCGCAATATTCAAGGTCACCAAAGTTCTGAATCTACATATGAAAGGCCTAAATGGGAGTCATCTACGACTGGTTGTGAACTATGGGGGTTTATTAGTATATGTAGCGCTGGTGGTTGTTGAGATATATACTTTCAAAGTGCAGGTATGTATGACATATTTTCAGTTTATTTCTCTATGATTTTCTATATCTTTCTTTTCATAGTACACATCCCTTATTTTATGAACATTAACAATTTGGGGTGAAACGAATAGTTGAATGCCCATAGCAAAAAGAGCTTCAAGTTATTTGAATGGAATGGCAAAAATTGACATTTGCTAGTTTGAATGTTGTGATCATTAAGTGCACGCCATGCACAATTGAATTGGACAATTTTCTCCTCATGTTAAATGTTCAACTATTGTGGCAGTAATCATTGCTTTTAAACATAACATGCAAATATATTATTCATTTTGTCATGGACATGATTTTGTTTAGGCCATTCAAAGTTTAATATGTTTAATGTCCCCTCCCTTTTATGATTCAGGCATTTTCAGATTTAACAACTAGAATTTTGATTTCCATAAATCTGATTTTTATTTTTTATTTTATTTTAATAAGTTTTTTTCACCTCCCACCCTGCAAAGATTTGCCCCTTTGTCAGGATGTTAAACCTAATCATTAACTTTGAATGGCCTAACATCAAGTCACTAACTCACAAAAAGGCCTTTAAGTTTGGGTTTGATTTATACATCTCCTTGTACTCTGTCTAGTTTACTGTCACAAAATTCTCAAATATAGCACTGATGGGGTTTATTTTGATGAATATTCCGCATGAGAATTTACTATTTGTCTTAGCCTTACTAACAATATATTATAACTAGCATTTTAACACAAAGCTTTTAAAAACAAAAATGATCAATTTTTAGTTCTGCATGTTTAGAAGTCTGTTATTTCATTGCTAGGTAGAAAATAGTAAATATTGTAACATCTGTTTTGTTGTTTGTGATTTATGTATTCTTTATCTTTAATTTTTCTTTTATTAATGCTTTGTACATGTTGTAGGCATGTGTGAACGTAATGTAACCAACACTAAACATTACTGCATGTAAGTTCATTTGGTATGTTTTCATATTTAAGGCATAGCTTATTAAGGCTTTCAAAAAAAAACAACGTTACTTCAGACATTTCATAAGGGAAACCATGAAAAAATGAAGTGGCATGGGATACTTAAAGGAATATTCCTTGCCAAACCATCTCTCTCCTCATATGGTAGCTATAACCATATATATGCTTGCCATGTTTAGCAAAACACGCAAAAATGTTTTGATATGGTCAAATTTGATCACTTAGAAATGTGATGCTCAATTCCAGTAAGCTGCCTTCTTTTAAAATTTCACACAGGAAGTGATGTCATCGACTCTCAACTTTGCATATAGCATTAGGTGAGGAGCTATTAAGAATTACAAAACCAGCTTAATATTCTTTTTCAACTTTGTATCTTATTTAATCCTTCTGAAAATCTCTTCTTTTATTCTAAGTTGACAAGCCCTGAAAATATTTTTGCTCAGAAAGTAATGATAACTTGTCTAGAAGTGATTTTGTGCTACTTTCCTATTCTGTTATGGGCAAGGTTATAGAAGTTGAGAGATGATGACATCACTTCCTGCAAGAAATCTTTAAAGATGGCAGCTCACTGGAAATAAGCACTAGATTTTTAAATGATCAATATTGACCATATTAAAACATTTTCCCATGTTTTGCTAAATATGGAAACTATATATATGATTATAGCTACCATATCAAGAGAGAAAGGGTCTGGCAAGGAATATTCCTTTAAGTACAGTGATCTTCCCAGCATTAAAGCAAATGGGCGCAGCACCCAACTGAGATTTTGAAATTAGGCTTGCGCCTACCTGAAAATCCATTTGCACCCACTTGAAAATGAGAAAAATCATGAAAAATGGGCATATTTTGACAAATTTTGGTCTGAATTGTGAAAATGAGAATTTTACATCCACTTGTGAAAAAATCCTGTTGAGATCACTGAAGTACATGTAGTATTATTTCCCACATATTGTAGGTACCTAATTTGGCTCCCGTTTTGATTTGGCCATTCAAAAAATGTGCCAAATTAAAAATCGTCCAATATAGCAGTTGATGGAATTGGTTCAAAATTTATATGCTGATGCCTTGGTTAGTTGGTACAAGGGAGCTGAAATTTTTCAAGATGGCCGCTATTTATCAACACATTTTTTGTTTAGTGGGATTTGCTACTCTGTGGAGTTGCTGTTTTCTAGTTTATATCAGCCCTCATCATAGGATTCAGTCCTATGTTAGAAAAAAGATAATGGAATATTTGTAATATTTTTACTTGAACATTTACACATTCTGGTATTAAGGATGAATTAATCCTGAATAAGAAATAGTTTGACATGGTGTTGAGGCGACATTTTTCAATTTCTTGTTTTCAACTTATTTTGTGAAAATGCTTCAGAACTACTTCTACTCTCAGAGACTTTAGAGATGATAAATGAACTTATGATCTTGCTCAGACTTTTCAATCTCTGAAAAACAGGGCTGTATCTTCCAGGAAAGTTCTGAAAACTAACTTTACCTAATACTACTTTTCTAGTTATTTGGTCAAATCACAAATTCATTTATATTAGTAATATTCCCCTTCGTGGATTATATTTTAAATCCTAAACTAACATGTAAATATTGGATTACAATTTGTCTTAAGTTAGCTTAAAGGCTATAGGAAGTTAACAATATGTAAAGTATTTCATGTTCTATATCTCAAATTGATGGTGGATGGTGATCTACATGAATTTTACATTTCCCTCAAAATCTGTTCTGTTGTTTTGAAAGAGAATTTTTTGACTTTTTGTACATCTATTTATATGCAAATAATAAAGAACAGTTACGTCTCCAACGAAAATAAGAAAATAATCTGGACTGGGAAAGGGTTGTGGCTTATGGCTTATAATAGCTGAATCCAACACGTTAACCCTAAACAATTTTCAATTTGATAATGATATAACCTTACACCATCCCATACTTTGGCATAAAACTTATTATCTGTATTTTAAAGGAATTGCTCATTTAGAAAGTGATGTTTCCTTTATGATTGTGCATGTGGTTATAAATTAATTTGGTAACATGTGTCATACTGCTTAATGGTGAACAATGTTTCAAGCATTGAAGAATGCAGGTTACATGCTATTATACATTTTGGGTACAATAAGGCTCAGAATCACAGACACAGTTTCGTTAATATATGATTAAAACAAGCTTCACCGATTGCATGGGGCTTCTAGTTTAAATTTGAATATTTTACCTTTGCCTTGCACTATGTATATTAAGGGATTTGAGTTGCAATAGTATTCTGCTAATAGTTTGTGAAACAATATTTATTATGGGCAAAATGAAATATTTACTTATCCCACATTTTGGATATAATGGGCATACATGAGGATTTAAATATACCTTCATCTGTTTAAACTGATGTAACACCACCCATATGCAGAACACCCCACCTCTAGTGTGTTTAAAGGCCCCATATAAAGTTTAAACCACTTTGGCTTATTTTGTAGTCTTACCCAATGTTATCAAAGTGTGATATGTGAAACTTTTTTTTAAATTTCAAAAAGTGGTATTTGATAGACTTTTTGTTCCAAAATTTGTGAATTTATTTAAAACCAACTTTTAGAGGTCACCCATATCTTCTAATTAGCCACAATTCATACCAATGCATAGCATTCATCCTCCCATGTTTTTTGCCAACAAATTAAGAAAATCGGTTCATAAATAAGCGAGAAATGAACTTATCAGTGCGTAAAAATGGTTCTGAGAAAAATGCATTTCAAAATTTTAGTTCTCATGGAAACCAATGGTACAATGATATCTAAAACATAATTTATTCTTCCTTTTAATCTGGTTAGACAATCAACATTGTTTTTTATCAAAGTCTAGCATATTTAGAAAAGATTGAAATCGAAAAAAAAATTTCAAAAAGTTTTTGTTACCTTAGTGACATCACTAATGTTTCAAAATATTTTTGATATGCTTAAACATTGAAGTGGCCCATTAAATATGGCATTTCATTATTGAAATAGTGTGTCCTTTGTTCAATCTTTGCATTGGTGTTAAAAAGATAATCTTTTTTGAAATGCATTAAGAAATATTTGATGATTAAGAAATTAGAATATTTGAGAAATGAAATGCTCACAACTTTTTTTTCAAAAATCTCTAAAATCACTTTTTAAGTCCTGACAAATAGTAAATGAATGATAAAAAAATATTTTCAAACTTTAGAAGGGGACTTTAAGTGCCCCTCTGTGTGTCAGTGTATCTCACTGACAGAACACTTTTCTTAAAAAGAATAAGTTAACATTTCTCTTAAGTTAATTATTTGATAACTTTAGTATATATGTATCTACTCCTAAGCTATGAAGTCAAATATCAGTGAGCTACTTTTTCTTGAAACTAATTTTGTTGGGTGGTGGAGGGGGATTTAATTGATGTTTTGTTAAGTGTGAGATAATGTAGCTTCGGTGCTTGATTTAATGCATAATGGAAGGGGGTATGACCCTTTGTAAGTTTAGACCTTTTGTAAGATGAGAGTATAAATTTAATTTCTAAAATAGTCAGATAAATGTAACTATTCTCAGATTGTGAACTAAGATATTTCACAACTCTTTTTATTTCAGAGATACGCATTTCTAAGTAATCCAGTGCCAGTGGCGCCCCCTGATGAACTTGAAGAGACTGGGTATATCCAACCACATGTCAATTTGCTAAGTAGAGCCATCTGGTGGTGGTTGAACCCACTTCTACGTTACGGATACAAAAACACGCTCGAGCTAAAGGATCTAGGAAAACTACCAAAGGTAATGATATATTATTATAAGGGAAAATATTCACTGTGTTGATATCACAATTTTCCACTGAACATAATTTTTGGTGAAGACATGTAGTGAAATATTCTATTAATATTATCACGTCTGTTGAGGTAAATTCCTCGTCAGTATTTAAGCAGCCCATAAATTATCATAAAGAGAGCCCAATATTCTTCTTGGCGGCTAGGCAACAGTTGTGTGGACCTTTTCTCTTTCTAATTTGTATAACCTGATTAATAAAGTGACATCATTGAAATTTGTGTGGGCCAATCAAGTGACATCATTAAAATTTGTGTTGGTCAATCAAGTGACATCATTGATATTCAACAAATTAAGATATTCTACTAATAAGTTGACAACTAATTCTCTGTTTGTGTCTCTGAGAATTCTCTGTTTGTGTCTCTGAGAATTATCTGTTGATACAATGGGTTAAATGACAAAGGCAACCTTCCCGGAAAAGGTGAGAGAATTATTTTGAGACCCTTGTTTCATAAGATGTTATGTTCAAAACCTGACTAACTGTTGCCTAGCAACCTAAATATAAATCAAACACTAAAGTAAATCAATAGCTAATCTTTGATCACTATTTGCATAATTAAAACCATGTTGGATTTGTTATTCTACATGAGGAGGTCTTAATTAATAACTCTATTAGTTATTAAGCGTTATTATCAAGCGTTCATTGTCTAGACCCACATATTCAGCTGTTGGTACGCTAATCAATTTCAAATAGATATTTATAACATGTGGTATGTGGTAATGCATCATTGAAATGAAGTCTGGAATTTTTTCACAGAATTTGTCAGGTTATTCAAAAGAACCTTAAACCGTTAAACGATATCTCATTTCCCAGGGAACATTGCCGGGCGTTAATCCATTATTGGCCCGTAAATATGATGTCACGTATTGCTCAGGTCAATATAGTAAAATAAATGCCTTCTAAACAAGTACTAATACCCAAATAACATGCCCAGTAAGGTAGTAATAATACAACCACCTCATAGTGTTGTAACATATCAATTCTATTGTTTAGATATGTAGTCTACCATAGTTCTGACTAATGTAATCATGTTATGATACTATATGTCAATAAAAGTTATATATATTAATAAATATCAGCCCTTATATTGTACCTGATGTCTGCAGAGTATAATAATATTGGCTTTTAGATTATGGATGCTATTGATTCTCTCAGGCCCTGTGATTCATTTGATCCTGTAGTATCTATTATATTCTAATGTTAAGGTTAATATATTTTGGTTTAAAGGCACTTCATGAATGTAATTGTTGAGGGATGTCACAAAATTAATGGCAACTAGCATTGAGTCACATGCATATTTAATTTAAATACAGGGACTGTTATGTCTGTTTGTCCGTAAATCAAGACAGTAATCAAATCAAGAGAATGATAGAAGACAACAAATGAAGACAGTGATGCAGCAGCAACAAATGATGTCCGTTTCTCAGTTTCTAATAGATGGTAATCAGGCCTTACTCTTTTAAGGCATTTCATTTGTAAATGTTGAGGAAGGGCACAAAATTGATGTCTATTAGGGCAAGTAAGTACAGGGTCTGTAATGTCTGTCCGTCCGTTTCTCAGTCCACCTGTTCATATGACAATTCAAGTATATTCTAATAGATGGTTATCACTGGCCTTACTCTTTTAAGGCATTTCATTTGTAAATGTTGAGGGAGGGCACAAAATTGATGTCTATTAGGGCAAGTCTTTTAAGTACAGGGTCTGTAATGTCTGTCCGTCCGTTTCTCAGTCCACCTGTTCATATGACAATTCAAGTATATTCTAATAGATGGTAATCAGGCCTTACTCTTTTAAGGCATTTCATTTGTAAATGTTGAGGGAGGGCACAAAATTGATGTCTATTAGGGCAAGTCTTTTAAGTACAGGGTCTGTAATGTCTGTCCGTCCGTTTCTCAGTCCACCTGTTCATATGACAATTCAAGTATATTCTAATAGATGGTAATCAGGCCTTACTCTTTTAAGGCATTTCATTTGTAAATGTTGAGGGAGGGCACAAAATTGATGTCTATTAGGGCAAGTCTTTTAAGTACAGGGTCTGTAATGTATGTCCGTCCGTTTCTCAGTCCACCTGTTCATATGACAATTCAAGTATATTCTAATAGATGGTAATCAGGCCTTACTCTTTTAAGGCATTTCATTTGTAAATGTTGAGGGAGGGCACAAAATTGATGTCTATTAGGGCAAGTCTTGTAAGTACAGGGACTGTAATGTCTGTCTGTCTGTCCGTTTCTCAGTCCATCTGCTAATATGTTCAGGGATTCATATGACAGTTCTATTATATTCCATTTGGAGGTAATCTACAATATTGGGCACTTAAAGACACTTGACTAGATGCTTGGGTATATTTGAAGAATACCAACTTTTAATGCCTATTACTATGAATATATATACTGTTGAATAGTACATTTTAGGTGACTGATATCTTTATTCTTTTCCATCAAAAAAGTAAATGATCAAATGACCCAAGGATAAAATATTTTTTAGTAATTGTTTGATGGATTTATGCTGGGAAAGTGAATCTTCCTGTGACTGGATGATGATCTGAGAGATGGTTAAACAGTGCCACCTCCCCCTCTAGTCCTCCATTGTCTATAAGCTGGGTACACAGTGGGTCATCTGGGAAGACATACTCCTCCAGTGGAATACACAGCTCACACCAGCATACAGAGAACTGCTGCTGATGGGGTGTCGGTGTTACCTCCATTGTGGCCGATGTTGGTTGGAGATGAGCCAAGCTATGGGTGACATAGTCGATCCATTTTGGTCTTGAATTTGGACTTTTCTTACGCTGGACATCATTCGTGTTGGGGTCTGATGTGAACATGAGGCTCCCTATGCGTTCGATTGTCTGTGGTGCATTCAGGGCATTCATGAATTCTGCGTATCGGTCACCTTCATCTTGATATGCAGTGTTAAAATCACCACCATAGATAACTGCCTCTGTGGCAGGTATGTTGCGACTTACAGCAAACTGGCGCATCTCTCCTGCTTGGTCAATGCGCACTTGATCCCCTTCAGCACCGCCCCCTGCTTGCATATGGGTGCCGAAAATATGGTATGGTTTCGTGACCCCGCCAGAGGTTTTCTCGATTTTGGCATAGCCTACTCCCTTCGCCGCAAAATCATCAGCGGTAAAATCAAGTCTGTTTTGGAAGATAATTTGAGCCTGCGCTGTGATTGGCCAACGGGATGAAATAAAGACACCTCCATTTTCAAATGTATCATTTGGATCATCGATCGTTGAGGTGTGATATGGGAATCCATGTTGCGTCATGAGGTGGCGGAGATTTGCCTCATCTTGCCAACAGCCTCCCATAAATGCTTCCTGCCAAATAACAGCATCAGTGTCGGGCAGAACACGCACCAGATTCTGCGGGATTCGGCATGTTCTCTCTCGTTGGCCATCATGAGTGATACCAAAGTCACGTTCAAAAATGTTGTATGAGAAAACCTGAATCGAGTTGGCTGGCGTTGGAGGATTTAGCGCAGGGGCTACACGAGACTGACAGCGCGCTTTTGAGCCTGAGGTGCACCACTGGCTCCCTCTATCTCCACGTGGATGACTCACGTCAAATAAGAAATCAGAAAAGGCACAGCGTTGTGGAGATCTTGCATCACATGAAGGTGGCGTGCCTGAAGATAAAGTTTAAATCATGTGACTGAGCTATCAATGGAACATGCATGATGTTGACTTACTGTATATTTGACCAACTGTGACTCCATTAATGTGACTGGACTAATAAAGGACCATGAAATGTTGGCTTATAGTGTTTCGACATATGAACATGTATGTGTTGTTGAGTCTGATTAATTAGAGGCAGATGCAAGGTACTAACTAAGCCAATAACAGCAATTCTACTGGAGCAGCTGGATAGTTATATATTGACCTAAATGTTATCTGATCAAATAAGGCTAGATCAAAGATTGTCTGATACTCAAAGAGTGTAGGGCTTAAAGTCTGAAACTTGAAAAGGTTAAATTTTATACAGTCCCCTTATATTAACACTTGTCTTACCTAGCCATACGGAGGGCCTTGTAACTTGTGCTGGATCAGCATAACAAATATTCTCTGTAGGATGACAGTCAGAGTCGGCTCTGCACTGATTGGTTGTTGGGTTACATGCCTCCCCAGGACCCGGTTGAGCTGTAGCATAAGTAAATGCCGCCAGTAATATAAAAGCAACCAACATTTTGCCTGTTTGTCGTACAGTATGAATCTTGCAAAATGGTATGATTTAAAAAAAAAAATATTATCAATGGGAAACCTACAGGTGTATTTATCCCCTTCAAGTCTGTCCAGTATCACCCACCTTTGTGAAATATACGGAATCTCATGATACTAGAAACATGGAAAATATACAGTAACATACAAACATATGTGAAAATGTATCTGCATGTAATGTGCAGGTGAGCTGTAAATATGTTACATTGATTTTGATAAATAAAAAAAAACAAAAAAACACATTTCACATTATGATGTAGGAGACATTTTGTATGCTATTATTTTTTATCAACTAAACTCATAACAAAGGACCTTGTGCTAATAACACCCTCTGTACACATTCCCATGTAATGGCCTTTCAAATTTAAATTAAATTATAGAGGTGAATGATTAGAGGTATATTTTGTACATAATTCTTTCCCACCCTATACTGTATATAATATAACATATTGTGACTTCCATTTCCATTTTGTCTCACCCTCTACATAATATAAGGAGTACATGTATTGTTAACTTTTGCCCAACTCTTTATATATTATGACATATACAGGGTGAGACAAAAAGGAAATAGAATTTATATTTTGCAAGGAATATTAATTTGGCATATTGCTAACCCTTGTCTCGACCTGTAGATGACATATATTGTTAATTTTTATTTTATTTTGTCCCACCCTGATGTGTAGGCATTTACTGGATTTTATGCCACCCTGTATATATTATAACATATATTGTGACATTTACTTACAGACAGAGTGGGCTGAAAAAAACTTCATTAAGTTTAAACAGATATTTGATGCAGAGAAAGAAAAAGCTGCCAAGAAGGGGAAGCAACCATCACTTTGGATATGTTACTTCAAGACATTTTGGCCTATGATATGTCTAGGGGGACTTTTCAAGGTATTCTACAGACCCTTTATTATTTACTTAAAATGAGTTTGTTTCTTCAAGACATTTTGGCCTATGATATATCTAGGAGGACTTTTTAAGGTATTCTACAGACCCTTTATTATTTACTTAAAATGTGTTTGTTTCTTCAAGATATTTTGGCCTATGATATGTTTAAGGGGACTTTATATTCTCGCATTTTCTATTTTACTATAAAGATCTCATATTAATCTTAAATTCCTTTAGCTCAAATGTTGTAGCAAGTCATGAAAAGTAATATTTGAATGCTTAAACTATATTTTCAAACTCTACACAGGGCCTTTGAATAAAGGACTCCTATGAATCAGAATAGTGGTCATGAACTTCATGTAATATTCAGTAATTTGAAGCTCAATTATGCAAGCAGGCTGATACATTTAAGAGTTTGAATCATCTTTGAATTATTTATGATCAAGTTGATTGAAGTCATTAGTCATCCGACTGCTTAAAGGTTCACAGTTCAGAAACCTGAATATTATGTTTTAGTTTTACAAAAGGATAATATTGTTTGCCTGTGGGGCAGTCTGTCTGAAGATTTCAAGTGTCTGTATGAAGATTCCAAGTCCAGTCCTGTAAAACCATCAAAAATAATGTAGTGATTCTTATTTGTCTGAACATTTCCACATTGTTCATATTTCTCATCTTTAACTAGGAAGTGCACAAATTAAGGGGACACCCTTTAAAATTCACTCCTGTGAAAAAATGTTTGGTCTTTTTTTGTAATGAAGCCCATAGTATTTGACTATCTTCCTAAATAGATCTGAAACCCTCTTTTTTCAATTTAATTCACTTTATTCCAAACTTTTAGACATCTATGCGTTCACAATGACATGAAAAAAGACACCCCATACGGTTTGTAAAATCCATGTTTATCATAGAATATAGCATTTGTAAAATTAACAGTGGTTATATTGAAACAGAAAATGACAAATCATTGGATCTGTCAGTGATATTTTTGAGTAAAAATTACTTTGTATTTCTACTAGGTGCTGGCGGATGCCTGCCAACTCATCGGCCCTATGGCTGTAGAGGGAATTGTGAAATATGTGGAGGAAGTCCGATCTCGACCAGAAAATATGACAATAACTGAAGTATGTCTATTGCCTTTCTATTATAGAATATATTAATCTTATACAATACAGAAGAACTTGTGTAAACCCCCAATCTGTACTATGAAATCACGATACTGTACAATGGTACTGTACGGTACTGTTCAGTGTCATACAGTTCTCGGTACTGTTTGAGTCTATAGTACCATACGGTACCATAGCCAAAACAGTACCCAGATTGGCTGAGTAAGTGGAACACATTTGGTACATTTAAAACATTCTCCACTTGGGATATATTCTACTTATGAGATTCATTTACCTTTCAGTAAATTACATTGAGGTGTTTCACTTAACAAGTTTTCTCTACTAGAATAATGTTGAAATAAGCAAATATAATTTTGTCATTATTTCTGAAATGAAACATTATTTTGCCATCACACTACTTTTTTATTACACTATCTCTACTTTTTTATTATCTGTTTTATTGTTTTCTATAAATATTTCATACTTATTACAGGTTGATTTTGCCATTACTACAATGGAGTTCTTTTCTAATGGATTTGTACTTGCTGTTGTGTTGCTAGTGGCCTATAGTTGCATGGCAACCTTCTGGCAGAATCACTTCTATCTTTCCATTAGACAAGGGATAAGATGCAGGGCTGCTATTCAGGTGAGAGTTTGTGTGGAGTAGTATACAGGGTTACTTATGAAAGGTAAACGGTTCAATATCTGCTTCATGTGTAAAAAAACACTTGTGCAATACAAAATATTTACCCAACATAGGACAAATGTAAGCAAATATTTTGCTGTACATTAGTTGAATTTCAAAATGGTGCCAATTTCTGAGGAGAAGTGTTATTTAAAAAAGAGGTAGGAGACATTTCAGCTATTCTGTATATTTCCATTATGAATTGTTCAAAGAGAGTGATATCCAATTTTGGAACTTTCGTAACTTTCAATTTGGTCCTCATTATTCCTCAAAAACTAGAAAATGGTTTTCTTAGAATCATAAGGTACGATCGACCAAAAATGAACCCCTGTTGGGTTACTATTTCTAGATTTTTTCTAGTTTAATATGCTTTCCTGAGCTTCACATTTAGTTTTGTTTATTGGCCTTTTTGCAGTCCATGGTGTACCACAAGTCTCTGCGTTTGTCTACATATACTATGAGTGAGGGCACAATGACCCAGGGGCAGATATTAAATCACATGTCTAATGACTGTTTCCACGTGATGATGTTGTTCTACATGGGTCACTTTGCTTGGACTTTGCCCATACAGGTACTTTTTGCAATAGATAGGGGCAGATATTAGATCACATGTCTAATGACTGTTTCCATGAAATGATGTTATTCTACATGGGGACACTTTGCATGGACTTTACCCATACAGGTACTTTTTGCAATAGATAGGGATAGGGGCAGATATTAGATCACATGTCTAATGACTGTTTCCATGAAATGATGTTATTCTACATGGGGACACTTTGCATGGACTTTACCCATACAGGTAATTTTTGCAATAGATAGGGATAGGGGCAGATATTAGATCACATGTCTAATGACTGTTACCATGAAATGATGTTATTCTACATGGGGACACTTTGCATGGACTTTACCCATACAGGTAATTTTTGCAATAGATAGGGATAGGGGCAGATATTAGATCACATGTCTAATGACTGTTTCCATGAAATGATGTTATTCTACATGGGGACACTTTGCATGGACTTTACCCATACAGGTACTTTTTGCAATAGATAGGGGCAGATATTAAATCACATGTCTAATGACTGTTTCCATGTGATGATGTTGTTCTACATGGGGACACTTTGCATGGACTTTACCCATACAGGTACTTTTTGCAATAGATAGGGGCAGATATTAAATCACATGTCTAATGACTGTTTCCACGTGATGATGTTGTTCTACATGGGACACTTTGCTTGGACTTTGCCCATACAGGTACTTTTTGCAATAGATAGGGATAGGGGCAGATTTTAGATCACATGTCTAATGACTGTTACCATGAAATGATGTTATTCTACATGGGGACACTTTGCATGGACTTTACCCATACAGGTACTTTTTGCAATAGATAGGGATAGGGGCAGATATTAGATCACATGTCTAATGACTGTTACCATGAAATGATGTTATTCTACATGGGGACACTTTGCATGGACTTTACCCATACAGGTACTTTTTGCAATAGATAGGGGCAGATATTAAATCACATGTCTAATGACTGTTTCCACGTGATGATGTTGTTCTACATGGGACACTTTGCTTGGACTTTACCCATACAGGTACTTTTTGCAATAGATAGGGATAGGGGCAGATATTAGATCACATGTCTAATGACTGTTTCCATGAAATGATGTTATTCTACATGGGGACACTTTGCATGGACTTTACCCATACAGGTACTTTTTGCAATAGATAGGGGCAGATATTAGATCACATGTCTAATGACTGTTACCATGAAATGATGTTATTCTACATGGGGACACTTTGCATGGACTTTACCCATACAGGTACTTTTTGCAATAGATAGGGGCAGATATTAGTTCACATGTCTAATGACTGTTTCCATGAAATGATGTTATTCTACATGGGGACACTTTGCATGGACTTTACCCATACAGGTACTTTTTGCAATAAATACTCAGTGTAAGCATAATACATTAATATTTTGTTTGAACATAAAAGTCAATGACCAGATAGATCAGTTGATCCATTCGGTTTAACTAAAAATTTCGTGACATTTAGGATATTTTTTACTATTATAAGACATTTTTGTCAGAATAACGTCATGAAAAAAATTTCAAAAAATAGAATGAATCCTGGTGATTGTTGTAATTGTTTAACGAACATAATAAAGCCGAAACTCAAAAAGTGTCCCACTTAGGAGGGGTTCCACTTACAGAGGTTCATTTTATTCAAATTCAAATTATATTGGCCTTCAAGTAACATTTCACATTTTAAATTACAAGTTCTATTTTACAAATTTTACTTCCTAATCTCTATCCTATTCCAGTTGACAGTCATATTTGCTCTGCTATACATACAAGTGGGAGTCAGTGCTTTGATTGGTGCTGGTTTTCTGGTATCCCTGCTACCATTACAATATGTAGTCGGGAGCTACCTGGCAAAGATGCAGAAAAAGATATTGGTAAGTGCCTTTCTATTTCTTTGACTCTTTTGTAATAATTATTTGATCAAAGATGTTGCTTGGAAATAAGTAAGGGTTTCAGTACAAGTGTCATCATAGTACACTGTTTGTTACATGTTGAAGCAAGGCATTGGCATATCCTATGCTAAAAATGCATCATTCTGGAAAGATAAAAGTCAAGTCAGCTATCTTCCCTTTCTGCTAGAATTTTTTTTTCATGTGTATCTTGCAATTTAATGCTATCATTATTTTCACATATTTTCATCTATTTCAAATTTTTTATTTTCACATGTTTTCACATTTTAGGAGAGTGCAGATGAGAGATTAAAACAAGCCAATGAGATGTTGCAGGGAATTGTCTTATTCTCACATATTTCACATTTTCGGAGAACGCAGATGAGAGATTAAAAATCAGCCAATGAGATGTTACAGGGAATTATCTTATTCTCACATATTTCACATTTTTCACATTTTAGGAGAATGCAGATGAGAGATTAAAACAAGCCAATGAGATGTTGCAGGGAATTATCTTATTCACACATATTTCACATTTTAGGAGAATGCAGATGAGAGATTAAAACAAACCAATGAGATGTTGCAGGGAATTATCTTATTCTCACATATTTCACATTTTTCACATTTTAGGAGAATGCAGATGAGAGATTAAAACAAGCCAATGAGATGTTGCAGGGAATTGTCTTATTCTCACATATTTCACATTTTAGGAGAATGCAGATGAGAGATTAAAACAAGCCAATGAGATGTTGCAGGGAATTATCTTATTCACACATACATGTATTTCACATTTTAGGAGAATGCAGATGAGAGATTAAAACAAGCCAATGAGATGTTGCAGGGAATTATCTTATTCACACATTTTTCACATTTTAGGAGAATGCAGATGAGAGATTAAAACAAGCCAATGAGATGTTGCAGGAAATTATCTTATTCTCACATATTTCACATTTTTCACATTTTAGGAGAATGCAGATGAGAGATTAAAACAAGCCAATGAGATGTTGCAGGGAATTGTCTTATTCTCACATATTTCACATTTTAGGAGAATGCAGATGAGAGATTAAAACAAGCCAATGAGATGTTGCAGGGAATTATCTTATTCACACATATTTCACATTTTAGGAGAATGCAGATGAGAGATTAAAACAAGCCAATGAGATGTTGCAGGGAATTATCTTATTCACACATATTTCACATTTTAGGAGAATGCAGATGAGAGATTAAAACAAGCCAATGAGATGTTGCAGGGAATTATCTTATTCACACATATTTCACATTTTTCACATTTTAGGAGAATGCAGATGAGAGATTAAAACAAGCCAATGAGATGTTGCAGGGTATTAAGTTGTTAAAGCTCTATGCATGGGAAGCTCTGTTCTGTAAAAAAGTTGAGGATGTGCGCAAGAAAGAGTTAAAATTCCTATTTAAGGCAGCATGTCTCTGGGCTGCAACTTGTAAGTATTATTTAATATTCACAAAGGGAGTGCATTTGCACTGAAAGGAGCATTTGCAGTACTGAAAATATAACTACTTCAAAGAAAACATAATTTTTATGCCAAATGCTCTATTTTTGGTCTGAATATACAGTGTAGTCATGGTCATAGATTATGACTGCCTTAAATCATTTGCAATACAATACCCAACCTTTTGTACTTAAAAAAGGGGTACAATTTCATTACAAAAAACATACTTAAAACGCTCCTTAATCAGTTCACGTGTCCTTCCCAAGTGATTGTCACAATATAGAGCATTCACGTGGATGAAGCTTTTTATCACACCATCAGTGGGATATAGTCGTCATACTGGTCGTGGTCGTGATCGTGATCGTCCCGCTTTTTGTCATCGCCATTTAAGGAAAACTGCTCATCAGATTTTCTCCAAATTCGCAGAGATGATAGAGCATATGAAGTACTAGAGCTGATTATCCCAACGAACGAAGTTCGGTAGGGATATAGTGAAGACCTCCGTCCATCCGTCAGTCCGTCAGTCCGTCAGTCCGTCAGTCAGTCATATTTGGTGGAAAGATGTATATTGATGAATAGTTTTACGCAAAAAAAATGGCCGCCGCTTTAAAAATGACGGAACTTTTTCGTAAAAATCATAAATTTTTCATTCTAAACCAAAGTAATTAATATTATTGTTTGAAATTTTGGTAGTATATTCGCAACATCTATCTTTTTCACATATATTCCGTGTTTTTCATCCTGACCCCCAGGGGCCGTGTATGGGGGGTCAGGAAAACAGAAATTTTCGCTAATTTTTAGATCTTTCTGAAGTATAGCTTTATTATACTCAAATGAAAGGCAATTAAGAATAGATTGCAAATATTGTATCTTTTTTCTGATTCAAGCCTCGTAAAATTCAAAATGGCCGTCTAATGTACGATTTCGCAATAATTTTTCGATCCCTTCAAAGTATGGCTATATAATACTCAAATTGAAGGAATTTTGGAGTAGATCACAATTATGGTATTATTTGTCAGATTTGTACCTCAGAAAATGGATTTTTTCAAGATGGCCGCCGCTTTAAAAATGCGGGACTTTTTCGCAAAAATCATAAAATTTTCATTCTAAACCAAAGTAATTAATATTATTGTTTGAAATTTTGGTATTGTATTCGCAACATCTATGTATTTCACATATATTCCATGTTTTTCATCCTGACCCCCAGAGGCCCGTGTATGGGGGGTCAGGAAAACAGAAATTTTTAGATCTTTCTGAAGTATAGCTTTATTATACTCAAATGAAAGGCAATTAAGAGTAGATTGCAAATATTGTATCTTTTTTCTGATTCGAGCCTCGTAAAATTCAAAATGGCCGTCTAATGTACGATTTCGCAATAACTTCTCGATCCCTTCAACGGATGGCTATATATTACTCAAATTGAAGGAATTTTGGAGTAGATCACAATACACTCTATTGTTTTTTAGATTTGTACCTCAGAAAATTCAAAATGGCTGCTTTGCAGGAATTCGCAATTCTAAAATCTAAATTTTTCAATTTTAACCAAAGTAATGAGTATAATTAATTGGAATTCGGTAATTGATATTTTGTTCGTTGGGATTTGCTACTCCGCGGAGTTGCCATTATCTAGTTAACTTTTGGGCGGCCATTTTGAAGGTTTTTCGAAAAATTTTGTCATCGCCATTTCAGGAAAACCGCTCATTGGATTTCCTTCAAATTTACACAAATTATAGAGGATATCAAGTACTAGAGCTGATTAACTTTTGGGCGGCCATCTTGTTTTCTGGCAGCCATTTTGAAGATTTTTCAAAAAATCTTGTCATCGCCATTTCAGAAAATCCGCTCATCGGATTTCCTTCAAATTTACACACATGATAGAGGATATCAAGTACTAGAGCTGATTAACTTTTGGGTGGCCATCTTGTTTTCTGGTGGCCATTTTGAAGGTTTTTCAAAACATCTTGTCATCGCCATTTCAGGAAAACCGCTCATCGGATTTCCTTCAAGTTTACACAAATTATAGAGGATATCAAGTACTAGAGCTGATTAACTTTTTGGCGGCCATCTTGTTTTCTTGTTCTTGAAATTTGTAAACATAATAGGAGAACAGTTTTCTTGGTTCATAGTGTCTGCCTATTTGATGGTGTGATCTCGTTCACGTCCTGTGCCTTGTTGAAGTTTCCAATGGACATTTTGACATTAGAAATAAAACAAGAGCCCTTGCATTTGGCTTTCTTAAGGCATCATATGCCACTTGAATAGACATAATATCTGGAGGGATTAATTAAAGTCAAGTGGTGGTGGAGTTTACAGATTGTTCTTAAACTGTCTCACTTGATAGAGAAATTGGCAATAAGGTAATTCCAGCTGATACAAATACAGACAATAATACCTCTATACTGTAGATAACAAATCACAGTTCCAATGTTTAAAGTTATGATAACCTCCAGGCCTCAATTTCTTTGCTCATTCCAACTTAATACTTTGAACACTATTTGCATATGTCGTAGGGTACCATATGAGCTAATATTTAAATGTATTTTATATTATAGTGTTTATCACAGATGGTGCCCCTATTTCTATCACACTTGTGGTAAGTCTATTTGTTGTTATCAATGTTATAATGGTTCTTTCTCTTTAACTAGAAAGCATATTAAACCTGCACATTGCTGTCAAATGCAATATGTCGACATACTGGTATATTATTTTTACATTTTCATACAACCAACAAGATTATTAAAGCTCTGGGCTAGTATAAAGTTGGTGTGGCTAAAAACTGTTTTTCTGCGTAACATCACCATTGTATATTCTTTCATTAAAGCTCAAAATCTTACAGTTGACCCCGGAACAACTCAAGATTACAGGTTTAAGTATTGAGTTAACAGAAAGGATAATATTAGTCAGTTAGGGTAATGAGCATTAGAGCCTGCATGGCATGAGTCGTGCAACGGAATTTAACAGAAATATGTTTCTCAGATGTTTTTTAAACTCTCGAAATGAAGTCTTACTATGAATTACAGTAAAACTTGTCTTTTAATGTGTTGGTACCTTAAAATAATGTTCCATTTTGGAGGTGTTTCACTTACAGAGGTTCATTTTATTGGATAGCTAGACTGTGAAAAGTAAAGAGCTTTTCTATTTACAAATGTGTTCTACTTCACAGGTTTAAGTGAAGTCTTAATTTGTGCCTCACATGTTGAATTTTGCCTAGCCTGAATTTAGATTCTGGTTTTGTCATGATGTAGGGTATCCTTAATTTGGCAGAATGGAATAAATGTCTAGAAAATGTCAGCTGAATGTAGAAACTTTTAGAAAATTTGTATGACAAAAACTTATATATTCTTATATAAACTTATATAAACTCAATATATTGTGCATGTTGTTCCAGACATTCTGTGTATACCCCTACATTCTGCCTTTAATATATAAACTCAATATATTGTGATTATTCCAGACATTCTGTGTATACCCCTACATTCTGCCTTTAATATATAAACTCAATATATTGTGATTATTCCAGACATTCTGTGTATACCCCTACATTGAAGGACAACAGCTTACAGCATCTAAAGCCTTCTCTGCCCTAGCGCTGTTCAATCTACTTGCCATCCCCCTCGTTGTTGCTCCCATGGTGATTAACATCATTACACATGCCAAGGTCAGCACAGATCGTCTGCTACCATTCTTCCTTGCATCAGAGGTAGAGGGCAGCACTATAGAACAAGATGGCCGACAAAATGGCAACGTTGGTAGTGAGGTATATATGTACATTAAACATGTCACGTGAAATCAACATCCAGTTTTAGTAGACTTTTACCAAAGTAAAGGGTTGTTTGCTTAAGGTGAAATGTTTTATATATAACGATTTCTTTGCTTGTTTGATTCACTCATTTGTAATTGATTTTTGTATTGCAGAGAGATATTTCAAAGACAACCAAAGATGGAGCTCAATACAGTGCAGTAAAAACTCAGGAAGATAATGTTGCTGAAAAGGATACTAAAATCCATGAAGACAATGTTATTGAAATAAAAGATGGCGAGTTTACATGGGATTTTGAATCAAAAGAGCCATTACTGAGCAATGTGCAATTAACCATTCCAAAGGGTAGGTGGATTTAATGTATATTATCTAAATGAGTAATATGTGCCATTTTAAAGTGTACTAATGTCCTGATAGTTGGTCAATATTGAAGAAGACAAACATCTTCTCAGTGATCAGCCTTCTTGAGATCACAAAAATACAAACGCTATTTAACTGGTGACTCATTCTTGATGTTCTACCCTAAAGGAAAAGGAATGTTGTCTGGCACTTAAAACCTTATAATACTGGGGCAGGATGATATGTTCTAATATTTCATGCAGCATCTGGTGTGCAAACTATGATTGCAGGTCAAGTAATCTTATTTTTCTTAATTGCAGGTGAGCTGACTATGATAGTTGGCCAAGTAGGTTCTGGGAAATCTTCACTATAATAATGTTACTTATTTTGCTGCAGGTGAGCTGACTATGATAGTTGGCCAAGTAGGTTCTGGGAAATCTTCACTATAATAATGTTACTTATTTTGCTGCAGGTGAGCTGACTATGATAGTTGGTCAAGTGGGTTCTGGGAAATCTTCACTATTGTCTGCCTTGCTGGGAGAGATGACTACAATGGGAGGAACAGTCACATGGAGCAGGTGGGTTGATTCTAACTGATGACTTAAAGTTCAGTGATGTCAACACAACACAAGCATGTATGGGGGGACTAATGACTCACAAATATGTAAGATGAGGACATTAATTGATATCAAACCTAATCCTTTAAATGGTATATTGTATGATGTATCGAAATTGAACTTGAAATCACAAATTTATTTTGAGGACATTTAGTTTCTCTCTATTGGAAGATTTTAGACTTTTGTTGAGAATTGACCCGAATGTAAGTCAACACATGTTGTTTATAATCAAATGTTGCTTGTTGTTCTAATTAAATCATACCTCTGGGAAATCTCTTCTTTCGTGGCATTGCTATATTCCAAATATGAAAACCAATCTGGAATTATCCACTTCTATCCCACTGTTATGTTTCTATTACAGAGATGTAAAGATAGCTTATGCTGCACAGAGGGCTTGGTTAATGAATTCTACTGTTAGAGACAATATACTGTTTGGGGAGCCATATGATGCAGAAAGGTTGGTCAATGTTCATTATTAACATCAAGACAAGACAGAGATTGTTGTTCAATTTTAGAAGTCATAACGTCATTGATTAATTAGAGTCAATACGTCCAAATCCAAACAGGGGGGTAAACACGAACGGGTTCCAAATAATGGAAAGCAGATCATTGAATTGAATAATAGTACCTCTACTACCTCTACATAATATTTATAGCCTGAAAGATACAATATAATGATGTATACCAACAATCTTACAATAAAATAATCAATTATGATGATTTAGGTGTTCGGAATTACCCCCATGCTAGTGTTTGGAATTACCCCCACAAACTCTGTGCGTTTAAATAAATAGATGTCAGTAATAAATGATTTAAATTTGGGTTTCTTGATATGCAGGGGTGACAGGATCCAGTATCAAAGGTTAAGGGTATCAAATAATAATAATCTAATAATTAAAACAATTAAGTTTAAGTTAAGTGTTTGGAATTACCCCCATGCAAGTGTTCGGATTTACCCCCCCCCCCCCAAAAAACACCTGTTCGGAATTACCCCCCTAAAATACCTTGTAGTAAAAATGGAATAACCCAGATATTTTTTACAATTTTTCGTAATTTTTTCTGCAAATGCATTCTACAATGGATAATACACATAATATATATAGAATCATAGCATAGATGTGCAGTACAGCCAAGCTAACTACATTTTTTGATGGGGGTGTTTGGAAATAGACGTACTGACTCTATTCTATTGAAGGATGTTATGGTAGGTATCGAAAATTCCTAAACTTTCTTATTGCTTTTATCTTGTATATAAGTTTCATTGAACTAAGTACTAAACTGTAAGTTAACATGTTTTATTTCAAATATCTCAATATTTAATCCTTTTTAGACTTGGTGCAAATATTTTCTAAAAAATAGTATTATTTTTAGGTTTTTAGCAGTGTGTAGCGCCTCTTTGCTTAAGAGAACACTACACTCTCACATAACACATTTTTCTCTTGAATATAAATGCTATAATGAATAAATCCAGTCTCATGTTTGTTGTCTTTCACCAGGTACAATGAGGTCATCAAGGCCTGTGCTCTGGAACCTGACATCAAGATATTACCAGCAGGGGATCAATCTAAAATAGGGGAAAATATGAATATGTCCAGTCTCATGTTTGTTGTCTTCACCAGGTACAATGAGGTCATCAAGGCCTGTGCTCTGGAACCTGACATCAAGATATTACCTGCAGGGGATCAAACTGAAATAGGGGAAAATATGAATATATTCAGTCTCATGTTTGTTGTCTTCACCAGGTACAATGAGGTCATCAAGGCCTGTGCTCTGGAACCTGACATCAAGATATTACCAGCAGGGGATCAATCTAAAATAGGGGAAAATATGAATATGTCCAGTCTCATGTTTGTTGTCTTCACTAGGTACAATGAAGTCATCAAGGCCTGTGCTCTGGAACCTGACATCAAGATATTACCTGCAGGGGATCAAACTGAAATAGGGGAAAAGGTAAATATGCATGTTATCAGAGGAATAATTCAAACCAGGTTTTTATCGAAATAGTTTGCTAAAATAGAAGAGCTTATGTGGGACACCTATGGAGGAAATGAATACATTAGATTTTAAAAACAGGCTTGCACCCACCTGAAACTCTATTTGCACCCACTTGAAAATTAGAAAAATCTTGAAACATGGGCATATTTTTTACCAATTTTGCTCTTAATTGTGTAAATGAGAATTTTGCACCCACTTGACAAAAGAGAAAGCTGTGATATATATTTGAAGTATAATTGTTATGTTGTTCTTAAATCAGGTATTCCTGAAACTGTAATATTGTATAATCCTACATTTTAGGGTATCAACATGAGTGGAGGCCAGAAGCAGAGGGTCAGCGTTGCCAGGGCGATGTATTCACAGACTGATGTACTTATCTTGGTGTGTACCTGTTATCATTTTGAATATACATTTTTGACACAGCTTTTAAGTTCATATTGTTTCTTGGACTTCAAAGGAATGCCCAATGTACTTTATGTTAAAACTGGTTATTTTGCCAAAATGATTTTCGATTTTATAATTATTAAAGAGCCTTTTATAGGTTATTTGTATTTCCTCTTTTCTGTAGGATGACCCCCTTTCTGCCTTAGATGTTCATGTAGGTTCCCATATCTTTCATCATGGGATACAGGATTTCTTGTTGTCACAACAACGTACTGTTGTCTTGGTTACACATCAGCTACAATACCTACCTCAAGCTAAACAGGTAATCTTTAGTGTGCATTAAAGTTAAATGGCAAAAAATAAAGAACTTGTTGCCTTGGTTATGCATTAATTTAAAAACTGATTAAAAGGTTGAATTCAAGAAGTTTAATTAAGTGTATACAGTATACAGTTTAATTGTCTTACTAGGTATAAAATTCCATCAAGTCAACGGATTTTTTATTTTCTAGGTGTATGTAATGAAGGATTGTGCAATAACACACAATGGCACGTTGGATGATATAAAAACTGATGATCCTGCACTCTACGCACAATGGCAAGATGCCATACTCTCAGCTAAGTATGTTTACTCCTTAAGATTATAGAAGTTGCATACAGTAAAACCTGTACATAGTGAACACCTATGGAGCCACAAAAACGTGTGCTTTGTAGGTAGGTGTTCACTATTGAGAGGGGATTTTATACAGGAGTCAATGTGAAATGTGTCTTTAAGTGATGTTCACTAAACTTGAAGTAGAGTTCAATACAGGGATGTGTTCACTAAGGCAGGTTTCACTGAAGTTTGGTTAGAACCTTGACTGAAAAAATAGAAAGAATTTAAGATTAAAACTCTGAATTTTAATCTCCATTATGAATGTATTGTTCAAAAATTGAATCAAAGGTTGGCCATATTCTTTTGGAAAAAAAAACAGTCTTGAGCTTAACTTATACTTTACATAAAGAATTTGATCTTGGTGCGTTGACTGGAAATACTAAGATAAACTATGTGAGACTAGAATTAAAAGGTGAGACCAATTCAGGCTTAATGAGATATTATGCTACATTTAGATTTTCACAGTTGAATGTGTGAAAAAAGCAACAAATGGTAGATGGTGACATTTTGCATGTTGATGCCTTGTTTATTTCATACATTGAAATAAACTAATAAACTTTTATTTGAAAATACAACGCAATTTTACATAGTTAGTGACACAATGCAGTTGAAAATGACCCTTAATTCACTCAACAGTTACAAATCGCTACTGTATGTGTAAAATAATGCAATATGTAATGATATTAATGAACGCATTTTCAATTTGCAGGAAAGCCCTTGAGCAAAGTCAACAGGAAGCTGAAGAGGGATTGGACTCTATATCCCTTGAGAGGGAGGAGCTAACACGTCAACTGTCACATGACAATATCCACACGTCCCCGCGATTGAGACAAGCTAAGGTGTGAACATAACTAACTAATTTACTAACACGTATTTATTTATAATATATGATATTTTCATGTAATTAATAATTATGACGGATACATTTATTAATTATGCAATTTGAATACAACTACAGTATTCACACATATTGGTAAGGTGTGTCCGATTCCAGCCAATCCAAACACAGTATATAATCAATAACGCGTTTGTTTTATGCCATCGTTATGGTGAGGGAGCTGGACTCACTGAGTGAATTGATGCTTTGTCAATTTGACCCTTACAAAAAGTTTCATCAAAAATGTGTTCTTTTAGTAATTCCATATCTTTTAAGTGACAGGGAAGAACATATTTTGCAATATGTGAAAAGAATTTAAGCCCAAGACTCAATGCATTGTGGAATGACCATTCCTTTCAGGTATTGTTTCCTAAAATTAACACTTATGCAAAGCATCAAATTTTGGAAAGCAACACCTTCAAGAAATGGTCATTCCACATTGCACTGAGACAAAGGCTTAAGTCCTTAAATCACTAATTATTACATGTCCAGGGTAAGTGGAGGTAGTGACTGAACAGGGACATTATTATTTCTCGGAATGTATTTTTAAATTTCATTAGACTGTGGCTCAATTTTTGATAATGAAACTTGAATTTGTATGTTTTAAACAACATTCTGCCTAAATTGTATTTATTTATGTATTTTTGTAGTCTCATGGCGTGCTGTCATCGTTACCTGATCACATGACATCAACACCGCACAAGGTGAAGTCAGCTGTTGTAGCACGTCACCTCCCCGAGGAGGACCTCCCAGAATTAGGACGAGCACAATCATTGACAGCGATCGCTTATCTTAGTCAGAGTAGGATGGACATATTCGGAGAAGAATTAGCGATGAAAGATAAGGTGCCTACAGGGAGTGAACTTGAGAGAAGGAAAAGCCAAACACCCGACTCTAAAGGTGATCAAATATTTAAGCTGATTCTCTGACAGAGAGGTCTTGACCATGGCTGTTGTGATTCAAAAATGATCTACTTCCAATTATTCACTTCTAAATTTATATCATGAGTTTTGGTCCTACTTCAAAATAAATTATTGCAAAACAATGGAATTTGAATGCACTGAACGAACTGTACAATCTCAGAATCATGAATGAATCATGCATGCCAATTCACTATGAGTAAAAGGTTGACTTGACTTGAATTTAATATGGAGTATTTTCTGCAAATAGGTGACGCTAATGAAGCTGGTAAACTGATAGAAGAGGAGGAGCGGGAAACTGGTCATGTCAAACTTATCGTGTACAAGTTGTATACCCAGGCTGCATCATGGTACATGGTTCTCATCACATTGCTTTGTTATGTAGCCAGACAGGCATTCAGAATGGGGATGGACTTTTGGCTTGCAGAGTGGTCAGAGGGCTCCGGGGGTAGCCATGTTGATAGTTACCATGGGAACAGCACTGGGAACTCTTCAAATAGTGAGGTGAGAATTGAAAGATAATGAAAGAAATTTCATTTTGTATTCAAATATATAGTTTTAATAATTTAGTGAATTCCCTTTTTATGTCCCCACCCAACACATAGTTTTGGGACAAATTTTTGGCATATGTGCGTCTCTGCCCCCTGTCCATCCATAGTGTATAAACTAATAGGAGAATTTATACATCATGTAGTTGAAAGACTTAATTGGAAAGGAACATCAGACATAGTTCTAAAAAGATGATGATATTAAGAAGAGTAGATATCCTTTAAGCTCATATCAATCTTTATCATATCTATTTTCCCAAAACCCAAACTTTCGTACTTCATTCCAGGAAAAACTGAATTACTTCATGTAATAAATAAATGAATTGATTTACCCCAGAAGACCTTAGTCCCTCACTTATTTGCTCTGGCACTCCAAAATTTTGATCATGGAATTTACAAATCTTTTAATTTGATCTACTGAGATAGTATACACTGTAGATATATCAGCATTTTTTTAAATTGGGAAATTCTAGTCGGTTAAATCTTAAATCATAACTATTCTAAGTCTGACAGTCCTGATTACTATATATGCCAAAACCTATCTGACCAATCAGACAGGTAGTTTGTAAAATCAGTGATATTTATTGTCATGATGCTTGCTTCCCTGGCCTCAGCTATACGTTCACTGGCCTTAGTTATACGTTCACTGGCCTCAGTTATACAGGCCTCAGTTATACGTTCACTGGCCTCAGGTATATGTATGTGTTGTTGTGCTTGCTGTATTGACCTCAGTTCTTGTTGTTTCATCCTCATTTAAGTACATGCACAATGACTTCTATTCACATAATTTTTTTAGAGGTATTCTGGGTAAATGTCAAGGTGCCCTGTTGGATTTTCCATCAAAAAATCTTGTCTCTCTATTAGTGTTGGACATTTGGGATAGGGTGACATAGGATCACCCATTTGTGGGGATATTTAAACATGTTTGTGTCATTGTATCAGAATGTGGAAATTTATGATATCCATAATGTCTAAAATTGGTCAAAAATTTAATTTTTGAGTTAGTATCTAAATCCCACTTCATGGTAAATACATATATTCAGTTGTTTTTTCCTATTGACTTATACTTTCATTATTACATCTTTTATCTGTTTTGTTTATTTTTTATTTTAGGGTGAAAAACATAAGACGTTGGAGTATTACATTACTGGATTTTTAGGTCTCGGACTAACAGCAATCGTCTTAACATTCTTTTGTGGTGTTGTTCTGGAGTACACATGTATCACAGCTTCAAAGACATTATTCTTATCCATGTTAAGGGCCATCATAAGGGCCCCAATGAGGTATAAAAATGTATAAATTCATATCATTTGATTATTTTTATTTATTTATTTTTTATTTTAGGAGCAAGCATGGCTTTGGTTTGGTTTAATCCACACTGCTATGTATTGGATTCTATGTATTAATATATAAATGGTAATATTTTTGATATTGCATGTACATGTAAGGAAGCTCTGACTTGAAACTAGCTTAATGGTAATAGAATCCTCTACAAAAGCTAGTTTCTTTAGGATGAGATTTGTAGTTAAAGCAGATATGAAATGGTATTTTTAACCTACAGGAATCAATATAATTTTTTGATAAATGTATTTGGACATGTTTTCTCATCAGTAGTGCGAAAACTATTTCACTCTAACGATCGTTATAGCTGCTTAATAAGCAATATTCGAATTGGTTGTGACGTTATTGGCCCCCACGTGATCTCTCACTGGTCCCCACGTGGTCCATAACGTCATAATGCCTAAATGTTTTGTTTTGGTTTACACTACAATCTTATGGTTGCCGTGACGTTGTGATTACTAAGTAACCAACAAACCAAAGCTATATTTTGTATATGACGTTACTTATCACGTGGGGGCCAATTTGATTGATCAGTTAGTTTTGTTTCGTTATTTATGACCGTTAGCAGTTATCTAACATTTATTTTATAATGGCTATCGCAAGAACTCTACGTTGGGCTCACAATGGAGAAAACCGCATTTTTGTAGCTGCAAGTTGAGAAAAGCTATTTCAGTTGTCCTTTAAAAATCCCATTCAGGACCATTATAATGTTTCATTTCATAATTTGTGCTTGGGCACATTTATTACAAGATCATATATATATAAATGAAAAAAATTACTCCATGAAAACAGTTTACTTATAGTGCTTTTATACTGACAGCAGATTGATTTTTGGTGCTTTTCCTGTTGAGCTTTAAATGTATCTCTAAGCTTGCCTTTTGTATAACATCAATATGTACCATTTAAGTATATTATTGTAGAATATGATTTTTTTGCTTCAAAGACCCTTAATTGGTATTTACCAGGAAGATGCTTTATATGCTTATTGCTTTACAGGGCTTAAGTTTGCTTATAGCTTGTTATTTCATATTACATTTGCATTATTTTGCTTCGTGACACATTAATTATGCTTATGTTTCACAACTTGCGAATGAATTACATGCATTTGATTTAAGCGTTGCTTACATACATAGTACAGTGAGACCTATAAAATGGAACACTTAAAAGCGGAACACCCTTTTGGTGATAGTGTTCTACTTTGAAGATGTTCCAAGCCAAGGAGGATTGGCTCCCAGAGTGCAACATCGATATTCTGTCCCATATATGGAAATGTCGTGATTCAAAATTTGAATTCAAACAGCCGCCATTTTGTTCACTTCAACATTTGAATCGTGAATTTTGGTCTTATTCCTAAATGAAAAATTCCAAAACTCACAAGAAATGATCAATATATTGGTTCGAATTTTTTGGACTGTTTATTTTAAATTTATTGTCGGTAATAATTTCAAAAAATAACGACATTTCGACGTTTTCATTGTTGGAAAATATGGATAGCCGATCCTGGGAGCCAATCCTCCTTGTTCCAAGCATAACACTGCAAAGAGGTTCATTTTATAAATGAGAAATGGTACTTTGTGAATTATCTACTTATTGAGTAGTTCTATTTATTAATATAGGACGTTGCACTATACAGATTTTACTGTACATCATAGTTTTATTATTTTGCTTCAGCCTAATGCTATTGCATGTCATTGCTTGTATTTTACAGGTGTCTCATACAGCTAAGAAAGACAATAGTTACTATGTTGGTGTCTATGTGGCTTTAGGCTTACCAACAGTTTTCCTTGCATTTGTCTGTGGGGTAGTGCTTTACATTATGAGCTTGAGTGCATCTAAAAAGCTTTTCTCTGGCATGCTTTGGGCTATTGTGAGGGCACCCATGAGGTACATGTTCCACATATTACACATAATAACTACATAATTACATCATATGTACTTAACATTTTTACTATTCAAAATTCTTTCAACTTATATTTATTTTTATTTTTTGGAAATAGAAGCAGATCATTTCGCCAATTTTGTTATTTGCATTATTTGTTAGATACATACATACATACATACATACATACATAAAGTAAATATGAATTACCTTTCCTGACTCAGAAAGAAATATAAAAGTCCTGTCTTCTAAAATAATAAAATTGCCTTAAATACGATAGCTATAGCCAGTGTCACTTGAATTAAAAGTTTGATGGATTTCAGCGATATAAGTCACATTATTAATTGAATTTGTTGTGTATTTTGTAGATTTTTTGATACGACCCCACTTGGGCGGATCCTTAACAGATTCTCTTATGACACGAATACCATTGATGAGGTAAGAAATATGTTATATATACATTATATATTTCATATATTTATTACAGTAAAACATCTACAAACTACTCTGTCATCTGAACAGCACTCAATATGAGCAATTTTCTGACCCAATTTTATAATCTCCCATTGTCCCTCTTGTTAAAAAACCTTGAAATGTGAACACCTAATCTAAGCACTTTTGGTCAGTTTATGGTATGTTGACATGTTTTACTTGATTCATAGCCTTCGTTTTGGGGGTCAGCATTTATAACAAATGGCAGGTGGTGACATTTTGCATGTTTTAATGCCTTGTTTGCATTTTGTTTCAGAAACTGCCAATCACCATTGACTCTGTATTTTACTGTGTTTTGGTGTGTTTGTCCGGCATAGTGGTTAATGGAATCACAACACCATTCTTCCTGTTGGCTGTCTTACCTCTCTGTATTTGCTACTTTGCCATACAGAGGTTCTACATCTCTTCATCAAGGTTTGGATTTTCATTTTTTTTATTTATATAATCTTTAATCATAAACTTGATAAAATATATTTCGTAAGATGTTCAGTTCAACCACTTTCATAACTTTTCAATGAATTATTATACAAGATTTACATCCTCGTCAAAATTTAAGATAAATGCCTTGATAATTGATAATTTTGAAATTCTAGTTTGCATTGATTTCAATGTGGTCAGTACAAAACATGGTTTGATTCTAAAATATGTAAAATAATATATGCCCAATTGTCAAAGATCCCAAAGTTCCCCAAATTAACTATTGTAAAAGCTGTCAGATGGAACACCTTTCTGTAGGGAACACCTGTCTGTAACATAGGAACGGTTTTCAAAAGAACCAAATATTTTCCCATTGACTTACATATTAATGGACTCTCTGTAAGGAGCACCTGTCCACTTGGATATTGTTTTAGGCCATCATAGTAACATCAAAACAACCAAAGTTACAAGTATGTTTACAGTGTTCATTTATGTTACAGGGAGCTTCAGAGGTTAGATAGTGTTAGCAGATCTCCAGTGTTCGCTCAGTTCTCTGAGACATTAGGGGGGCTACCTACAATTAGGGCATACAGGTAAATTTTCATATGAGCCTCGCCATAGGAAAATGGGTCTTATTTCAAAAATTTGATTTGTGCTAGAGCCAAATATGTGCCCAAGATGTAGAGGAAAATGTGCTAAATTCAAATCTGTCTTTTTGATCTATATCTGCAATATCTGCAACAAATGCTAGGGAAATCTATTTCTGGTTAATAGGAGAGGATTTTGAATTAGTAAATGTAATAAGGGATAATGTCATGGAACAGTAGTTGTACAAAGCTGCTGGTGAAGGAAAGTCAAAATATGACAAAAGTAATTAAATATTTGATGAAATGAGAACATTTTAACATCACTGGTTCTCCCTCATAATTCCTTTATGTAATATCATCAATAAATGTTTACTTAATTGTACATTAATGCATGTTTTTCAAGGCCCAAAAAAGGTTCAAAGACAAGAACCTTGGAAGCATATGAGTAAATCATTGATGAAATGAGAATATTTTGACATCACTTGTATTCCCTCATAATTTTTTGTATGAAATGTCATCAATAAATGTCTAAACAATGTACATTAATCCATCAAACTCTTTTTCAAGGGCACAAGAAAGGTTCAAAGACAAGAACCTTGGTAGCATTGACAGTAACAATACAGCATTTCTATATCTACACACCTCTAATGTATGGATGGGAGTTAGACTAGTAAGTCATTTTATAGATCATATTCAGTTATCTCATTACATTACATGAGTTGAATTGTACCTATCCATGATATATTTGTTACATGACCTACTTTTGCGATTTGACCTATTTCGAAATCTTTGTCTCAAAATCACCAGTTGAGCCCACCAAATTGCACCTTTATAAACTCATTTTAACAGAGCTCAGTTTTGCATCAGAACCCTGTATTGTACCTTTTCAAGTATTTTTCTCTATTTGAAAGAGAAGGAACATAGAAAACATTGTCCAAAGGTTATTTCCTCTTATTTTGGAGCATTTGTTTTAAAATGACACTTGATTTTTGAAGGACTACCTTGGTGCCGCCATTGTGTTCATAGCTGCCATTTCCAGTGTTGCTACAGGTGTGAGTGGTGCAGCAGGTCCCGGTCTTGTAGGATTAGCCATTGCTTATGCACTAAATGTAAGTGATGTACTTTCTTATAGAAAAAGTTAAGAATCTGAGAGAATCTTCGTAAAGTAAAAGTTTTGTGGTAATGACATTGAATTTTGTGTACTATGGTGAGCTTTCATTTTTTCAGCCAACTGTTTATTTAATGAATTTTTCTTATCAGTCTCGTGTTAATATGTATAATATTAATAGATAAGTTGATTTTTATTGTGTCTAGGTATCTTCCTATCTTAACTGGTTGATGAGGAATGTTTCTGAGGGAGAGATGCACTTTAATGCAGTAGAGAGAGTCACCCATTACACTAATGTGCCACAGGAACAATACGCAGGAGGTACACTATATGAAATACATGCATGTATTTGGATATTGTATCAAATGGTGTCTTTTATGAACCATCATATCGAATTATTGTTTTTTAAGAATTCACTAATGTCTTGTATGTTGTGTGAGACCTAAAAGACCCTAATATTTTCAAATATTATAGGCATTTCTTAGAACATTTGCATCTGTGAACAATGTTGTTTTTGTTTTTTCAGCTGAGGAGCCCAGTGATTCATGGCCAGACCAGGGGCTTATAGAGTTACGCAACGTTGCTTTGAGATATGCCAGTGACCTTGACCCCGTTGTGGACAACGTCAACATAAAAATAACCCCAGGGGAAAAGGTGATCTTGATATATTTTCAACTTATTTATCGGCGTGATCTTGATATATTTTCAACTTATTTATCGGCAAGATCTTTGGTTTGATATAACATGTAAGTATGGAGTTAAAGCAGTTTCCTCTGTAATTATTCAGATGGAGAAAACTTGTGGAATGATTTTGAATGTAATGAAAACAACAATTATAATACAAATTAATTATTATTTGAGCTATTTTCTATGTTTAATCATATGGCATTGCTTTTTTGGAACTATGTAACGTTCACCACAGTATGCAAGTGTCTGAATGCGATAAATAAATGTTGCAAGAAAAACTAAACTCTGATGCCCAATTTTTCCATATTTAAGGTGGGAATATGTGGCCGCACAGGAAGTGGCAAATCTTCTCTTACGCTTGGGTTGTTCCGCATCATTGATATCTGTAAGGGTCAGATCTTCATGGATGGTATTGATATATCTCGCGTCCCCCTTGAGCGCCTTCGATCTCGTATTAGTATTATACCCCAGGACCCAGTGCTCTTCTCTGGAACTGTAAGATACAATTTAGACCCTGAACATGTGAAGACAGATGATGAGCTTTGGGAAGGACTGGATATTGCCCAGCTGAAGCCAATAATCCAACAGTTACCCCTAGGACTAGGTAAGTACATTTTCCCATATTGCTTAAAAATTAGTGGAACTTTTTGCTGTAGAGGGGGGGGGGTGCCGTTGTTATTTGACACCCTGTACACAATTAGAGAAAAATAGACAGAAGTCAATGAAGAATGCATCTTTTGATGTCTTAATTCCTGAAAATTCTTTAATCCCAAAATTGCATGAAATCACTACCAAAACAGTTTATAAATGCTGATATTAACACAAAGATCTATTTCAGATCATATGTTGTGCTATCTTCTTTAAATTAAACTAATCAGTTGTAAATATGTTTGCTATAACAGCCTATACAGGCTGAAGCAGTTTGCAATAATTGACTCTGAAGTTGACACGATTATTTAATGAATAAATTCATGCTTCACCTTACTATCAGCCATTTTTTTTCCAAAAATCCCCAGGTTTCTGTTATATGGGAATTCACAAAATCATGACTTCGCAATTATGAAAAAAGTACAAATAGATAAAAATTCCTCCTGCAAATTCAATGTATTATACAGTATTTAATCCCCTCATTGTGCAAGTGTTCACTTTAGATCTTCATTTTATTGTTGTTATTCACTTTAGATGCAGTTGTCTCTGAAGGAGGCGAAAACTACAGTGTTGGTCAGCGACAACTTTTCTGTCTTGCGAGAGCATTTTTACGGAAGTCCACCATCTTAGTGATGGACGAAGCAACAGCTTCAGTTGACATGGCAACAGACAAAATCATCCAGACTGTTGTCAGGAAGGAGTTCAAAGATCGCACTGTGTTGACGATAGCAGTAAGTACACTAATAATGAGCATAAATGGGAGACCCATAATGAGCATATGGGAGATGGGAGACCCAGAATGAGTATATGGGAGACCCATAATGAGTATTATGGGAGACCCATATTATTATATATCAGATCCATAAGAGTATTGGGAGGCCCAAAATGATTATATGGGGGACCCATAATGAGTAAATGGGAGACCCATATTGTATTGTATTGTATTGTATTTTGTTTACCACCAATGAAGGTGAGCAATTCCTCTTGGGTATGTCCCGTATATATACGGTCGTAATTGACGTAATTAACATGGAAGATAGACCCAGAAACCCCTCCTCGAAGGAGCCCTGTGTTCTTTTATGTGCACTTATACATAGACATACAAGTACACACCACAGCCTTTTGTACGAGTTGCGGACCACTCAGTCAAACACCCTGAAGTACTTCACGCAAACAAGCAAATTTAGTCTTGCCTGAACCGGGGATCGAATCCGGGACCTATTGCGTTAGAGGTACTTGCGCTACCGCTGAGCTACACATAAGTTTATCGGGGACCCAAAAAGTGTTCCACTAACAGAGTTGTTCCAATTCTAGAGATGTTCCAACTTTACAGGTTTCACTGTACAGATTTAAGGGCTAATGTTTCTATTAACTTTTCTCAGATTGCTATTTAAAAAGAATATGCATTTTACAAGTACTTCAGTTGGGGTTTTACTCAGTCCAAAGATAAACATTTTTTTAAATAAGAGTATTTTTTCAGCATCGTGTGGCTACCATAATAGACTCGGATACTATCATAGTGCTTGACAAAGGCTGCATTATAGAGAATGACTCCCCAAAAGCCCTACTTGCTAAGGACACTGTATTCAAGAGCCTGGTTGAACAAAATAAGTGAGCCTCTGGTTGAACAGAATTAGTGAGCCTGGTTGAACAGAATAAGGGAGTCTTCTTGAACTGGTTGACAGAATAAGTGAGCCTGGTTGACTGATTAAGGGAGCCTTTTTGAACAGACTTGGAGCCTGGTTGACTGAATAAGTGAACCACGTTGAACAGAAAAATGAGCATGAGCATGTCTGATCAAAATAAGTGAAAACTTGGTGAACTTTATAAATGTTTGTATCCAGTAAAAAGGAGTAATGAAATACAAGTGTGAGAAAAGCGTATAATACACTCTACTATACCTAACCCCTATAAATGCATAAGATACTCTATTTGTCTAATTGTATTGTTTACTATATTTTTGAAAGTACCTTATTAACATCTAATAGACATCCGATAAACCATTCATAAGGAACAGACACATAAAAAACAAATAACATACTCATTACTAATTAGCCAAATGGGTTGCTTATGAACACCAAATGCAAGGTATAGTAGAGTGAGTAAGGAATAAAGAGAACAAGTCATGCAGTCAACATTCCAAAATGTAAAGAAATGCTTTACAGTGATCTCCCCAGCATTAAAGCAAGTGGGCGCAGCACCCACCTGAGATTTTGAAAATAGGCTTGCACCCACCTGAAAATCCATTTGCACCCACTTGAAAATGAGAAAAATCATGAAAAATGGCCATATTTTGACCAATTTTGGTCTGAAATGTGAAAATGAGAATTTTGCACCCACTTGAGAAAAATTCCTAGGGAGATCACTGCTTTATAAGCATAAGAAGTGACACTATTTAGTACATGTACAGGGTGTCAAGTAAATTCATTCTCCCCTTTAGCTTTAACATCCACATAATGTTGAATAACATTTTTGTCAGCACATTAAAACTTCATGGAGCAACTCCACAATAAATTTCAGATGACTAGCTCAACTGGATGCACTTTTATGCACAAAAGTTCATACTTCTGAAATTAAGGGGGGGGACATATTTATTTGACACCCTGTATATTAGGCATTCATGATCAAGAATTGTAGAAATATGTTCTTGAACATCCTCTGAATGTAAAGCTTTTGTTAAATGTGAACAAATATCAGATTGTCCTTAGAGTGCAAATCATCTTTGATAAATATGTGTAGGTTAGTAAAGTGAATCAGGTTGCGAGTTTATTAATTACCCATTTTAAATTGATAAATTGCAGGGTGAAAATCATGTTACGTTAAAAAGTAGATTTAAACATTCAGAAGGTGGAATATTGTACATGTTCACTGTTTAGTGAATTCAGTGATTGAACTAAATCAAATAAGCTGCATTGTAATTATATTTAAACTGTAAATATGCCCAGTACTTACTACGGGTTTTCTATTTTATGTATTACTCAATTTGAAGAATCTTTTTTTGTCCAGTACTTGAATTTCAGAACTTAAAGTAGAAATCTGAATTTCAGTTTACTTGTCATATTACTTGTATTTTCAGTTGTATGTACAACACAATGTATAGAATCTTTGAAATGTCAAGTACTTGAATTTCAGAACTTAAAGTAGAAATCTGAATCTCAGTTTACTTGTCATATTAATTTTCTGTTGCATTTACAACTCAATTTATAGAATCTTTTATATGTCCAGTACTTGAATTTCAGAACTTAAAGTAGAAATCTGAATCTCAGTTTACTTGTCCTCATATTATTTGTGTTTTCTGTTATGTATTACTCAATTTATAGAATCTTTTTATGTCCAGAACTTGTATTTCAGAACTTAAAGTAGAAATCTGAATCTCAGTTTACTTGTAGTCATATTACTTTACTCTGTTTTCTTTTTCATGTACCACTCAATTATAGAATCTCGACCTCTCTTTATGGGTCAAAGATTAGATTATTTCTGGTTGTGTTTTGTAAAGTTTTAGTTGTTATAGTATTATTCCGTCAGAGGTTTCAATACAATTTCTAGTAAAGTGATTTTAAATACATGTATTTGTAAAAAAAATTACAAAGAAATACAGTATTTTAAATCACTTAATATGACAGTTGGTTTTTGAATAAATCGAACATTTTCTCATTTGCCTCAGTTATTCAAAGTATTACATGTATTCATATAGGGGAGCATGTACATGTAGATTTAAATAGTTTTACTAAATTATGACTCAATATAGATGGCACCAGTAGTTTTTATGTCACCTCCATAACTTGTATCAAAATCTACTGATGGTGCAAATTATAGGATGTGATAGCACTTCAAAATATTGATGTATTAACATCCAGAACCCATTTATTGGGCAAAAGTTATTCATATAGTGGAGCATATACACGTAGATAGTTTTACTAAATTATTACTCAATATAGATGGCACCAGTAGTTTTTATGTCACCTCCATAACTTGTGACATTTTGTTAGTCTCCAACATTTTTGTGGATGGTTGATGTTCGGCGTTTGGTGCTCAGTGTTTGTAACAAATGGCAGTTGGTGACATTTTGCATGTTAATACATTGTTGTTAGTGAACTGACAATCAAATAGTAAGTTTATGGTCTTTTGATCCCCTTCTATACTCACCTAACCTGTATTAGAGGTGACGTATATAGGGAAAGATTGGAGGGTTGATGCAAGTTATACACAATGCAGTTCTCTGTATATTGGTGAATGAGAAGTAAGGCAGCTTTAGCTCTATAAGTTTTGGTCCAATATAAAGATGGCAGCAGTGGTAAAAAATGGAGAAGGTACAACAGATTGATTGTACCGCCATCTTTATTTTAAAATTATTTCTATTTCCCTTGAGTCTATGTTAAGCTTTTTATACCATTTTGTTTATCTTATGGTACATGTAATTGGCAATGTGAAAATGTTGACCAATCCTTGCTCATCCAAGGCATTTTAGTTGATGTAGCTAGATGTAAGGCATGCAATGTAACTTTTTCAGCAGAATATTACAAGATATTTTCAGACATTATTATGTCCTATAGAAATGCAGTATACAATCCACTTTGGCAGAAGTTTTGCCTCACCCCTATTGATTGCCTCACCCCTATTGATTGCCTCGCCTACCTTGGATCCTGACTTACCCTTAATTTCAATGATGAGTAAGTTGTAACGAAGTACCAAAATAAAGGACATAGAATGAGATTTACTTTTTTGTTTGTTTATTTATTCCAGTAGTTTACAAAAGTACACAAGTATAGCAAAGTTTTATGAAAATAATATGAACCATTATCAATAGATTAGGAAAGGATTCCAATGCAGTTAAAAGTTAACTTTGTAGTAATTTTACTCAAAAGTAATATTTTTACCCCATTTGTCCAGATTGTGTTTAGTAGAGGTGTCACACTGACACAAAGTCAACCTGAATCTCGGGTCGGAAGGCTTGGGTTAGGTCGCAAACAACTTCTTACCAATTCCGAGTCCCAGGTCAGAACACTCAGAATTATCATAAATTATTGTAAAATTCTTTATATTTCCTGCAAAATTTCCAACTTTTGGATTACCTATTTCTTGAATACTTATAAATTACGAATGATTTAATGCTAAGTTTCTATCATATATCAAAGCAAAATATGCAGGCTCAAACAGCAAGTCAAATTCATTTTTCTGTTTTCATCTGACCCGACCCGCACACTTTTTTCCGGTCCCACCCGACCTGAAAGATATCTGACCTGTGACAGTACCTCTTGTGTTTAGTACATAATGCATATAAATTAATAATTATCTGTTACATTTGGTTCAAACTTTGGCTTATAACATGACAAATTATACTAAGCTTAATTAGGCTAATAGAATATTAATTCTATTCAGTTTTCATCACCATAATAAAAATTGAGTTGAGGCTAACCTCCTGATACTGAAGTCTCTTCTAGAAGTTCTCCTGTTTCTTTAAATTTAGATACTATATCAAGCAGGGCTCTCACCAGGCTTTTAGACTGTGGCGCAGCACCACACTCTATTAAGCTCCCTCCACAACCTATTGGCAAATCATGAATGTTTCCACAGTCTAGACTTGACTGAATATACAATAATAGCATGTAAAAAGGATAAAATATAACATAAATATGATTTATCACGATTGAACAGTTATTCTGAAGATGTTAGCACCACACCCTAAATATTTCCTGGTGAGAGCCCTGTCAAGTATTTATTAAAACTTTTACCAAAAGTGTAGAAACATACCCTGTGCTACCTGAAACAACTACAAGAACTAGAAATGCTATATAATTATTTCACACACTCATGCCTAGGTCACATTTGCTCAGATTCATCGGCCGGCGCCCAGTCGATTGCATTATATTGTTCAAAACTGATTTCATCTTGCTTCAAATTGACCAAACATTTTTTTTTAATCATGTACAAGTTCTCAGGAGTTCATATCTGACCTCAAATTTGAGATTTGACCTTGAATTTTGAACAAAATATGCAATCAGCCAGGCGCTGGCCGATGAATCGGAGCAATCCTTTGATATTTTAACAAATAAAAATCCCCAATATCTTGAATTAAATAGCTTCAAATCATCCAATCTGTGTATACAGCATTCAACTTGATCTTTTTTCCTAAAATTGGAACTATTTTGATTTAATTTGGTTTAGTTAACCATGTACACAGTAGTTTTGTGTTAATGAATACATGATATTCTAATATATCACAAGTTCTTTTGTTTAATCAAATCAATTTTTTATAAAACCTTTAAAACATAATTTGCAGGTTCAAAATGATTCTAAACAAAATTTTTCATGTTCTGTCACCCAAATGGGTATTAATATGAAAAATGCATTGCCAAATGATGCCAAAATTTAGGCATTGAATGTTGGTATTATCCTAGCGATGTCAGCCCTGCATATGGGACACTTTCTTGGTGAAGGCAGCACTCCAGCACAATCTGCACACAGACATATATGCCCACAATTCAGCACAATGACCTCTCTTGGGTTTGTGAGACAAATCACACACTCTTGCACATTCCCATCGCCAGCCTCATTTCCATCTCGGTTTTGGCGTCGTGCTTCCAAAATTCGCTGGGTCTCCTGCTCCCGTTGGATGTTATCTTGCCATGTCTTGTACAATTTTCGAATGGCGTATGAAAATATAACAACACCAGTGACACCTAAGAATCCCAAAGCAACTTTATACCACAATGACTTAGATTCAAATCGTTTAATAATTTCAGCTTTGCTAAATAAAGTTAATACATAATCGCCACCAGCTTTAGGTGCTCGCATCACAGCTTTTTCCCCTTGTAGAATTATCTCTCCGATTCCGACAATATTAGTCCCGAGTTTTAACATATGTTCACTTTCTTGAATTCCCTTTGACACATCACCAAAAATTCTATCTAAACCTCGTTCCATTAGGCTTGATTTGTTTGGCTCAAATACATCATATGTTGGAGTGAGCTCTTCTTGGAGAGTGCTTGCTTGGAGAGGCTCAGTGATAAACACACTCCCTGCAGCAGCGGGAATCTCCGCATCACGTAGGATAAAGGGCACTGTTTCTGTATTGTCACGTATTACCTTTGTCCAGTCTGACCTGAAAGCATAAGATGTGATTGGAGGTTGTCAATAGATGGCACCAATGAATTAGTTTTTCTACTTTTAGATACGTTGTACAGAGTGGGTCAAAAAGAATGGGACATGTTTAAGAGTAAATATGAACAAAATGTCAAGACAATATACCTGTACTGAAGGCATTTGCATTAAAACCTGCATTCAAGGAACACTTTCCAAGACTTGCCAAAACTGTTCCTTGTAAACAGGTGTTCCCTACAAAGAGGTATCAAGTTTTTGCCCACTCCAAAAACACAATTACCTCATTCCCCTTATATAGCCAAGTAGGAGTTCATGCATGAAAATATGGTTGTATCTTTGTGACACGTCTCCTGCAAATTGGGCATAGCTTGGGTCTATGTAAAGCATTGGCACAGTCTCTACACAAACAAATATGACCACAGGGGATTAAAACAACAGCCATAGGAGCAGAGAAGCAAATAACACACTCTGGTTCTTCCCTTATAAATACAATTTCATGCTGATTGTTCTGTATTTCAGGCTGATTATTTTGTATTTCAGGCTGATTGTTTTGTATTTCAGGCTGATTGTTTTGTATTCCAGGCTGATTGTTTTGTATTTCAGGTTGATTGTTTTGTATTTCAGCTTGATTATGTTCAACTGGATCATGGTTCCAATGTGGTATCTCATCTTCAATGTCCCATCTTATCCTATGCTGAAAATTGTTTTCAGGTTGTGTAGGTCTATTTAGGAGTTTGTATATACTGTATGCAAACACACCAATACTAATCCATCCCAACATTTTTAAAATAAATCTACGACCTAAAGTTTGTTTCTCCATGTTCTTTATGATCTCCTGTTTGGTTAATAAAGAAAGAATATACTTGCTTCCATTTTTGGGAGGAGTCAGCACAATTAAGTTTCCCTGGAGGAAAACCTCTCCTATACCTATCAAATTAGTGCCAACTTTTAGCATTTGCTCAGTTTTTTGTTTCCCCAATAACACATCCCCTAATATGTATTGATAGGCTCGTTTTAAAATATTCGATTTATTAGGCTCAAATGTATCATATGTGATATCCAACTCTTGTTGTAGATTACTCGCAAGTAATGGCTCACTAACTAGGACACTCCCAACAACAGTTGGAGTTGATTTATCTCTGAGAACAAATGGGACCGATTTACTCGTTGTCCACAAAGATTTTATACAGTCTGACCTGGAAGTAAAGGGAAGGTTCACTGAGAATTGGGAATAACTAACTACATGTACAGTGTGTATATGCAGTGATTTTCGAAGCATTTGAGGGAAGTGGGCGTAGCAGATATTTGAGATCGCAAAATTCAAGCAAATTCTCACAATATAATATGTGCGCCTTCTTTACAATACATGCCATTTGAATTCAAGACACAATTTGGAGAAATTTCAAAATTAACTCAAAATTCTTGCGCATATATGTGTACAGCCTTTTATGATTCATTCAAAACCCATGCCATGCTTATTCTAGAATGAACCTAGTAATAATGTGTACAATTACCAATGTCCCTGGGTGCGTTTTGTTCTATGTTCCTGTAGTAATAACTTCTTGATGACACCTTCTTCATTGCCATAGTTACTCTTCAGTGTTTTGCCGGTGGCATCTACTACGCCCTCTATACAGGCATAAGGTAATGTCCTCTCAGGGGCTTTCTCAAGTGCAGCCATTAAGTCAGGGCCAATCTCAAAATCAGGACATGACTGAAAACAAGCAGAAAATATAATTATGACATCAACCCTCATGTTTCATATTGAACCCCCCTTCGTCTTCAAAAATTGTATTTCGTTTTTTCCAAAATCAAGTAAATAGCCTTGAAAGGAAACTGGATTTCAAAATAAATATAATATTTTCATGCCTCAGCTTTGGTCTATGAGAGATAAATAGCTAAAAGACAAACATGACAAAGGATTTATCCTAATATGACTGTAATGACCCAATGGTGCCCCACACCCCAGGGCAATGACTAACTACCAACTATAGTGTAACAACCCAGATACATGTACAGGCATTTGACACCTCCGTGTGGGCATCGAACCCAGGACCCTTAGATTCAAAGTCTGATGCTATACCACTGGAGCTATAAATAGCTGCCTGTTGTAGCAACTCGCTATCTAGTGTCGTAACATGATTTACTGTAGCGCATTACTAAGTACCTTAATTTTCTCTGTAGCTGCTGTGCTGCTTTTATAGAGTTTGTAGAGAATTGAAAACACAACACCATCTACTGCCAAGAGCACCCATTCTGCAGGGAATCCCATCCTACAATGTATGAACATACATGAGACTATGAGTCAATACAACTAATTGTAACACAGTGAAAACACAACACCGTCTACTGCCAACAGCACCCATTCTGCAGGGAATCCCATCCTACAATGTATGAACATACATGAGACTATGAGTCAATACAACTAATTGTAACACAGTGAAAACACAACACCGTCTACTGCCAAGAGCACCCATTCTGCAGGGAATCCCATCCTACAATGTATGAACATACATGAGACTATGAGTCAATACAACTAATTGTAACACAGTGAAAACACAACACCGTCTACTGCCAAGAGCACCCATTCTGCAGGGAATCCCATCCTACAATGTATGAACATACATGAGACAATGTGTCAATACAGCTAATTGTAACACAGTGAAAACACAACACCGTCTACTGCCAACAGCACCCATTCTGCAGGGAATCCCATCCTACAATGTATGAACATACATGAGACAATGAGTCAATACAGCTAATTGTAACACAGTGAAAACACAACACCGTCTACTGCCAACAGCACCCATTCTGCAGGGAATCCCATCCTACAATGTATGAACATACATGAGACTATGAGTCAATACAACTAATTGTAACACAGTGAAAACACAACACCGTCTACTGCCAAGAGCACCCATTCTGCAGGGAATCCCATCCTACAATGTATGAACATACATGAGACTATGAGTCAATACAACTAATTGTAACACAGTGAAAACACAACACCGTCTACTGCCAACAGCACCCATTCTGCAGGGAATCCCATCCTACAATGTATAAACATACATGAGACTATGAGTTAATACAACTAATTGTAACACAGTGAAAACACAACACCGTCTACTGCCAACAGCACCCATTCTGCAGGGAATCCCATCCTACAATGTATAAACATACATGAGACAATGAGTCAATACAACTAATTGTAACACAGTGAAAACACAACACCATCTACAGTGGGGGACAAAAATAAAACTCAACGTTCACAAGTTGTCACAATGAGCTAATTTCCAAGTTTCGTGTCTCAAACTCTCCCAAGCGGTAGAAAAATAATTCCCGTTCACTAAAGTAGCAAAATAAATGAATTCAAAGCTTCATACCTGCAAATAATGGATAAATCCCTACCAAATCGAATGAATGTTTTCATGAATCGCCATGTTTGTTATCCAAGGACGGTTGACTCCCAGAATGCAACATCAGTTACCGTATTTACTCATGACAGGTTTCAAAATGGCGGAACAGCATTTTGAAAGCTGGCACGTGTCATGTTGCATTCTGGGAGCCAATCCTCCGTTCCGGCGCAATCGGGCGACAAAATCACCTCAACATTTGAAGAGTCGGCATAACATGTGAATATCCATTTCAACTTTTGAAGTTCTTATTTGTCATTAGGGACACAAATTCCACTATATTTGGACTTACTCAGACGGAGAAAATAGAGCACTGAATACACTGAGGTAAGAATTTATTACATGTGTGACAGCATGTAATTTTCATAGCTTTTGCAATTCTTTATGATCCCCACTGTACTGCCAAGAGCACCCTAGACTATATCCTATTTAGTCTGAATTATATTCAGACTATAAGGCACCTATGTTAAAGTTTGGTAATTTTTAATATTTGTTTACATAGGAAGTGGTATTCAAAATGGCCGATTGGGTAAAATTAATTTGCACATTTTTACATCAAGTAGCTTTATTTCCACGTGACAATATGCTGTGTTACTTTTTATTGCATTTAATTGTACCTTACTACTTATTTGAAATTTTGTAATGCTTATTTTATTGAAGAAATGGTTCCTCTAATTGATAATTTTGTGCAAAAAATTTCACTGCAATTTCCACAGGAAAGTAGTACATCATAACAGACTGACTTCTAGTCAGTCTGTTGGATACATACTAAAGAGCACCCATTCTGCAGGGAATCCCATCCTACATGAACATACATACATGTATGTAATATCTAATATAATGTATATATTCTAATAACTGAATAATGAAGATTGATAGTGCTCACTGTGACTTTACGCTAGATTAGTCTACATACCCTAAATACATGTAGTCCTACAATCACAGATCAAAATGAAAATGAATCACTGACACTGATCAGTTGATTTTCTGTAGAAAATATTTTCAGAAGATATTTGTCAATACATGCTTCATAATCGACTGAAATATGAAGAAAACATTACTAAAGAGTACAAATGTAACAATACGCTCGAATGACAAGACAGGTTAATGGAACAAAAGACCGATAAGGGGAAGATTGTGAAAAACTTACTTCTCTGAGATTTTCACTTCCGGTTCATGGCTTCCGGTCAAAGTTCAAGGACACTAGATTCTAAACAAAATAACAGCCGGTAAGTTGTCCACTTATAATACAATTTATGAACGAAATACTCTGCCTTTATTACAATTTCATTCATGAAAATCATCTTAAGGCTCATGCATAGATATATTTTTTCATTTTAGGTGCTGTTATCTTCGCAATATGATGAAAATAGACTTGATTCTTTTCATAATCAAAAACAAGTTTTTAATTTTTTCAATGGAATCACACTGAGGGTCAAGAACACATACAGCATTCAATAATCACATGCAACATGAACACGAATCATCACACAGTTTGATGATTGTATTCTTTGTTATTGAAAGGGTCTCTTTGTTTGTTATATCCATAGACTGTGGTGCTTTACTCAATTAGATCTACTGCCACCTGTTGTTTATAAGTTTCTGGAGCTAGGCTACATGTACAGTACATGTTACATGGTATCTTGGAAGGCCTGCTATCACTGGTGTGTGTCTACTGTCTAGACTGTTGTAATAAAGGACTTATGGGAGAAACTCTATTATGTAAATCTCAAGCTTCGAATACATGTTCATTGGAATTGAAATTGAACCTCTTGTCAAGGGCAGTGAAGATTCCAAGCCATCAGAGTGATTTTGTGTATTTCTATGTAAGTTTATCTCCATTTACTTACAGTGATGTCAAATTCCACTCCATTACGTTTCATCACTTACCTGTCGCCAAGCGTTCCAGTGGGACTATTCGAAGCAGTCGTGCACTATCTTGAAGAGTCACTAGGACGGGAAATACAACTCATATATGAGTCAAGATGGAGTGGACCACCCTCTGACAGGGTCGACCCTTTCACTGCTAATAATGCTGATATAGGTAAGGAAGCAGTTAATTATATTGTGAGACCTGTGATGTGGAACACCTCTGTGAGTGGAACACCTTTGTAAGTGGAACACTTTTCTGAGTTCAGTGACCAATTCACTTTAACCTCTATAGCTGGAACACCTCCAAAGTTGAACACTAAGGTGTTCCATTAATACAGGTTTACTGCACATATAAACAGGCCAGGCCTGTAGTAAGGGGAAGGGGGGTTCTGGGAGTTTGAGCCAACCCCCTCCATCTAAAGGCCAAAGTTGTCAAATGAGAACCCCCTGCCAGCAGGCTAGTAAATTATGGTGTCTAATAGTGAAATATCCAGCAATCCAGCTAGTTTGTGATTTCAAAATTTACCCACCTACTTTTATAAATTTTTTCACATACACTGTAGATAGTTATTTTTGATGGGAAATAAAATGCATGTACCTTTTCATTTTCCTTAATACATTGTACATGCATAGGCATTGGCTTGGGGGATGCAATGGGTGCAAACACCCCTCCACCTATAGCCAATAAAACCATGAAGAAGAAAAAAGCTTTAAATGCATCTAGCTCAAATTTGAAGGAAACATATTTTTGGTAAAATAAAGCTCACTTAAATGTATGCCACAATCGCACCCCCCCTGACTGGAAACTGAAAAAAATTATAATTCTTATAGTTCATATGTATTTTAGTAGGGTAATCAGTTTTAATCTACAACTACTAAATATGGGCAACTTTTACAAATATCTTCAAAGTTTACTGGAATATTTGCCCAGTCATCCAATGTGTGTGTGTCCTTTGGAAATCGGAATGTGTCCCTTTATGTGGATATAGGTACATGCATAAAAGTATTAGCTAAATCACTTAAATACTTACTTCTTTTGACACGGAGCAATGCATTTGGCTTATCTAATGTTTTAAGGTTGTAAGTATAAATATAATACATATTATATAATATATTTCCCTTGTATATGTATGGATATATCATATGTACATGAATGGATGTTTAATGAGAAGCAGCATTTGAATATATATGTATGATATTGTAGCGGTAGCACAATTTTTATTATTAATTATATTCGTTCATTAATTACACATTGATACAGTTTACTTTTAATATAACATTTATATGCGTTAAAAAGAGCAGAGTGTCCCCTTTTTAATGGTTTTTACCCCGTGTAAATCAGATTAGTATTTATTGAGTTATGACAATTTGAAAAACATGAGTAAATTGAGATTATTTCGTCTTATCGGCACTGCCGTAATAGTTGTCCAGCTTTAGCGATCAATAATTTACTTAGATCTTGGACGGGTCACTTTGAAGTTTTAATTAGTTTGACAAGTTGACAGCTTGGGCTGGTCTCCGCCCCCTTAATTTGCATATTTCTCGAACGATCGTAAGATTTTTGTTGGGAAAGTCAGTCCTGAGTTTGTATCTGAAGAGATAGGAGGTTCAATTTCTCCATTTTTATAAAGTCTTAAGTTTTAGTATTCTGCGAGCATCTCTGTGTTTGGATTATTACAGTCATTCGATCATACTTAATTTGTACAAGTGGATTTATCATATAATTTGATTAATTACTGGATTTATAACTGGATTTATAATTGGATTAATACGTATTGGATTTAACGGATTATTGTCATGTCATACACACCTGCAAGGTAAATAAAGTTATTTGTTGTTTATTGTTTAGAAATCTAAATCATATCTTTTGTTCAGTTATTCTTCATGCAATAAAATTACAATATCCATTAGTGACCATTAAGATACAAATTCCTTTCACGCACAAGACGTATCCACAAATCATCTTTCCAGTGCCATTTATTATTAAAGGGGTTTCCGCTCGGCCCAATTCATTGAAATTTATTCTTTCCAGTATGATTCTTCTGCAAATTTATTCCATACTGGTGAAAATTATTTCATTTTAAATAACTCCCGCCACACTGTTGGCTTAGCGTTGGGATTTGCAAGATATTGAATGTTATATTGTTGTTTCTATTGTGAGATAATATTTTGCATTTTCTTGTGGTGTTAAAGGCTTGTATCTTTCTCGCAAAACTTGAGATAACTTCACGGTAACTTTGCAGTGCAAACTTGGGACTCACCATTTATAACTCGGGGGGATTTTTCCTCACTGATGTCATTTCATTGTTTTATTAACAGTGCCCAAGTGAACTTTAGTAGTGTAAGTCGACCCAAATCGGATCTACATTGTTCATACTTGAGTACATGTATATGATAATACTCCTTAGCAATTGGTTTTCTACAGAATGCAGTAATAAAGGGTCCATGTTAATTCGGTGGTCGTAAATCTGTATTTGAGAAACTAGTTCTTTGAGAGTTGTGATATATTGCAATATTGTATTGGTTGCAGGCGCCCGTAATTGTCCTGTATATTGTAATATTGTATTTTGTTTGTAGATGCCCAGAATTTTATATTCTGCGCGGAGCCCACAAAGGGACATTATTATTTCATCTGCCCAGAATCTATATTCTGCGCGGAGCTCCTTTGAGAGACATTTATAATAGTTGAGCAATTTCGGAACTCAGCTTTGTATATTTATGCCCAGGTTCACGCCTGCGCGGAGCTCCTTGAGAGACATTCAGCTGAGCAATATTTGAACTCAACTTTGCATATTTGAGCCCAGGTTTACGCCTGCGCGGAGCTCCATAGAGAGACATTACATTGGGTAATTATTAAACTCAACCTTGTATTATTAGCCCAGGGTAACACCTGCGCGGAGCTCCTCTGTGAGACGTTTAGTTGAGTAATTTCTGAACCCAATATTGTATATTTTAGCCTAGGAGCAATCCTGCGCGAAGCTCGGACTGGAAAATTTATTTACCGTTCGGAGCAATACTCATTGATAATATTAGCCCAGGAGCAATCCTGCGCGGAGCCCTAAAGGGACATTTATTAAATTTGCAAAGCACATTGTGTTATTATTATATTGCCCAGGTTAATCCCTGCGCGGAGCTCTTAATGAGACATTTATGAAAATATTGTGAGTATAAAATTTCTGTGAATTGCCCAGGTTTATTCCTGCGCGGAGCCTCTGAGAAGGACATACATTTATCTTGATAGAGTTGACTCTCAATGAAATTGATTGTGAGGAAAATTTCTGATCACTGTAGAGTAGTCAATGTGTTGAGTTGTCTGCGAAGTGAGCACTGAACAGGGAGGGGACAATGTAATGATGTGTTCATGGAGTCTCCACTGAAAGGGTGTACATTCAATTGTGCAACCCTTCCCCCACTCTTATAGTGATCTTGAATTTTTCTATTATTTTGAGAGTTTGCTCATTCATGATATAATTATAAACACAGAATAGAATCATTGCTCATCAATATGGCATCTGACCGAGACTCTGATCAGATGGATTTAACACAATGTGCAAACAGCGCTCGCTCGAGCCCAGATAATACTGTTTTTATCAAAGGGAATAATAAAGAAATAGATAATCCCTTGGCCTCAGATAATACTGTTACGTGGCAGAATGAAATGCGCCTTGCTCCAGGGCCTGGTGCTATTTCGAAAAATTTAGAATCTGCCAGAGTGCCAAAAAGTACAGGCTATTGGTCACGGGAGAATGATTCATTGTTCAGTCCCGTAAATGAGCACTCCAATGAGGAAATAAAGCCTGCTCCTCGAACATCCACAGCGATGCGTTCCTCAGAAGCTGAAAATGCTAAATCAATGAGTGAACAAATTGGCTATTTGTGGAGTAATATTGAGCTCATAAACCATAAATTTGATAAAATTGATACCAAGTTGGATGTGAGTGCTCTTGAGAGAAATGTTTCCATGGCAGTGACTCAAGCACTGGTCCCTGTTCTGAAAACAGGTGTTAATTCAGCAGTTGCTGAGGCAATGGCTCCAGTAATAGAAATGAGCCAAAATCAAAATATGGCCCTACAAGAGCAAATGAATGAAAGTCTCTCCAAACAGAAATCTGAATTGCTCAAACTGATAAATAGTAAGACTGTTATGGAAGAGAAAATTTCACATGATGAAGTGAAGTTATCACACATGTATGATAATGAGAGGACTCATGAGGAGCAATCAAGAGATTTTAAGAGAAAAGAAATTTCTCCTCCTCCTCCTCCTCCTTCTCGTCTTTACACTCTTAAGAGACAGAGCGCATTTTATCAGCCTCATTCTCTCAGACAAAATGAATTGCATGCTCCTGAGCAGAAAGTACCTGCAACTGTGTACTCTCGGCCAGTAGAGAGGAATGTTATGTTTGCTCCTCCTAATACACCAACTTCTGAGCGAAGTGGAGTGTGTGGGAGTGGAACACAGAGTAGCTCAGTCTCTGGAGCAAGCCGAGGTGCTGCTCATGAGGAGTACACTCCTCCTCTTAATATGAAAAATGAGCATTGCAATGAGCAACATTATGAGCAAGATGAGCGCTCCAGTAGATATTTTGAAAATGTTCATGATTTAACTCATTCTCTCCAAAATGCTCAAGGAGAAAAGAGAAGCTCTTCTTTTATGAATGAGCGTAAAAAGAAACATGAGCAAGATAATGATGAATTTACCTCATATAACTCTCAAAGAGAGGCCTATGGCTCCTCTTATATGATGAACGCATTTAGAGATGTTACTCAAACACTCTCAGATGTGGTAAAATCTGTATCATCCAGGCAAAATAATGATAAGGCTGTGAAAATCAGACCTGATAAATATGAGGGTACATCCCCATGGCTAGATTATGTGAGACACTTTGAAGTGTGCTCCTCCTCCAATAGATGGAGTGATATTGAGAAACGAGATTTTCTAGCTGCCAGCTTACGTGGCCAAGCTCAACAAATCTTGAATGAGCTTGAATCAGAATATACTTATCAAGATCTGATTAGTGCATTGGATAAACGATTTGGCCCTGAGGGTAAAGCAAAATTGTACGAGGCTCAACTTAATAATCGCCAACAAAGACCTCGTGAGCCTATGCAAAAACTGGCACAAGATATAAGAAGACTTACAGCCTTAGCCTACCCTGAAATGACACGAGAGGCCCAAGATAGGTTGGCTCGCGCTCGGTTCCAGCATGCCTTACTGGATGATCAAATCCGAGACGCAATTAATTTAGGGGAGCCAGAGACTCTAGATAGAGCAGTTGTAATTGCTCTAAAACAAGAGTCGTATCTCGAGTCAGAGAGAATCAGGAAGGGTCAAAAACCTAGGCTCCAGACAGATAAAATATCTGCAATTGATGAAAGGCTCGAATCTGATGATTCAGCTGAAATAAATGCTCTAGATGAGACTGATAAGTTAGAGCAAATGATGACTAAATTATTGGCAGCTCAGGAGAAAATGTTGGCTGAATTTTTAAAGAAAATGCCAACGAGAAAACCCAGAGCTGAAGTTACTTGTTTCCATTGTGGGAAGAAAGGCCATTATAATTTTGAATGTCGTTTTCGAAAGGAAAACGGAGGAAAGAAAAACTCCTCTGAAATTGCTCCTATCAGCTTTGTTGAGTCAGAAACTCCTAATGAAATAAAGCGCATAGTCGCAAAAGCTGAGGTGTGTGGTCACCCAGTGGAGTTTTTAGTTGATACGGGTGCTGTCAGAACTATGATAGATATTGATGAGTACCTAAATATACCAATGAAAAATAGACCAAGTCTGTGCAAGTCAAAATGCGCATTTAGACAGGCTGATGGCTCCTCACTTCGTGTCCATGGAGAAATTGATTGCTCCATTGATATTGATGGCACAGTGTTTAATGCGCCTGTTATAGTGGCTAGCTTAAGAGCCACAGCCATACTTGGTTCAGACTGTATGTCTAAGCAGGGATTTAATATAAACTACCCCGCTCGAAAATTGGCAATCAAGCCATCCTCTGATTGCCATGGAGATGTACTGAATAAAGTTACACCCCGAGTTTGTGTGGTAGGTGAGGACAGAAAATCCTTGCACAACTCTGATGTTCTCTACAACAAGAGGGAGGTAGATATCCCAATGGTAGAGGAGAGTGACGAGTCGGATGAGTCTATGGATATTAATGACTATATAAAATACCATTCACGAAAAATGATGGTTGCCTCCTCTTGTGAAGACGAGAGTGAGAGCATGAGCACAGAGCAAAATATAAATGAAAACAGGAGTTCCTCCTCCTCAACCTCCTCCTTTGAGAAAAGAGAGGCTATTGTGAGGTTATTGAGGTCAGAATCGCATGTGCAAAAACCAGTGTCTGAAAATAATCAGAGTGAGCCTTATGAGCCACAGTTATCAGAGCTGGTAACAAATGATATACATTTGCAATCCTCAATGCTCCCTAAAGTGAAAAATCTTCCTCCTCCTCCTAAGGTAGGGAACACTCCTCCAGAGTGTAAAAGGAGCATGAAAAAAGTTGACTCACGAAAGTCAAAACGAACTAAAAGAACACCTAAACATTTTGAGGATTTTATTTGTGGTGTTCAAGATGATGAGGATGCTCAAAGTTCATCCTTCTCATCATCATCTGCATTGCCATGTTTTATTTGCAGGGGTCATGGAAAGAAGCGTCGGTTTGATTTTGCAAGGAAAAGAGGGCCTGATTACTCGCAATTCTCCCCCAACCTTTCCCCATATTGGGCTGTACCTCCGATGTCTTCCATGCCTATGATGAACCCCTATTGGACAGCACTCCAACAAAATGCCACTCCCACATCAGCGCCAGAGATTGTGACTGATGAGCATGACTCGATTAGTGGGAGGTCTAACACTTCACAGCCTGTGACAAGGCACGAGATACTCTCTAGCAAATCTTCAGCTCATAAGAAGGTGGATCGAGAGTCTGATGAGGACTTAGATGATGTTATTGATATACATGCCAGTAGCTCTGATATTGAGCGTAAGTGCCATAAATGCCATATATGTCATAAAACATTCTCCACCAAATATAATCTGACACGTCATTTCCAAACGTCACATTTATCAGATGCTCCTAAAAGGAAGGAAACAAAACGACACAAGAAGAGACTCAGTAAAGAGACTCTAGAGGAGCCAACAGACTTAGAGAAACCAAAAACTGCCAAAAAGAAATCTAGTGTTTTGTGTGATACAGACAATGAGGATGAGACTGTAACCAAGATAGAGGACAAATCCTCATTGGAAAATATATCTGCAAATGGTAATCTGTGTGAAACAGACAATGACAAAAGCGAAAACAAGGAATCAGGAATGGATAATCTCTATGACCTTGTCCTGAGACTGTATGCTACTGCAAATCAGCCAGGAGTGAAACAAGAACTACAAAAAATAAAGTTAATATAAATTTTGATTCTCATTCTCATGAGAAGAGAACACTTGAGGAGTATGTTGCTCATTTTGTTTTTATAAATTGTACTTTATCTTCATCTTATACATTGTATTGTACTTCATGATTCTCAACTTTTTCATCTTTAGTCTTGACTGACAATCAGCGAATATGAGAGAAATTTCTCATGGGGAGTACATCTTGTATATGAGAAGTTAATGAGTTTGTATTTTTGTATTTACATATAGTTAGCATATTTCTTTTAGTTAGATAAGAGTAAATAGCTCCTAAGAATGTGAAGACTGTTCAGAAGTTTATTTAATACTGTATTCTTATAACTTCACAGTTTATTATTTGAGAACTGCTCATGGTTTTGAGAAATATTTTCAGGATGGTCTTTTATGAGAAACTTACCTGTTTGTCATGCTCTGGAGAAGTATCATCTCTTTAATTTCATAGATTATGAGTTGTCTTCTCATTCTCTTCATTTTGAGAAATTATTTTCCTCATTTAGATCTTGGAGTTGTTTGGAGGAAAATTATAAAATATTTAAACTTATTTTAGTTTTGGAGAATGCTCATGAGTATTTGATGAGAACTTTCATTATGATGTTTCTTGTTAAACTTACCTGCTCCTCATTTTATTGGAGGAAACCTCTTGAGAAGTTTTATGTATTTTCAAAGATTATGAGTTTTCTCCTCATTCCCCTCATTTTCAGAAAATATTTTCCTCATTTAGATTTTGGAGTTGTTTGAGAGGAAAATGATAAAATATGTTTTACTCATTTTAGTTTGGAGCATGCTCACTGAGCATTTGTGTAACATAGTATATAGTTGTAAGGATAACTCTATTCACAGCAAAAAGGGTAGCCCTTACTTGTGCCTCGCGTAACTGAAGTATCTTTGAGAAGTTATGTGTAATCTAATGTGTAATCTGCTCATTTTTGAGACAATATTTTCCTCATTAGTTTGATGAGAAAAATGAGAAAATATGAGAAAATTATTCTCCTCTTGAGCTTATTTTAGTTTAGAGCAGACTTAGAACATGATGTCCTGATGAATGTATTTTTCTCATTAGAGTATAACTTAAGCTTTGAGTAGGACTTATGAATGTAGTTTTATATTATGAGTTGAAACTTTAGATTATTGTAAAGGATAATCTGCTCTGCTCATAGTGTGCAACTTCAGATATTTTTACTCTTGAGGAAAATTCATATAGCTGAATTATGAGTTACTCATTTTTGTAGATTGATAAAAATTGTTTACCGCTTTCTCCTCTTTGTATAACCATGCATGTATGAGGGCATACATATTTCTTAAGTTGGGGGATGTGTAGCGGTAGCACAATTTTTATTATTAATTATATTCGTTCATTAATTACACATTGATACAGTTTACTTTTAATATAACATTTATATGCGTTAAAAAGAGCAGAGTGTCCCCTTTTTAATGGTTTTTACCCCGTGTAAATCAGATTAGTATTTATTGAGTTATGACAATTTGAAAAACATGAGTAAATTGAGATTATTTCGTCTTATCGGCACTGCCGTAATAGTTGTCCAGCTTTAGCGATCAATAATTTACTTAGATCTTGGACGGGTCACTTTGAAGTTTTAATTAGTTTGACAAGTTGACAGCTTGGGCTGGTCTCCGCCCCCTTAATTTGCATATTTCTCGAACGATCGTAAGATTTTTGTTGGGAAAGTCAGTCCTGAGTTTGTATCTGAAGAGATAGGAGGTTCAATTTCTCCATTTTTATAAAGTCTCAAGTTTTAGTATTCTGCGAGCATCTCTGTGTTTGGATTATTACAGTCATTCGATCATACTTAATTTGTACAAGTGGATTTATCATATAATTTGATTAATTACTGGATTTATAACTGGATTTATAATTGGATTAATACGTATTGGATTTAACGGATTATTGTCATGTCATACACACCTGCAAGGTAAATAAAGTTATTTGTTGTTTATTGTTTAGAAATCTAAATCATATCTTTTGTTCAGTTATTCTTCATGCAGTAAAATTACAATATCCATTAGTGACCATTAAGATACAAATTCCTTTCACGCACAAGACGTATCCACAAATCATCTTTCCAGTGCCATTTATTATTAAAGGGGTTTCCGCTCGGCCCAATTCATTGAAATTTATTCTTTCCAGTATGATTCTTCTGCAAATTTATTCCATACTGGTGAAAATTATTTCATTTTAAATAACTCCCGCCACAATATATTGATAAAGCTCTGCATTTGGTTTAGATAAGGATATTTGATGTAAAAGTAAAAGTATTTTGGAAGTATGAGCTTGCTCAATATAGTACTACAGTATTAATCATTGCCACAAGAAAAGTAGTCTTATTACTCATGTATATTTTGCCTTAAAATTCATTGAAAGTGACACAGCCATTGTATTCCAGGTGTGATGTGCAGTTCTGTCTTCCTGAAACTTGTCGAGGAGAAGAAAACCTCCATTGAGTTCCTTGAACTGGGGGCTGTCCATACACATCCAAGAAGTGAAGCAAGGCCAATATACTTTGGGGACATTGTTGTACATAGTGATAACAAGTATGGTTACTTAGCTCATTCAGCTTAACCTCTTGAATCCCAGGCTCTAAAATCAGTTGAAACCAGACAATTTTTCATTTTTGTCAACTTTTTAGGTTTTGCTACGTACATACGTATGTATAATACATACAATAGGTGATGCTCGATTTATTAAAATTAGATGAAAATTGTTCAAATAAGAACAATTTTAAGTGAAAAGTTTTGTGACATGTTCTTGTCACTCTTGGTTTCAAGGTTATTACTGAGGTGACAAGAAATTTCATCACTCCTGGTAGTCAAGAGGTTAAAAGTAGAATTCAGTAAATTAAGCAAGCTATCAGTTATAATGTCATTCCTACAGCTTCACCGCAGAAATGAATTTACAAAATCTTCTTTCAATTTTGTTTACAAACATCACCGTTCGTGCCAAAGTATGTCATCATAAATCTAACCAATACACTTTGATAAGAGACAGGATTTGTGGGAAGGCCTGGTGATAGTTATGTTCCAAGGACGTGTGATAGAATGTTACAGCAACCATTTTTAGTCATCAGTTGAACATGTGTATGTAATACTCAGTTACATTTTGTGATTTCTATGTAGAAATGCCTGTTTGAGTTTGAGAGAGAGCTTCACTAGTTCCCTGTTGTTTTGTAAAAACAATAATAATTGGGATCCACCCTATTATGAACGATGAAATTAAAAAAAAAATATATTTACTTTTTATTTATTTAATACATCTTATCAAAATTGTTTAACATTACACATAGAGGCCACTAGATTCCCATAACACATCCTCCGATCACAGGGCTTCAAAATCCAGAATATATTCTTTCTTTTTACCCCCTGCGATAAGCAGTTACCAAATTTGTTACCAGTTTCCCCGATTAAGAACTCGCAATCTGATTGGCTGTCGCAACACTGCGACATAAATCATGTATAAGGCATTGCACATAAATAGATCACGTGATTCAGTTTAATCGGGCGCTTACAAATTGATTATAGCAGGGGGAAGAAGGAGGTACGGATTCTGGACACCTGCTTAGGCAGTTAGGAGGATGCCCATAACATAACAAATCAGTGCTTTAGACAACTCACACTAACCATTGATGTTTTGATTTCAGAGATAAGTTTGATAACTTTGAAAAGTTGAAAGGCTGCAAATGGGGGTATAATGATCCTGAATCCCTCAGTGGAAACATAAGTGTACTAGCTCATCTTAAGAAATGTGGAACAAATGCCAGCTTCTTTGGACATATCATACAATCAGGTATTATCTTTATGAGTAATCTACATACCGTATTCTCTCTAATGAGAGCACAGGGGAGTTCCAAATTGAAATTTGGAAGGGTAAGATATTGAGAAATTCCAGAGCTGCCCACATAAAAAAATGTAGAAAAATATTGCCGAAGATCTTTTTAGTTGTTATTACTAATGTTTACCTGTCTAAAGCTCCTGTATTTCTTTGCATTAAATATAATCATCAATCAATATCTTGTTGTGTAACTAATTGAAATGCATTTAACGTCTTTCATATTTTCTTAGACCACATTCAACGTTAAAGTACTGTGTGCGCTCATTAGAGAGAATATGGTACTTTTTCTCAGAATTAAATATTAGACATGTTTATATTTATATGTACACATGATATATAGCTTAACTTAAGTAAAATAGATAAACGAGACATTTATTTTCCCAAAATAGCTAAATCTGGAGCTTTGCCTTCTTGATGTGAAAGTATCAGACCCCAATGCCTCCCATATTCAGTGGATTACTATAATTTTATTTCATTAAGGCTCATGTATAGAATATATTGCTATTCTATACTAGGTACCCATATCCAGTAAATTGCTATTTCAAATTCTCATATTTGATAAATTGCTATTCCAGGTATCCATATCCAGTAAATTGCTATTTCAAGTTTCCATTTTAATAAATTGCTATTCGAGATTCCCATATCAAGTAAATTGCTATTTCAAGTTCCCATATTTAATAAATTGCTATTCCAGGTTCCCATATCCAGTAAATTACTATTTCAAATTCTCATATTTGATAAATTGCTATATCAGGTACCCATATCCAGAAAATTGCTATTTGAAGTTCCCATATTTAATAAATTGCTATTCCAGGTATCCATATCCAGTAAATTGCTATTTCAAGTTCCCATTTTATAATAAATTGCTATTCGAGATTCGCATATCCAGTAAATTGCTATTTCAAGTTCCCATATTTAATAAATTGCTATTCCAGGTTCTCATATCCAGTAAATTGCTATTTTAAGTTCCCATATTAAATAAATTGCTATTTCAGGTACCCATATCCAGAAAATTGCTATTTGAAGTTCCCATATTTAATAAATTGCTATTCCAGGTACCCATATCCAGTAAATTGCTATTTCAAGTTCCCTATTTAATAAATTGCTATTCCAGGTACCCATTTCCAGTAAATTGCTATTTCAAGTTCCCATATTTAATGAATTGCTATTCCAGGTTCCCATGTCCAGTAAATTGCTATTTCAAGTTACCATACTTAATGAATTGCTATTTCAGGTTCCCATATAGAGTCACTGAAAATGATACTCCACAAGACTATAGATGCCGCTGCTGTAGACTCAAACTCATTGATCAACTTTGTGAACAGCTATCCTGAACAACGAGAAAATCTACATGTGATGACATCATTAGGTCCATTTCCCATATACCCCTTTGTGGCCAACTCTAGATTGCCAGGTATTGTATAGTTATTTTTTCACTGGAATTCTCTGTATGGTTATACAGGCCTGTAGCCAGGATTTGCCAATGGAGGTTCACTTTTTGAAAAATTCCAGGGGGTTCACTTTTGACGATTTTGGTCCAAAACTGGCCAGTCACTTAAAAAGTGCTCAGAATGGTGAAAAACTGCATGATTTTGAAACAATTTTTACCAGGGGGGCTCCAACCCATCAAATCCCCTCCTGGCTATGGGCCTGTTACATATATTCTTGAAACACTATTGGATTATGACCCCTGTTACACAGGCCAGTTGAAATGCTTCGTTACGAAGCAATTTGACAAAAAGCTTCGTAATGAAGCAATTTTGGGCCAGTGTAACACCTCTGCCTTCGTTGGAAAAGCTTAGTTGATAACGAAGCAATTGAGTAGAAAATTCAACGAATGTTAGCTCCCAACGAAGCTTTTTTGGCCTGCGTAACAGGTAGCTTCGTTAGAAAATGCTTAGTTGGCGGTTTGCGCATGCGCATAAAAAAAGAGCACATTCATCATTTTGTATTAAATGAGAGGAATCGCGAGAAAAGAACATGTTTTTAAGTACGTATTATTATAATGGTACGTTTTGATTAAAATAATTACCTATTTACGTCACTGATTGACGCTAATTCAAGTCCTAAACGCCACGTACAAATGTGATTTACCGTCTTTCGTAGCATTTCATTCGATTCCCTGGCTTTCCTCGCATTGATATGACACTAAAAAGTATTAAATCTAAAAACGCAGGTTTTACCGTATATCTATACGGTAGTTTTGAAACGTTTATCTGATCTATTAGAGAATAAACCTAGAATATTTAAATGTCACTCTTTCGGAAAACTCCGTCTCAAGTGTGGAAGGGTAAACTTTTGAAATTACATAAGATATGCTTACTAAATAGAAAGTTGTGGCATACATGTTTAATATTAATTTTTTCTTGCACCTAGAATAATTAAACCTTGAATGTAATTCTAAAGGTGTTAATACCATGATACTGATACAATTGCTTCCCGGTGAATCACATCAGGGAATATAGCCGATTTGATTGATTCGAAAATGTCTCTCTTCAGAAATCGTATTAAACTGGCTATCGCCCCATTGCAATACATGTACTTGTACTAGTCGTTCCATTATTTTATTCTTCGACGATTTTAATTTGTAATTTAAACTTCATGTTTAAATATATTGAATTAATTACGTTTCAAAACTTCCGTATACAAATACGGTAAAACCTGCGGACAAGGAACGGTGGCCAAAATTGTTTTTTGTCGACAGATATTTGCCACAGAGAGGCATTGAATTGGTTAATGAAATAGTAGTTACACGCGGTCCTAACTTCGACCGTTAATTTGAATTTTTGACCTACCGGATGTTTGAAAATCAAGGATTACGAGTCTCATACTGCACCGTTTTTCTTCAAACTTGTTCCGTTGAAAGCATAACAAAAATTCCTTCCTGATGGTACATTATTCTCTTAAAACAGAGTCCCTACTTCCACCGGCATTTTGGTCCCCAGCTGTAAGAAGGCCTTCTAACAGCTGGGGACCAAAACGCTGCTAGAACGAGGGACTCTTTACAATAAAGTAATGCACCGACAGAAAGGCAATTTTGTTTTGCTTTTAATGGTATAGGTTTGAAGAAAAATGGTGCAGTATGAGACTCGCAATCCTTGATTTTCAAGCATCTGGTAGGTCGAAAATTCAAATTAACGATCGAAGTTAGGACCGCGTGAGTTAAACCACCAGCCAAACACCGAGATATTTTAGTAATGGCTACACTATTTGAAATATAAGTGAGAAGTCCATTTGGAAATTGAACGTTTTTATACGATATTACATACTAGTCGTCTGTATAAACCCCAAATCCAATTCCTCCTAGTAATTAACATAGGCCTATTTTTATTCCATATGTTTTCCAAAGGAAATGATAGAAAATGAAAACAATACTTGTAATTGTATCGACAGCTGAAATATATAAAAATCGAAATGATAGGAAAAATGTAGGGACATGTGTACGGAATGATCACATTCATCTTGTTTTATTTTCCAGAGAATTTTGAACTAGTCTTTTTCTGTGCTGATTTGTTAAAATAAAGATTAAAAATTAGATTTTTGAGTTTAATCAATGGTTTATATCAAAAGAATAAAAATATTAATCATAATAAGTGGGTGGGGCAGATGAGAAATGCGCACGCGCAACGAAGCATTTTAAGTGCAGTGTAACACCAAATAATTGCTTCGTTAGGGTTGGATAAAGCCAGTGTGGACACAATTTTTTCGCTAACTTTCGTTACAAAAATGCTTCGTTAGACTCAACCCAGCAGTGTAACAGGTACCTATGTCAGTTAAGTTGATGAATTTCAACTCCTTAATCAACTCCACATGACTTTTACACAAAGTCCAATGTATGAACAATATTAACTGACAATGTCTTTTTGATCTTGATAATAGAAGAATGCCTTCTGAATTTGATCATTGGCATACAGTATTAATATACAAATGAATGTTATGATATGTAAAAATCTGATTTTTCATGACACATGTGAAGGAATAGAGTGCTTTTTTGCCAGTGTTTTGTTTGAAGAATTTGAATGGAAAAAGAATTTGTCATCGTTTTGTTCAAAAAATTTGAAGGAAGAAGAATCTGCCAGTGTTTTGTGTGAAGATTTTGAATGGAAGAAGAATTAAGATTTTGAATGGAAGAAGAATTTAGTGTATTTGTTTTGGTTGAAAATTTTGAAGGAAGAGAAATCTGCCTGTGTTTTGTGTGAAGATTTGGAATGGAAGGAGAATCAAGATTTTGAATGAAAGAAGAATTAAGCGTATTTGTTTAATGTGAAGATTTTGGTTGAAAATGTTGAAGGAAGAGAAATCTGCCTGTGTTTTGTGTGAAGATTTGGAATAGAAGAAGAATCAAGATTTTGAATGAAAGAAGAATTAAGCGTATTTGTTTAATGTGAAGATTTTGGTTGAAAATTTTGAAGGAAGAGGAATCTGCCTGTGTTTTGTGTGAAGATTTTGAATGGAAGAAGAATTAAGATTTTGAATGGAAGAAGAATTTAGTGTATTTGTTTATTGTGAAGATTTTGACTGAAAGAGGAATATGCCAATATTTTGTGTGAAGATCTTGAATAAAACAACAATTAGTTTCTATGTCACCACCGAGAGAGTGGTGACATAGGCTTTGTTCCCAAACTTTGTGGATTATAAGTGCTTGACATTTGTGGCTGGTGTCAGGTGAATGGTGTTGTGGTTGGGATCTTTAACAAATAACAGGTGGTGACCTTTTGCATTTAAATACCTCGTTAAGCCATGACATTATTTTTCTTTTATATTTCAGCTGAAACCAAAACCAAAATAAAAGAAGCTTTGCTCAATATGCATAAATCGGTGACCTGGGAGGAAAAACTACAGAAATATGGCGTGCAAAAGTTTACAAAGACAGACATGTCTCTATATGATAAAGAGAAAGAGATTAAAGAATATATGAAAGGATTAAAGATTGAAACTGTATATTACTGATATTTGTGTAGCCCAGCAATTGTTGTATACTACAAGAAAACCTGTGTACGTGGAACACCTTTGATATCTCTTATGATGTTCCTCCACTTGTAGTGGTTCATTTAACATTAGCTCAGGAGGTATTCTGAAAAAATGTTCCTCTTATTATGGAGGCGTTTACATAGATTTGTATTCTATTCGACCATTCAATACATTGTTTATTTTTATACAATCTTTAAGTTTCATAGTTATAGTTCTTAGTCTTTCATCAAATCTCTCAGCCCAAACTACACATTTTTCATTATAATGTTTTTCATTCGATATATGGAGAGTGAAGGGGTGTAGTTTAGTAGTGCAAGTCGCAGAGAAAACAAGAGTAGACACAAATATAAAGATATGAACCACAATTGGACAAAAAATGTGTCATTTGATGTCTTTATTTCTTGCATGAATTCACTGCTGAAACAGTTTCTTTGTGTTGATGATTTAATGAACACAAAATATATCTGTATCAGATCATATTGTTGCTGTATTCCAAAGATACAGATACATTTTTATTCAATTTTTTCTTTTATTAATGTTACTTATTCAATGTTACTTATTCACTTGTTCTATATTTTATACTTTCCTCTGTAAACCTGTAAATTAATTACTATAAGTAAATCAGACTTACTATGTTCACTAATAACAGCCGAAAACCAACTTTAGCAAGGTGCTATTATAGACATGGAACTCATTGCTTCTTCATTACCAGACTCTTGAACTATTTACTATACCACTGGTGTACATGTAGGCTTGATGAAGGACTGAGTACTATTATTATATGAATGTTATAATTATTTTCATAACTTTCAAAGATAATGCTCATCAAATGAATTTATAATTTCTTTAATTTGTACTTATCTATGCAAAAAGTACTTTATCTGCTTTTCATGAATTTGAGTACAAGTTTATACAAGTTAAATATTCAAACTGTTGTAAACAGTTTATACAACAATGCTTGTTGTGTCAATTAATCAATCAAAAGTATTTATAATTGAATTAAATTATATGAATATATACAAATGTACATATACAAATGCCAATTGAATGTTTCATAAACACTTCATTTAACCATACAGTAAAACCTGTGTGATGCCAGGTCACATTTGCTCCGATCCATCAGCCAGCGCCTGGACAATTAAGTATTTTGTTCAAAATTGTATTCAGTTTTGAACAAAACACTCAATTGGCTGGGCGACAGCCGATGAATCGGGGCAAATGTGACCCAGGCATAAGTGGAACACCACTTAGATCATAAAAAAAGTTCCACCTGTCATTAGTCCACACTCAAATTTTCAACGATCGCCCAATTTTTTTTAAAAAGCTGATTGAGTTTTAGCAAATTTTCTACAGCTTATTTGAAATAATCAATAACGTTTTGTAAACCCTGATTTTTTAGAAACCCTGATTTTCTCTCGATTCTTTGTAGAATTCAAGAATTCAACAACTGTGAATTTTTCACACCCCATTTTCCCCAATTTTTAGAAAAAATATATCGATTTCTATTTATTACTTGACAGGTTTGCATTAGTTCAATAGAATGAAGTCAATTGGAATCGGATTCTTAAATAGTATTCAACTTACAGAGGTGTTCCACTTACTGCACTTGTGATGTAGCACCAGCAATGGACTGCTCAACTTATAGTAATTTTATTATGCATTAAAAAGTATGTATGCATTATATTTAAGTACTATATTGAACGATTTTATTTGTGTATCTCTCAGGGCATGATTAAATAAAAAAACATCATTAATATATAATACCTAGCAAAAGTACAGTATTTACAACGAAAGTAGATTAGGGATTAATGTCCATTTAAGTTGCAATAAAACATTAAATGAAACCAGCCTGTAATATTATAAACACATGCATGTGATAAACATAAAATGTTTTAGCCCTTGCACTTTTTTATTTTATAAAACAAAAAATGATTTTATGTACAATAATTGACTTTTCAGTTCTTACTAAATGTAATGTATTTTTGTCAAACAGAAGCATGTTATGCACACGGAGCCTGTGAGAAAAATTCCCACAGGCTCCATCTGCTCAAATGGATGAAGAAATTTATGAAAAATGATTATTGTTGCTGGGAATAAATGCAGTAAGATCTACAGGGTGAGAAATGAGTATTGAGATAGATGTGGTTGCTCTTGACCCACCCTGTATATATAGTGTCTTCAGCTGTAACAAACAGTATTGTGCTTCACATTCCATTTTTATTAAGCAATTGATTGGCTTGCTCTCCCTATATAACATATTAACAGCTGCATATGGATTAAATCAGAGGTGTTGTATCATACAATAATTAAATCATTATGAAATATGCTCACTCTCCTTGTATCATACAATAATTAAAACATTATGAAATATGCTCACTCTCCTTGAAATAGTGGCATTTGGATTATATCAGTGTTATTTTATAATCATATACAATTTTATTAAAACATATTAATGTGCCCTCCTTATACATGTATATAACCGTGGCATATGGTTTATAGCAATATCATTGAAATATAATAACCATATAAAATTATTAAAACATGGTTAAATATGCCATCTTTATGTACAACAGTGGCCTATGGATCATATCATTGAAATAAACATGTAATAGCATATACAATAAATATGCAATCTCAATGTAACAACAGTGGCATAAGGATTATATCAGTGAAGTGTAATGTCCCATGAATATATAGTCGCAGAACAGGACTATTTTAATCAAAAAACAAAAATAGTCACTTTTGTTATCATTTTTAGATGATTGGTGATTATTTTGGGAAATGGATCTCAATTTTTGAAACAGTAGGCTAGGTCCAAATTATCAAAATTAATATTGAACATGTTCATAGAAGGGGCTAATTTTTTGAAAGAAGGATACTAGGAAAGGATTTTACTACAGTAACCAAAATGCGCAACTTATGTCGTCAGTTTATCAAAAAGGCTTATACGGGAACAGACATAATTAATGAACTACATCTAGGATGTGGTCTGTATTGCATATAAACCAAATCGATATTTATAACAGGGAAAAATAAAATAATAACTGTATTTAGAAATAATGTTTCGTTTCTTGTAAAATATAAAAGATGTTAAGTCGCAGTTTAAAACACTGAAAATATTTTACTCAATCACACCACAGAACAATACCTCTACAGAACACTGAACTACAAGGTTTGTGATATTATCTGACAAAACGCGATTTAAAAAGACGAAACTGTCAACCTCTGAAATATTATTTTTACATTTTTATGTCACCACCAAAAGTGGTGACATATTGTTATGGTCTCTGTTTTTTTGCGACGGCGGTTGGTGGTTGGCGTCCGGCGGTTGGAGGTTGGCGTCTGTAACAATTTCTTACAACTTCCTATAACTTAACAAATACTGTTTAGACTGACTTCAATTTTTTTCTAAATCATCTACATGTTCTCAGAAGTTCAAATCTGACTTTAGATTTGACATTTGACCTTCAATGACCTTCTCAAGGTCAAAAAGGTATTTTTTCAACTTGCTTCACATTGACTAAATTTTTTTTCAAAATCATTACATTTTCTCAGAAATTCAAATCTGACTTTAGATTTGACTTTAGATTTGACATTTGACCTTCAAATCTGACTTAAGATTTGACATTTGACCTTCAATGACCTTCTCAAGGTCAAAAAAGGTCAAAAAGGTCTGTTTTCAACTTGCTTCACATTGACTAAATTTTTTTTTCAAAATCATATACGTGTTCTCAGAAATTAAAATCTGACTTAAGATTTGACTTAAGATTTGACATTTGACTTTCAATGACATCTGACTTTAGATTTGACATTTGACCTTCAATGACCTTCTCAAGGTCAAAAAAGGTCTGTTTTCAACTTGCTTCAAATTGACTAAATTTTTTTTTCAAAATCATCTGCGTGTTCTCAGAAATTCAAATCTGACTTAAGATTTGACTTAAGATTTGACATTTGACCTTCAATGACCTTCTCAAGGTCAAAAAAGGTCAAAAAGGTCTGTTTTCAACTTGCTTCAAATTGACTAAAAAGTTTTTTCAAAATCATCTACGTGTTCTCAGAAATTCAAATCTGACTTTAGATTTGACTTAAGATTTGACATTTGACCTTCAATGACCTTCTCAAAGTCAAAAAAGGTCAAAAAGGTCTTTTTTCAACTTGCTTCAAATTGACTAAATTTTTTTTTCAAAATCATCTACATGTTCTCAGAAATTCAAATCTGACTTTAGATTTGACATTTGACCTTCAATGACTTTGTCAATGTCAAAAAAGGTCAAAAAGGTATTTTTTCATCTTGCTTCAAATTGACTAATTTTTTTTTTCAAAATCATCTACATGTTCTCAGAAATTCAAATATGACTTTAGATTGGACTTTAGATTTGACATTTGACCAAAAAAGATCTTTTTTCAACTTGCTTCAAATTGACTAATTTTTTTTCAAAATCATCTACATGTTCTCAGAAATTCAAATCTGACTTTAGATTTGACATTTGACCTTTAATGACCTTCTCAAGGTCAAAAAAGGTCAAAAAGGTCTGTATTCAACTTGCTTCAAATTGACCAATTTTTTTTTCAAAATCATCTACATCTTTTCAGAAGTTCAAATTTGACTTTACAAGTTCTCAGAAGTTCAAATCTGACTTTAGATTTGACCTTCAATGACCTTCTCAAGGTCAAAAAGGTATTTTTTCAACTTGCTTCAAATTGACTAATTTTTTTTTCAAAATCATCTACATGTTCTCAGCAGAAGTTCTTCTTAAGGTCAAAAGGTATTTTCCAACTTGCTTTAAATTGACCAAATTGTTTTAGGTGGTGACATTTTGTCATGTTAATGCCTTGTTGGGTTATGTGACACGGTTGTCAAACACGGGTAGTAATCATACAGCACTCTCCTGCAAAATCGCACATTCCGGTAAAAATTCGAATTTTTTTAATTTTGAAAACGAAAGCTCTTTCTCGTAAGTTCATCGACCTAGCTTATTCTTGTTAGTATATTCATCTAGCGGAATGTATTTCACTTCATATGTGTTTTTAAGATACTTAAATAAGTCTAGCTTCTTGAAACTGCACAAAAGTGAAATCTCAATCTTATGAAGAAACTTGAG